CATACTGCTGTTATATAAAGTCACCTCCGTGAACACATACTGCTGTTATATAAAGTCACCTCCGTGAACACATACTGCTGTTATATAAAGTCACCTCGTGAACACATACTGCTGTTATATAAAGTCACCTCCGTGAACACATACTGCTGTTATATAAAGTCACCTCCGTGAACACATACTGCTGTTATATAAAGTCACCTCCGTGAACACATACTACTGTTATATAAAGTCACCTCCATGAACACATATTACTGTTATATAAAGTCACCGTGAACACATACTGCTGTTATATAAAGTCACCTCCGTGAACACATACTGCTGTTATATAAAGTCACCTCCGTGAACACATACTGCTGTTATATAAAGTCACCTCCGTGAACACATACTGCTGTTATATAAAGTCACCTCCGTGAACACATACTGCTGTTATATAAAGTCACCTCCGTGAACACACACTGCTGTTATATAAAGTCACCTCCGTGAACACATACTGCTGTTATATAAAGTCACCTCCGTGAACACATACTGCTGTTATATAAAGTCACCTCCGTGAACACATACTGCTGTTATATAAAGTCTGTGAAGGTCTCAGACACAGAGACGCTGCAGAGCTGCCTTATTGGAGAAGAACTTTACACAAAAAGCTGCTAGTTTAGCTCCGGTTGCATCAAAGTCTGCCCGCTACTTCCGCCACTTCCAGCGGGCGCCACGGCAGGCCAGGACTTCTGGTCTGAGCACCCCTAGCGTCTGAAATTTAGAGAATGTGCGTCTAGTGCGCGTGGAAGCTGCGTTCCAGCCACAGACTGTAAATATTAACGGACGTCACGCCTATCTCCGCCTTTCTAACTAATGGACCAAAGATTGGGCTTTTGTGGAGTGATTAAAAATGGCCGTGGGGGCTGCAAAATGTGAAAAAACACATCTGTGCATGAGTCAGCTGCACGAGCTCCATTCATTTAAACAAGAGACTTCAAAAGTCCACAGCGACAGAACTAGACTGGTCCAGAACACTCCCCTCAGCATTGACACACATGTGGAACGGAGCTTTGGGCCAAGAGACAACTTTTGGACCATCCTGTAAAGACGTTTTCATTTTGGCCACTTTTGAGCCGCCCCCACTGGTTCCAGCGTCGGCGGTCTGACCACCTTGTTAGTACTGTAACTCTCATGTCAGTCCCTGGTCAGTCGCATGGTGTGTGTGAGAGGCGGGACTACGATAAGACAATTTATCATCCAGCAAAATCTGTTATGGTGACAGGCCTAGTTGTGATGACATCTTGAAGTGTGGAAGTTCATAAAAGACTTTCAGCACAGATAAATCAACTGTTTATTTTAACTTAAATGTGAAAAGCTCAAAAGAATTGTTATGCGTAGAAATGTGACAGTTGGGTCAGTCCCTTTTAGAATCCACTCTCCTCCTAAGTGTTATTGTCAGACATACTTTTACAAACACTCAAAGCTCCAAAACTAAAGTATACATTTCTCGACCTATTTTTATCCATTAACCGTTGAATCCAAAAACTAGGATTCCAACTCATTTAATTGAGTGAAAAACATGCCTTGTTGCTGCTTTTGTTTCAGCAGGTTTTGTCTTTAGAGCGAAATACTCGGACATCATTATCGAGGAATGCTTCAGCTCTGCATGAGGGAGGGGCTGGGGACAAGCTGCGACCGCTCCACACAATGACCAGCGAAACCCACTGGACGTGATGAAGTTGTTATGATAAAACGGATTAGAACTAATTAAAGCTGGGATACTGAACTTTTTTGCTCTAAAAATTACACATGTTTGTCCCAACAGAAAGAGTTGGGTTGAGAACAAACCAGACCACAATATACTGTCTTCATCTAATACAGAAAACATGTGTGTAAGAGATCCCTGTGAGTCACTATTTGAGTCTTTGGGTTGAGAGCTGATTGGCCGATTGAGGGTCTCTGTTTTACTCATCAGTCTGAGAAATAAAACTTTAATTATTCATTCATTCATTTATTGCTTTAATGAATGCTGTATTAACGCACATGTTCAAGCAAAAGATGTATTGTTTTGTGCAAAATGTGAAATGTGTTTTTTACTGTGCAGAAAAAAATCTCAAATCAAGACATATTTTGCTATATTCAAGAGATTTAAAACAATATTTGTATGTATTATTATTTATATAAATGGTTTGCCATGTGTTAACTGTGAGCTCTAGCATTGCAGCCAAAGCCAGGTTGGATGGACCGGAGCAGAGCCTCGCTAGAATCAAAGCTGCCGTATGTAAAAAAAACCATTGCTCTCAAAACAAGACAATTATTTACATTTTCGGACAAAGGACCAATGCCTCCGATGTGTTTATATATTATATTATTATGGCATTTCCTGTTTTATTCTCTGATCTGTTGTCTGCGAATCGACAACTTTGTGAAGTCCTCAGAGACGGCTGCTGTTGTGATTTAGGGCTTTACATATTTTCCAACAAAAAACCAACAATAAAAGAAAAAAAAACACCTTCATTCAGCCACTCAGCTCTCAGCCCAAAGCATCAAATAGTGACTCACAAGGCTCTTTCTTACACAAAAGATAAGGTATTTTCTAATCAAATTAAGACAGCAAAATGTGGGATGATTTGTCCAATAAATAAATACTTTTACTTTTACATGAGACAGACAAAAAGTATCATTTACAGGAAAAAGTTGTATACCCCAGGTTTAGTAGTCACAGTGTAATCATGAAATATATTGTCAGTTCTGGTGATAAGAAACCAAGTCTAAAGCAAGGAACGTGTTATAAAAGCTTGTTCAAATTAGGTAAAACTAGAATTAAAACGCATTTCACTAAATATAAACAGCTATTCTCGCCATTAACAAAGATGCATTACACAATTACAACATGGTCAGCGAATGTCGTGATATAAACTGGCTGGAATTTGAAAATAGAAAAGGATAACAATTGGATGGTAAAATCAAGTGAATGCAATGACCCAATTGTCACAAAGCCACATGCTCTTGCACCTTACCTTGGACAACAACTAGAGTTCTGTTTTCTCGCAAAATATGGTAACTTTTCTCACTGAATTAAATAAAATAACTTCTCAAATTGTTCGCCATGCCTCAAAACGTGCCGTGATGTCCAATGGAAACGTACTAACCGTGAGAAAAGCGATTAAAATACACGCAAAATTGGACAAAACTGAATTCATGATGTGGAAAACGTACCTTTCTCTTTTATGACATGGTTGCAGTCTTGTAGTCCAGTTTGTGACTTGATTTAAAGTTGATTTGTCAGAGATTTGAGGAGGAGGCGATGCAGACTGTGGAGAGTCTGGTCTGGACCAAGTTTGGACCGCTCAGTTCAGAATGGTGTAGTGGGCGTGGCAGGCGGTAGAGGGCGCCAAAATCAAGCAAAAGTCATTGTCCATAAAGTCCAGCCTGAAAAAGTAGAAAAATGTTCATAAATAAAGTTGTAAATATTTGCTAAATAGTATAATCAATGCTGTGATGATCTTTTATAAAGTTTCACACGTTTTAATCAATTTTATTTTCTCACCACGCAACCAGTACTACAGTGTAGGAGTGATAATCTGTGTTTTTTTGTCTATTTGAGGCACAACTTTCATTTATCCTAATAGATGATGTATTGTTATTGACCTTTATTAAACCAGGAAAGTCCCACTGAGATTTCGGAGTCTCTTTTTCAGGGGAGCCAGAGCTCCCATACAGACACAAGCAGCACATGCAAACTCAGAGACCAAATTGAGAGAATGACCGCAGCATAAAATATACAAAACCTATGATCTGGCGTCCTCTAGTGTCTAAGTCATTTCGAGAGTATACTCTCGAGATTAGATCAATCAGAATCAGAATCATTTGTATTGCAACGTAAGTAACAGGAAGTCACAGACTTGGAAATTGCTTTGGCTCAGTGCAACAGTCAGAAAGAGAGGTAAAGAATAAAGAAGGCAAAATAAAAATAAAAAAACAAGAAATAAAAAAATCAGCAACACTTGGAATAAAATGTAAAATAGAATAATTACAATTACTATATAAAATATACAAGTGCACATGGTGCACACAATATACAGCAGTAAAGTTAAGTGAAGTGAAGTGAAATTGATTGTATTATTTCAAACACAATCAATATCTACAAATGAATTTTGTGATGATAGATAACATATGTGGAAGCGCTAAAAATGAATATGAATCTGTAAAAATGGTGTGAGAGGACCACAGCAGGGACATTGCAGATATGCTGTATGTATATAAATATATATATAAAGCTTGTGTTTTTATTTTGTGTTTTAATTTTCTCAGTGGTTGTTTGTTTGTATCACAAGAGGTGGCCAGTGCTGTGTCTTTAGGATTTAAAGCTCACACTTTTGGGTTTAAGAAAGCTGTAGAGGCACACTTGGTCATGCAACATCCTTATCCAATTCATATTTGGTAAGAGACAATCTGTATCGTTGTATTTTGTTTTATCGTCCTGTTTGACATTTTAATGTTTGAAATGTAACCAGTGGACTGTATGTATTGTATTATCCTGTTAGAGAGGTTTAATGATAATTAACTGTAAAGTAAAACGACATACGTTATTTGGGGGTTACATCGTCGTTTTACTTTTCATAATTGGTGACATCCAGTTCATCCTTGTGTCATTGAAGCTGCAGTGGAGAGGATCCTGCAGACCCACCCATATCTCTCTATCCATCCATCCCCTTTTCACTCACTGCTGCTGCTTTCTTTTGCGAAAAGCAATTTCCCGCGTTTTCCCTTTTCCCCTTCAACCAACCGCAAATTAGCACTCACTTTCTGCGCCTTTCTGACCCAATTGCAGCCTGCAGGCCTGACTCAGCCCTCTCAGCCCCGTCCTCCACTTGCTCTGAGCGAATGGGCGCCTGGTAGAGCCGATAAAGCTGACCAATCAGGAGCCAGGCGTGTGGTGCTCTGAGGCCGAGTCTGGCTCTTCCATTTCGGCTCTTCGCTTCACCCCCACCCGGGCTGGTTCTTTTTGGATCTCGGCTGCAATGGCGGAACAGCAGCAGTTCTACATCTTGCTGGGCAATCTGATGAGCCCGGACAACAACATCAGAAAGCAGTCAGAGGTAAGGATTACGCAGGGGGTCGCAGGGGGTCGCAGGGGGTCGCATGTGACTGAGACCGGAGCCCCACGTGTGCAGCTGCGGGGAGTCGCTCTGATCACGGCATCTCGCCCCCGGGAGGCTCCTAAATGAATAATCGCAGTTATTTGTTGTTTTGAACATTGCTTGTACGGTTGACTATTAAAAGGGTTCGTGTTGTGCGTGAATCTCAAGCATCGTCACATGTGAAACTAAACTAGACCATTTATTTACACAACTATTTAAGGCCACTATTTCGCTGTCTTAATCTTTAACCCAACATAGTGTTCTGAAACGTATATTGCAACGTGTATTTACGAATTAACCTTACAATGTGTGTGAAATGTTGCATTACATTGCTTCTTGTTCCTAAAAATATGCCCACCGGGTCGAGATGCCAAGATTTAACATGCTGCATAGAGACCCCGCTCGCCGCTAACTTCCATGTTGCGTAGTTGTGCGGTTTAGCAGTAAAATAGTACATTTATACACCTAAATATTTAACAGGAGCATACTTTCACTGCCCTATGTCCACCGTGTCGGGCAGTTTAGCTTTGATTAAGCCGATAAGTGCCTGTACATGGCGATTTGATCCACCAGCTGACAGAGGGCTAGGCAGGAAGTCATGTTAGCCGTTAGCCGTTAGCAGTTAGCAGTTAGCAGTTAGCCGTTAGCCGTTAGCCGTTAGCAGTTAGCAGTTAGCCGTTAGCCGTTAGCCGTTAGCAGTTAGCCGTTAGCAGTTAGCCGTTAGCCGTTAGCCGTTAGCAACAGCTGTGCTAGCAACATGGACTGATTTGTGTAGCATCATTAGCTAGCCCCGTTTTGGCTTAATACATGCCAAATACATGATTTAACCAGTCATATCCTCTGTATATATTGACACAAAAAGTCAATGTCATGATTTGAACTTTAAAGTTGATGTTAGCATAATATAAAAAGCTGGTTTAACTCTACAAGGTCTGATGAATAATGCCAATTATCATACAACCCGATCAGATTACACACTGTTTAAGCAGGTACACACACAATTCTGTGATGTATTATCTCTAATTATCTCTAGTATATGTCCTTATGGTGTGTCAAACGGAAGAGATTGTGCAGTGATGCTAACTTGGAGCGTTTCCATAGATTGTTAGATAAACCTTTTATGGCCACGTGTTTGTGTAGATCTAAAACATTACCGCATATTGTTTGGATAGTTTCAGGTTGACGGGCAGGTTTATCCAGAGGGCACTAGAGAATGGTGGTTATGTAATAGTCATTGCTTCTGTGCTCCACTGAACCCAGGAACAAATGGAGTTGCACCAAATCATGAAGTCATTTTTTTCAGTCAACACTTTCTGACAACATTGACAAGTTTGTTAAGCCCCGTGATTCTAACTAGGGCTACATTCTGGAGAAGTGTGTGTTGGCATGCGCGCTTCCAACCAAATAAATTATACAAACCCTGGTAAGTAATTGTATATAAGCCGATACTAGTAGTAGTAAGTAATCTTTATTTATATACCGCCTTTTCACTGCACATCGGAGTCTCAAAGCGGTTTACAATTGTTATTTTTGGGAGTTCCAGAACAGGAGGCACATGCCAGAACTATTGAACATATTTTTAGTGGTAGGGGAAACCGGAGTACCCGGAGGAAACCTACGCAGACACGGGGAGAACATGCAAACTCCACTCAGAAAGGCCCTGGTCCAACCGGGATTCGAACCCAGGACCTTCTTGCTGAGAGGCGAGAGTGCTATCCACTCAGCCACCGTGCCGCCACCAGTGAAGAGACAAAACGTAAACGTAGCCAATGGGGCCCTAATATATTGCTCCACTTCCTCCCATTGCATCATGGGCTCTCCCCTTTCCCTGTCAGCGCTTCAGGACAAAACAGTCTGACCCTAAGCCCCGCAGAATCCACTCTTCATTTATCTCATCCTGGCACTTTTAATTCAGACGAGCAAAGCCACATTGTTGTCCCAGCGTGATCTGGTTTATGAAGCTTCAGTTTATGAGTAAGACCATGCTTCCTTTTAGTCATAAGGGTGTCCTGTATCCAGAGGCTTTTCATTACTGAATAAGCAGTAAGTACCACAATGAAGTAATGGTTTTATATGGTTCAACTTGCCACTAGCAGCATTATCGTCTGTACTTTCTCTGAATTTGGATATTCTCACCGCAGAACAACTTTAAAGCTCTAATTATAGTTTATAAAACACATCTTTGCTTTGTTCTAGTCATCCGGGGAGTCTGGGAGTCTATCTACTGAAGAAACGTTTCAACCAGTGCAGATTTGTCACTATACTTTAAAGGCACCCTGTGTAATTTTTAGTTGCTCCATATGAATAAAAGGTTAATTACAAATGTGACCTTTTTTTTAAGAAATATTTACCTCCAAAATGATTTTATAATCTATTTCATAGGCGGTGGCCCATGGCATAGGCCATGAGAGGAATCCTCCATGTCAATGCACCATCTTGAAATACAGGGGTGGATAAGGGACAAAAAGGATGAGAGAATTGAGTTTTTGTTTCACAGGTGCCACTGATATCGTTGCCTTCGAAAGTTTGAAGGAACCATTACTTACTTACTAAATAAATAAATGAACATTACTTACTTACCATGAAGGACCAGTTATGTAAAAGAGTAACCTGAACAATTATTGAAAATGTGAAAAAGTCCGTCACAGCAGCAAAGTGTCAACATCGCAAACACCCACTGAAAGACGGCGCTAACACAACAGGAGGCACGTAGTGTGTGTGTGTGTGTCTGTTGTGTATAAACTACACAATACGTAACTTCACACAGTGAGAACAAGGCAGAATCTACAACAGTCTCAAGATGTTCTGACTCTGAGTCCAACTATGTCACAAGTGTCAACAAAACTTATTCAGGGACAAGCCTCAAATAAAACACACAATCGCCACAAAACAATCTGCAGAATACTTCATCAGCAGCGTGAGTGACGGTGTTTTCTTACCGTGACGGTATGATGCGCCTGGTGAAGGCTAATCTGAGCTTTTAGCCGCAGTTCTTCCGCGGCTGTGTCAAAGCCAATGTCCTGCTCAACGGTAGATGGCAGTAAAAATGTGTGTACTTTTTAAAGTGTGTTCAATTTGCAAATCATCTGTTTGAATAAACAAGTTTGTACCTTACGCCAAAGATGCTGGTCCGGAGCCAGAACATATAGTGTGTATGCATTTACACAATTAACTTTGGAACAAATGCTAAAACTGTGACTGGAAAGGCTTTACATGTGTATGGCATGGTTCTAGTTTCGTTCTGAGAACAGAGAGCAGAATCTTCTATTAAATTTTCAATTTGAAAAAAACATTGAACGAAAAATACACGGACCTAGCATGACTGTCTGTGATTATATTCATTTAATTTCCCTGCCCTATCAATACTTTTATGTTCTGTTACTTGCCAATGTACTTTCTCTACTTTGAGCTGATAAAGTAGGAAATGTTCGCAGCCATGTAATATTGCTGTAAGAGCCTGTGTGTGTGTCTAGTATAAAGTCGTGGCGCTGGAGAAAAGTGCTTATTTTGCATCAAACATAAAACTAAGATTGTTGCGTCAGTTTGTGCTGTTTTAAAATGTGGAACCAAAGCTGTTGTGGTTGAAGATTGGAACCCGGCATTTCAGTAATGTTTGAAATGTAAAGCATGAATTCCTCTGCTCCGGACTCGTCTCTGAATCTAAATCTTTGCTTTTTGTTTCCTAGGAGACGTATGATTCGATTCCAGGAGGAAACAAGATCACATTCTTGCTACAGGCCATTCGAGATGTGTCCGTCGCAGAAGAGGTAACCGCTTTAACATGATTCTATTGTTTAAAGAAATCTCTGGATCGCCAACTTTATCTCTGGTATACAAACTTTTCATTTGGCTCAAAGTTGGCAATCTGCCTCAAAAGCAGATAAAGTGGGAAAACTAGATATTCTTTGAAGCAAAGGACAAAGTATACAAACTGACTATTTTCGAGTCGTATTGCAAACTTGATCTGTGCTCTATTAAAAAGATATATTTTTAAGTCTGAGAAATATTTGCAGATTGTAAACTTAAGATAAGACTTTATTGATCTCTCAATGGAGAAATTTAAATTTGCTGAATTCGGCTGATTCCTTCTTCAAAAAATATTGTCTGTGCCCTTAAAGGATTCATTTATATTTTGTTCTGAGGCAAACATGCTCTGTTATTAGGGCTGTCAAACGATTAATTTTTTTAATCGAGTTAATTACAGCTTAAAAATTAATTAATCGTAATTAATCGCATTTCAAACTATTGGCAAAATTATGCCATATGTTTCTGTAAATTGTTGTTTGAATGGAAAGATAAATGACAGCTTAGTGAACATATGAACTGTATTTGTTTATTATACAATAAATCCATATAAAAGGGAATTAACATCATTAACATTCTGTCTTTCTGTTTAGACTCAGACCAAAACCATTGTTTGTTACAGATGAGGGACATTTCAAAATAGTCTGAAGCAGAATGTCATTAATGGTGTGAGCAAATCAAACAGATATACTTTTTTTGGCACAACTAACATGAACTGGTAGTCGAAAGGAAAATTAGGTACCTCAGCTTTAATTTAGCGAGTGCGCTTCGGGAGAAGACCCGGAGGAGACCGAGGCTCCGCAGTCCAGCTTCAGCGCTGCACATATTGTGTGCATCGGTTACACAAAGACACGTACGCACACTAGAGAATAGTTCTGTAATAGTTCTGTGCGTGGTCTTGGATATGATCCCATTACGCAGCGCCGTTCACCGTCATCACAGCCGCTGGAGGAACTGCGGTCCAGAGCGCTGTGGCGCCTGCAGCTCATCATGCAGAGTTCATACAGGAAACAAGTGCCCCGCGGTCACGCGTGTGTTCTTTCAAAACTTGAATTCCCAGAGACCTGCTCTGTCCCAATCTTACACACGCATGTGTCCGCGGCATTCTGTGTTATCATGGGACGCATGGGCATGCGTCAAATGCGTAAATTTTTTCAACGCGATTAATGAAAAATATTAATTAACGTGCGTTAACGCGATAATTTTGACAGCCCTAGCTGTTAAATAATTAATTTTAAAAATGATTCCCCTTTGACCCAGAGAGAAAAATATGTAAGTAAGTAAGTAAGTAAGTTTTTATTTATATACCGCCTTTTCACTGCAGATCTGAGTCTCAAAGCGGTTTACAATTGTTAATTGTTGTCCAGATATGTTTCTAGAGTCTTCACTCGTCACATTCTCCACAGAACGCTGTCCGCTTCTCTGCAGCTGTTTACGATTCTGGACCCGATATTTTTAGATTTCTTGAAATGGGAGCAGGGACCCAGAGCTTGGATCATAGATTATTTATAGGGAGCCAGGTGAAGATGCTGCCTTCAATTTGGAGCAATAAAAAAAAAACTTGAGCGCAGATGTAGTTGTTTCATCCCCACTCTGGGCAGCTGTGACTACAGAAAGTTTTATCGCTGTAAGATTCAGTTTTAAAAGGTATATATTTTAGCCCTAAATGACAGCAGTAGGTCTCAAGTTTATCAGAATCAAACAGTTCAAACTCAAGAAATGCTGTCTTTCTAAACAAAGTTAAGTTCGAAAATGTCTCTGCTCATCCCCGGGACTGAGGCTGTAGCTCCGGGACTGGATCCTCAGGACTGGAATACAGAGCCCCGTGTATATGTTCATGGGGATCCTTCACTTAATACAGCTCAGACGCCCTGTGCAGAAAAGCGCCCCAAACCTCATGTTTCCACCCCTGCTATTCTTTGAAGTGGGAAGAATACAGAGCAGCATCCAAAGTTTTCACCCAAAAGTTCCATTTCAGTCTCATCTGCCCCAGTTCTGTTCTGGATCATCACCATGGTCATAAAACAACTTAAGGCCTGGACACGCACTGGCTTCAGCAGCGAGATTGATCTTTCAGTGGCCCCTTGCACTTTGAACATTCCATGCGTCATACCAGGAATTGAAAAGAGAAAATGTAAAATAAAATGTAATAATTGCTGCAGGGTGATGGTTTGTGACATATGGTAGGACTCAAAAGCACTAGTTTGGAAACTCTGGTCATGTAGGATTTGATGCAATGCTTGACCTCCCGCGTGTTCGCAGGCTCGGCAGATGGCTGCGGTGCTGTTGCGGAGGCTGCTGTCGTCGGCCTTTGAGGAGGTGTTCCCGGGGCTCACGCTGGAGATGCAGATGGCCGTGAAGACAGAGCTGCTCACGGCAATCTCTCACGAAACCTCCCCAAACATCCGCAAGAAAGTGTGTGACATCGCCGCCGAGCTCTCCAGAAACCTCATCGGTGAATAAAGCTTTAACTGTAGTTCTGCTTTGACTGATGAAAGGTGAAATGTTGACGCTTGAACCTGTTGTGGAGACTGCCATAGCAAGAATTTTTCTCATAAAACGACTCCACATTGAACAATTCAGAATCGTTTTACTGACCAAAAGACTGTTAAAGTCTCTGGAGGCTGCTGCTCTACGGTTTGGTATCGCATGTTCCTGGTGCTAGCAGTGATTTTGTTTTTCTTGCAGACGACGATGGGAACAACCAATGGCCCGAGGTTCTAAAGTTTCTCTTCGATTCGGTCAATTCTGACAACGCAAGTTTGAAAGAAGCCGCGCTGCACATATTCTGGTAAAAATCCTAGTCAAAAATCACCCACTGTTGTTGGAATATACCTCCCAATTTTGTTTTTCTTTAGGAATTTCCCTGGCATATTTGGTAACCAGCAGCAGCACTATCTAGATGTTATCAAGAGAATGCTGGTTCAGTGTATGCAGGACCAAGCCAACCCACAGGTAACCGTGCATGGATCATGTTGATGCTAACTACTAATTAATGAGCACTGGGTAATGCATCATATAATATAATGCAAAATATGACCTGGTTTTAAATGTGTTTTGTAGATTCAGATGCTGGCGTCTCGAGCTGCTGCGTCCTTTGTTTTGGCGAATGAAGGAAACTCTGCGCTCCTCAAACAGTTCTCAGATCTGCTGCCTGGAGTTCTACAAGTGAGAACTTTACACATGGCTCAGAAGTGATTTGGAGGAATAATCTCTGGTCTTGTCTTTTCTCTTCTGTTTTTCTATTTCTCTGGTGTTTCTCTCTGATAGTGAAGTTGCCCATTCTTGGCTGTCTTGCACTTTAAATGTTTTCGTTTTGGCCGTATTTTGGACAATTCAAGCAACTGTATTAATGCTAAACCTGGCTCTGGCTCCGTAACATGTTCCAGTCTAAACAGGCCGATGTTTTTGTCTCGTCTATAGTAATGTTTAAAAGTTGTTGTCTAAGTGTGCTCATCTTTCCTTGTAGTCCGTGAATGACTCGTGTTACCAAGGCGACGACTCTGTGCTGAAGTCGCTGGTAGAAATCGCAGACACGGCTCCGAAATACCTGCGACCGAACCTGGAGGCGACGCTGCAGCTCTGTCTCAAGGTCAGTACCATGGGCAATAACGGTTCACATGGTACAGTCAAAAGGCAGGACCATAAGATACAACCTGCAGCTAGTGTATGCATTTTTGTTGAATTCATGGACTTATTTTGACTGTTTTAGTATCTTCAGGATACTTGTTGTTGAAATGGATGATGAACGAGTCGTGGAAGCTGTTAAACTATTCATTAAATCATGTGACCATTTTAAAAAACTGTCGTCGCTGCTACAGTACAACTCCGTGTTTTATACATGTGCATGGAACACTTGTTAGTATTAGATAGCAATATGGCCTACGTGCAGGACTCTACAAGGACTCTGATGTGACTGTCTCTGTGTGACACGTCTTTCCATGTGTGACGTGACAATGACTATATAAACTGTGTACTGACTTTATTCTGTCTGAGAGAAAGAAACAAAGGAAACTCCCTCAACAATCCAGAGAATGGCGCACACTGAGCCGCGCATTCTCCACCAAATCTGTCAGGACTGAAGCAGACGGAGTGATGCGCCAAACTCTGGAAGTTTATTTAAGTTTCTCTCAAGTTCCAGTGGTTTCCTTTGTTTCTTTCTCTCAGACAGAATAAAGGCAGTACACAGTTTGTATAGTCATTGTCACATCACACATGGAAAGACGTGTCACACAGAGACAGTCACATCATAGTCATAATAATCAGTCCTTGTTGTTGTCCTGCACGTAGGCCATATTTCTATCTAATACTAACACACTAATGGGGAAAATGTAATGGTTTGAATCTGGGAGTCCTAGTGTCGGTGCCTGATGACGACCTCCTCCTGATGATCCATGTTTTTGTTTAGCTCTGCGCTGACACAAACCTGTCCAACATGCAGCGGCAGCTCTCCCTCGAGGTCATCGTCACGTTATCAGAGACCGCGGCCGCCATGTTGAGGAAGCACCAGGCCCTCGTGGCTCAGAGCGGTGAGAAACCTCCCCTTCTAGTGTTGGCTTTTTATTTATAAAACTTTAAAACGCACATGTCTAAGGCTCAAGAAGCTGCTTTAGCTTGGAGGTAGGCCCCAAAACGCTACATTTTAAACGTATTCCTTTTTTGTTTTTCTCAGTTCCCCAGATGTTGACCATGATGGTGGATTTGGAAGAGGACGAGGACTGGGCCCAGGCGGACGAGCTGGAGGACGATGACTTTGACAGGTACACGCCGTCTCGAGGTCCTGGGTCTCGGCCACGACTTCCAAATGTTTAGTGTCTTCTGTCACGCTGCGGCCCGTGAGAGCAGCCTGAACTGAACCTGGTTTCTCTGGGATCCTCCTGCTGCTTCTGACACATGACGTAAATGTGTGGTTGCAGTAACGCGGTGGCTGGAGAGAGTGCTCTGGACAGAATTGCCTGTGGCCTCTCGGAGGGAAGATCATCTTACCCATTGAAACAGTAACTCTTTTAATCATCAAACAGCACATTATGCAGATGCAGCCCTGGTCTGCCCTCCTTTCTCTCGCCCCAGACTGTGTCAACACTTGTCCAATCCTTTTGCCCTGGGTTTGCAGAGGACCTGGCAATCAGTACCGGCACGCCAGGGCTCATGGCTCTGTCATGCGATCGCGCGTACGGATGGTCACCAAACAGTGAGAGACCTATTCTGACCGAAGATTGTCTGCGTGGTGCTCCGCTTTTGCGCCCCCGAACCCGGGGTGAGGAAACGCGCTGGACCTAAAACACAACGTCAAGTCTGGTCGCTGATATTCTGTGTGAGGCTACCGCTATGCCGCGCCTGTTATAGCAACTGTGGCGGTTGATGTTTTGAAACGCAAAATAGATATTGAACTCGATGCTAATGATGAGATTGCTTGCTTTGGTTAATGATTCTTCAAAAGTTATGCCTTTTTAGATCGTGCCTCACCCTAAACATTAGTTAAACCCAGCCATTCCCAAAACTCAGTCACCACCGAGGCCCCCCCTTAAATATCGGCCGGGTCAGCCGGTGGGCCCCCCCCCAAATAATAACCCAGAACAGACATCATTTACGCATAGTGGCGGCGGCTGGTTAGGGTATGGTGGGGGGGATAATCAGCTCTGCCCGACTCTACATTCATGGTGATCCCAAACACTGGTATGACAGGGGGCATGATTGCCCGGCTAATTATGAACACAACATTTTTGTATAAGAGGATGCATACAATCACATTATTAAGTTACACATTTCAGGAAATATATGAAGAGATCTATAGATATATATAATTGTGTTGGGGTGTTGTTCTGCACCGCCCGCGGCCCCCCGGCAGTAACCCCCGCGCGACCCACTGTGGGAGACCACGGATTTCCACGCTGGCGGAAAGCTCGGGTAACCTTACGATGTGTTACACGCAAACCTGTTCTTTATTCCCATTTAGAACTTCATTCTCTGAATTTTGTTGTTAGCAGTCCGCCTCCGTCACTATTTGACCCAGCTTCCGGAAATATGAAATGGGATGCTGGTCACAAATCTAGTGGCGTCCCCGGGCTCCACGGCCGGGCTACCGCCTGGTCAAGTGCTGATGATGGGAGACCGCAGGGGACACCAGGTTGCCACAGGAAAGGGTGGTGGTAAAGTGCACCTTGTCCCTACACCCTAATCTGGAATAATAGGTTTGCAGGGTCCGACTGGCACATGACGGTGGCCTCTCTTCAGTCTGGGCTCGCTGTGGCCATGTTTGTAGTTTAGCAACACAGTGTTCTGGGACGTCCTGACTGAAGGCTGTTGATTAGTCCAGGATAGCACTATAATAAAACATGATGCAAGAAAGTCTGGGGACCCAAAGACTCATGTGGGTTTGTAATTCGACACCGGTACCACGGGTTTGGAGGACGACCATTTCCTGACGGTGTAGGCATTCCGTCATAGGCAAGTTTCTATTTGTAGATACACACATTTCATCCACAAGGGGGCAACTATAAAAGTGCTGGATGAATTTAGACGAATTACGTCTTTAGGATGTCACATAATCACCCAGGAAAAAAAATCCATAACCTCCCTCCGGTGGGTAGGCCACAGCTAAACAGAAAGTGTTGATGTAACCCTGGATTTCAACAGGTCAGATGCCAGCGTTCTTGCAGGACCTACTCGCCTCTGGCAGGTACTGGGGAGGCGGGAAACACTTCAGTCGGCTATAGTTGGGGTGAATGGATGCAAGATTGTTGCTTATTAGTTTGAGTTTCAGTACGTTTGCACCTTCTCCATGAATGCGGCTTCGTGTGGTCAGTGGTAACCGTGTAGTTGTCCGCTCTAGCCTCCCAGCAACCTCTTGTGTGCCGGTACGCAGCCTGTAACGCGATTGGGGACAGATGGCCACAGATCTTCGCTTCCCACTTTGTCAGAAGAAGTTCCACGACAAGGTGAATAGTTTTTCCATCGATCTTGTGATTTCTTTTGCCTGTAGTTCCGTCCCCATACTGCTCCTCTGCTGCAGGTGATCGTGGCTCTGCTGGAGACCACATGAAGGACCAGGGGAACCCCAGAGTCCAGGCCCATGCGCAGCCGCGCTCATTAACTTCCAGAAGACTGCCCAAAGTCTCTGCTTGTCCCGTACCTGGACAGTCTGGTCCAGCATCTGTGCGCCCATCCATGCAGGCCAAGCTACAGGAGGTAAGTCCTACAGCCAAAGTCTATGGGGACCAGTTTGAGGTCTGGAGTCTATGGATTATTTTTACGTTGTGGCGATTCCATAGACTCTCACTTCGGTCTGTAAATACTAATACATAGATGGATAGTGTCCAGTAGCAGCAGAAACTCATTCATTTACTTTAGCATACCAAATATGGCTTACCTCCAGTGAATTTCTGCTTGGTTTGGTCCGTGAATCCTCTCTGCTCTGCACCCGTGGCACAAACCTTGAACACTTTACTGCAGTAACATTTACAGGTAAAGCACAAACTGTTTCAGAGCTACTGTGTGACTTTGTTGTTTCTAGCACATTAAAAAGTAAAATCATGGCCGAGCTGCTGTAGGATTTGGATAAAATGGAAATGTATTGCTTGGCGCCTCCAACAGTGGGAGCACTTTGTTTCCCTGTGGTAAGGGTCCAGTGGAGCAGCTCGTGGGCTCTGCATGAGTTGGTATTGAATGTGACAGAAGCATATTTACTGTGTTTGATAAATACTGTGTACATGGGTGGACAGTGTAGTTTGACAGCTCTCTCTGCGTCCTCTCAGCTGATTCAAAAGGGCACGAAGCTGGTCCTGGAGCAAGTAGTGACGTCCATCCGCCTCCGTGGCCGACACGGCGGAGGAGAAGTTTGTGCCGTAACTACGACCTCTTCATGCCGTCGTCTCAAGAACATTGTGGAGAACGCGGTTCAGAAGGAGCTGCGGCTGCTGCGCGGGAAGACCATCGAGTGCATCAGCCTCAGATCGGGCTCGCTGGGGCAAAGAGAAGGGTGGGACTACATCCTGTTCTGTCTGATTTCACTTTATTTGCCATTTGCCAAGTGCATAAGGCTAAAGTGCAGGAACAATTGTCACGTGAAACCAAACAGATTGTGGAAAGATCCAGATTCGTGTTCCAGCTTCTTCCTCTGGTAGAAGAGTCTTGGATCAGAGGCTCGTTTTATCTACCTGGCTCTCTAACGGCATCTCAGGCCTAGACTCAAAAATAACTGAAAATGCACATTTCTAAAGCAGTTCAAGAGCAGAACAATCAGCTGAAGAGATGCTAAATATTTCAGATGTCGGGCTGAACACTTTCACTTTTCTAAATGCTTTGCCTTCGGGCACAAAAACACTGATTGTGTTGACATAACTGATGGTCTTAGTTATTACCAAAGAGATAGTGTAAATTAAATAAACTTGTTTAAAGCTGGATAACTAATTAGTATTAATTCATAACCGAATGTGGTCAAAAATCAAAGTAGTGGTGATGAACAGGACTATAGTTGTGGTGTAGGTCCTGTTTTATGGTTTGGACAGTTGCATACTCTCCTCAACGAACTGTTTGAACTTGTTCCTATTTGTTTCAGTTCATGTCTGACGCCGCAGCAGTGATGCAGCTGGCTGCCTGAAAACACAGACAGACTTCAACGACCTCGAGGACGACGATCCACAGGTCAGACCTCAGAACTCAGCATTTTAAACATGTGTCAAATGCACTAGATCAGTGTTAAACCCCGTTCTCTCGCTCTCTGTGTCTCTCTCGCTCTCTCTTTGTCTCTCTCGCTCTCTCTCTGTGCATGTCTCTCTCGCTCTCTCTCTGTGCGTGTCTCTCTTGCTCTCTACTGGTCTTCCCCACAGACGTCCTACATGATCTCGGCCTGGGCTCGCATGTGTAAGATCCTGGGGAAGGAGTTCCAGCAGTACCTTCCTGTGGTGATGGGGCCCCTCATGAGAATCCCCCGCCTCCATCAAACCAGAGGTGGCGCTACTCCGACAGTAAGTCAGGTTTATTTGTAGAGCACACTCCATACACAACTCTCCGGTATCATAAATGATCACAGAACAGAAGAGCGACACAATCCTTTCACTTGCACAGCTAAACAGAACTGTTGGACAATGCTCAAATCCAGGTGAAAGGAAGCCTGTCTAACATTTTCAGGAAGACTTTCAGATTTGGCTGCAGAAATCACTGAGTATTCAATGGGACACTGTTTCGATTGTTGGGTACCTAATCTTTTAAAACTTTCAAACCACTTCCAGATAACCATGGTCCTCACTTTCATGTCTGAAAGAGCTGATCTAATGATCCATCGGCTCTTTCATGTTTTGTCTGATTTATTCACACTACTTTAAAAAAGCTTTTTTTATAGTTATGTATTGTAGTGTAATAAAGTCAGAGCCGAGGTTCCCTCTTTATGAAGATATTGTGTATAGTAGTTTGAACAAGTTTATTTTGTTGTTCTTAGCTCAGGACATGGAGAGCATCTCTGAGGACGACGGTTGGGAGTTTGTGAACCTCGGAGATCAGCAGAGCTTCGGAATAAAGACGGCAGGGGCGGGAGGAGAAGGCCACGGCCTGCCAGATGCTGGTGCGGCCATATCACTTTAATATATTTGACAGGGACATAGTCAACGTAGAACAAAACAAGCTTGTAACTGATGCGATGGAATATTGGCAGTAGCACAAACTCATCTGAATATGACTGGTTTATGTTCCAGGTGTGCTACGCCAAAGAACTGAAGGAGGGCTTTGTGGAGTACGCCGAGGAAGTGGCCAAACTCATGGTTCCTCTGCTCAAGTTCTACTTCCACGATGATATCCTTTTACACGTCTTTTCCACTCATTTCACACTTGTGTTTACTTCTGTTTTTGAACATCTAACATGGTGCGACCTGCTTTAAAACTGTAATCTGACTAAAACTCTCAAAGCTCACGAAACAAACCAGATCAGTAGTTGTCGTTGTGCAGTTTGTCCAAATGTTCTCAGTAAGAGCCACTTTAGCAGAATAAAGCATAAAATGTCCATTGACGTGTCTGTAGCAGCTCCTCTTATGGTCCTTGACGTGGTCCCCGTGTGCGAGTGGCGGCTGCAGAGTCCATGCCGCTCCTGCTGGAGTGTGCTCAGGTGCGGGGCCCTCAGTATCTCTCTGACATGTGGAAGTTCATGAGCGAGCCGCTGATCAAAGCCATCGGCACGGAGCCCGACTCGGACGTGTTGTCGGAGGTCATGCACGCCTTCGCCAAGTGCATGGAGCTGATGGGTGACGGCTGTCTGGAGAAGGCCCAGTTCGAGGAGCTGGGGGGGATCCTGAAGGCCAAGCTGGAGGAGCACTTCAAGAACCAGAGACTCAGACAAGGTACGAGGGATTTCATTCACACAATGTCCAGTTTGTGAAAGTGCTCTGTAAACTGACGTCAAGATTTAATAACACGCACATGAGGTCCATAGAAAACGGCAAAATAACTGGACTCCATAAACTACTTCTACACCAACCGCTGTCTGAAGCTATCGGGGATTTTATTGTTTTCCGCTAACTGAAAATATTTTGTATCAAAGCTGTGCCACAAATCGAAAGATTCAACTTTTCCTGTTGCTGTTTTAAAGATAAACATTGGAACCAGATTTAACTAAAATAATAAATGGATTGTACTTAGTCCCTGCTACTAGAATTTTTAAAAGCGGCATCGGACACTTATTTGACCAAATTTCTCCTTTTTGTACATTTTTTTTTTCTGAATCTCTTTGCAATTTGGATGCAGCAGATTGTAAAATGACTAACATAAACATCTGCATATTCTAATTTTAAAACTTCTGTCATATCCAGTTTGTAAAATCTGTTGTCCAGGGATTGGTCAAAGCAAAGGAAGGTTTCTCACCAATCATCTGTACTTACCAGGTTTTCTCGACGTTACTTCATGAAGTAGTGGTTAAATACTAGTATTTAGATACTAGTATTTAACCGTGGACGGCAGGAGGTATTTAGGTGTCATATTCTCTGCTGCTTAAGTACAATAGAAAAACCAAGAGTAATGGTAGTAACAGCAGCAGGTAGTGACTAGTGAGTGGCACATAGACTCTGCAGGTTTCATTGTACAGTCTGACAGCAGCAGAACCTCTCCTTTACACCACGAGGGTCTGAGGACTTTGAACAGTTTGATTCTGACAATTCCTCAACAGATGAAATGCAATAAACGCCTCACAGGAGTCCTTGGTCCAGAAATGTTAATGATGTAAAAGTGTTTATTTTCTTCAGACAAAAGAGAAGATGAAGACTACGATGAGCAGGTGGAGGAGACGTTACAAGACGAGGTGTGTCTCTAATCTCCTCCTTCCTCTGTTTAGCTCCTTCCTGTGTTTATGACTAAAATATTTCACTGATTGGTTTTCAGGACGAGAACGACGTGTACATTTTGACCAAAGTGTCGGACATCCTGCACTCGGTCTTCAGCTCGCACAAAGAGAACGTCCTGCTGTGGTTTGAGCAGCTGATGCCGCTGATCGTGGAGCTGCTGGTGAGTCTCAGAGGCTGAAGTTTCTGCTTCTATCATGTGGACTTATCTGTATTTATGGTCTTTTTATGATCGATCAGGGAAAGACTGGACTACAGTCCAATACTCCATCCTCCAACTTAAATGTTCCTGTTTTAGCTGCCTCTGGTCTCTCTCTCTCTCTCTCTCTTTCTCTTTCTCTCTCTTTTTCTTTTTCTTTTTCTTATTCTTATTCTTATTCTTATTCTTATTCTTATTCTTATTCTTATTCTTATTCTTCTTTCTCTTCTTTCTCTTCTTTCTCTTTCTCTTCTTTCTCTTTCTCTTTCTCTTTCTCTTTCTCTTTCTCTTTCTCTTTCTCTTTCTCTTTCTCTTTCTCTTTCTCTTTCTCTTTCTCTTTCTCTTTCTCTTTCTCTTTCTCTTTCTCTTTCTCTTTTTCTTTTTCTTTCTCTTTTTCTTTCTCTTTTTCTTTCTCTTCTTTCTCTTTTTCTTTCTCTTTTTCTTTCTCTTCTTTCTCTTTCTCTTTCTCTTCTCTCTCTTCTTTCTCTTTCTCTTCTCTCTCTTCTTTCTCTTTCTCTTTCTCTTTCTCTTTCTCTCTCTTCTTTCTCTTCTTTCTCTTTCTCTTTCTCTTTCTCTCTCTTCTTTCTCTTTCTCTTTCTCTCTCTTCTTTCTCTTTCTCTTTCTCTTTCTCTTCTCTCTCTTCTTTCTCTTTCTCTCTCTTTCTCTCTCTTCTTTCTCTTTCTCTCTCTTTCTCTCTCTTCTTTCTCTTTCTCTTTCTCTCTCTTCTCTCTCTTCTCTCTCTCTGGTCTCTCTTCTCTCTCTTCTCTCTCTTCTCTCTCTCTGGTCTCTCTTCTCTCTCTTCTCTCTCTCTCTCTCTCTCTCTGGTCTCTCTTAGGTGATGTTCTACGATGGCAGCTCTGTCTCTGGGACACGATCATCCATCCATCCATCCATTTTCTTCCGCTTTATCCGTTGCCGGGTCGCGGGGGCAGCAGTCCAAGCAGAGACGCCCAGACTTCCCTATCCACACACACACACCTACTCCAGCTCGTCCGGGGGGACCACAAGGCGTTCCCAGGCCAGCTGAGAGACAGTCCCTCCAGCGGGGCCTCTTCCCGGTGGGGCGTGCCCGGAACACCTCCCCAGGGAGGCGTCCAGGAAGCATCCGGAACAGATGCCCGAGCCACCTCAACTGGTTCCTCTCGACGTGGAGAAGCAGCGGCTCTACTCCGAGCTCCTCCCGTGTGACTGAGCTCCTCACCCTATCTCTAATGGAGCGCCCAGCCACTCTGCGGAGGAAGCTCATTTCGACCGCTTGTATCCGCGATCTCGTTCTTTCGGTCATTACCCAAAGCTCATGACCATAGGTGAGGGAGGGAACGAAGATTGACCGGTAAATCGAGAGCTTTGCCTTTCGGCTCAGCTCCCTCTTTACCACAACGGTCCGATACAGCGACCGCATCACTGCGCACGCTGCACCGATCCGCCTGTCAATCTCACGCTCCATCCTCCCCTCACTCGTGAACAAGACCCTGAGATACTTGAACTCCTCCACTTGAGGAAGGACCTCTCCACCCACCTGCAGAGGGCAAGGCACCTTTTTCCGGTCGAGCACCATGGCCTCGGATTTGGAGGTGCTGATTCTCATCCCAGCCGCTTCACACTCGGCTGCAAACCGTCCCAGTGCATGCTGCAGGTCCTGGTTCGTTGGAGCCAACAGGACAACATCGTCTGCAAACAGCAGAGATGAAATCCTGTGGTCTCCGAACCGGACCCCCTCCGACCCCTGGCTGTGCCTAGATATTCTGTCCATAAACACAGTGAACAGAACCGGTGACAAAGGGCAGCCCTGTCGGAGGCCAACATTCACCGGGAACAGGTCTGACTTACTGCCGGCAATGCGAACACAGCTCTGGCTCCGGTCATACAGGGATCGGATGGCCCTCAGCAGAGGACCTCCGACCCCGTACTCACGGAGGACCCCCCAAAGGACACCCCGGGGAACACGGTCGAACGCCTTCTCCAAATCCACAAAGCACATGTGGACAGGTTGGGCGAACTCCCATGAACCCTCGAGTATCCGATGGAGAGTATTTTTTATTTATTTATTTGATCGGGACAACACACATTAATGAACAATCATATACAGTTGTACACAGATTGTAAATGTGCCAGATTATAGCAAAACTGCTAATTTACATCTGTAGTCCCGAGGCAGGTCACACAAGTAAAACAATGTATGAACAAAACATACATACAAAACACAATATAAAAACTTTATAAATCACATTTTAGTTAAAATGAGTGCATGACTGATTTACTTTGATGTGATGTTTAAGTTGTTTCTTAAAGGAGCTGTATGTCGGGCATTCTCTTATGTCTGTAGGAAGGCTGTTCCAAGACTGGCCTCCTCTGACGGACAGCACAGTTTGTCCAAATGTTGTTTTTCTGTGTGGGATTTCCACATCTCCTCTGGAGGAGGCTCTGGTGCGGAGACCCCTCATTGCTTTAAGTTTAATGTAGTTACATAGTGGGGGCGGGGCAAGACCATGAAGTGCTTTGTAAACAAGGCAACAGTTTTTAAAATTTATAAAATTTTGAAAATTTAGCATTTTATATTTTTCCAGGATATTGCAGTGATGATATGACCAAGGCTTTTGATCCAGAATTTTTATGGACTTTTTGAAGAGGATTTCTATGGGTTAGATATTTGTTTCTCCAGTAAGTGACCAGGTTGTAATGCAGTACTCTATGTGTGAAAATATCATTGAGTGTAGAAACATCTTTGCTGAATCTGTTGTCATAAAGGGCCTGATTTGTTTGAAGTTCTGTAAATTTAACTTTATTGTATTCGCAGTGAGCTTAATGTGTTTTTTAAAGGAGAGTGTTGAATCCAGTGTGACCCCGAGATATTTGAACTCCTCAACAAAGTCAAGCTCAGTGTCTCCAAGGAACACATTGGACCGATCAAGTTTAATAGATTTTTTTGTGAATATCATTGACACGGTTTTCTTTTTATTTAATAGTAAGGATGAGTTGTTGAGCCACTGCTGTATGTCTGTCAGAGCTGCAGTGAGGGTAGATGATGCCTCCTCAGTTGTTTTAGCAGGAGTAAAAATTACAGCATCATCTGCATACATTTGAAAGTGGACATTTTGACAAACATTTGGCAGGTCATTGATATACACCAGGGGTGGCCAACCCGCGGCTCGTGAGCCGCATGCGGCTCTTTGGCTGGTTCCGTGCGGCTCTCGGGCTTCCACACGACAAGCGTCAAAAACGCCTCGGTGGTGGCGCTGCTTTCATTCCATATGTAGTTCTGACCAATAGTAAAGGCCGACTTCACTCCACTAGCCAGGCCGCCAAAACAATCTGACGTCGGCGAACGTCAATTCTGGTTGGTCAGATGCATTGTCAATCACTCTGCAGCTGCTACCTCAGCTGTAGCAAATATCATAACAAACAACACGTTGCCTCGAACCATGACGTCCGTACGGAAAAGAATTCCTTGGTCGCTGGATGAGGGCAACACCTTCCTCAGTTTGAGGAGAGGACACCAGCCTGATCTCGCTGGTTCCACCAGAAACCAGAAGGTGTTTGTGGAGCTAGCGCTAAGGACGGAGCAGAATGATTCCCACAAACATGACAATGCAGAGAAAAGTTAAAAAGCTTAAAAGTGACAACCGTGAAATGAAAGATCGCAGCAGCAGAAGTAGAGGCAGACCCGAAAAGTCTGGAGGTGGTTTGACCAAATGGATTACATTTACGGACATCGGCTAACACCGGCTAACATGCTAAAACCAGCTAACAACAACTAGCATTACACCAGGAGATAAGCCTCAACTCTGCCTGGTGAGTGTCTGTCTTCAATCAAATGCAAAAGTATCTGGTCTTATACTGAGCATGTGTCTGTGGTTCTAAATCAGCTAAAGTGGTGTTGGTGTTATGTGTCAAATCTATATCTTTTACTAAAGACAGTTGTGTTTCTGCTGAACACTGGGTTGAAACTTGATTTTTTTTTCTTGGTTAGAGATTGCAAGCATTCATTTCGGAATCATAATTGATGTTCGCTGACGTGAAATTGTTCTGGTATCGACTCGCCCGGTTAGAACCAGGGCCAAACCATTAATAAAAAGTACCGGGGAGCGGCTGAAGCGAGCAGTAGAAGCGCCCGCAAACCGGGGAGAGTCGAGTCCAGCCCTTTAGTACTGTACGAGTCAATTTCTGTCATTATCATGTTGATGACATTTACAATAAATCTGTCTGAGCAGAGCACACCTCTCTCTGCACAGACAGATTGCATGTGTGTGCGCGTGTCTGCTCGTGTGCGTACGTGCCCGTGTGCGTGCGTGTGTAAGGGTTGGGGTGATGTTTATGTAGTGCACATTTGTATGATGTGGCTCTTTGCTGTAACACAGTAAAAAAAATTGGCTCTTAGTCTCTGACTGGTTGGCCACCCCTGATATACACAGAAAAAAGTATAGGTCCTAATACAGAATCTTGTGGGACCCCTGCAGGGCATTCTAGAAATGATGACACGGTGCCACCCACATTCACACACTGTCTTCTATCAGACAAATAAGATGTAAACCAAGCAAGAGTGTCCTCGGCCAAGTTAAAGTGAGTCAATTTAGAAATAAGGGCTTCATGGTCTACTGTGTCAAATGCCTTCTTCAAATCTAAAAAGACTGCACCAACACAGGTGTTTTTGTCAAGCATAGATTTGACAGTTTCTACAAAAACACAATTGGCTGTTTCTGTGGAGTGGTTCTGGCGGAAGCCAAACTGCATGGGGTGCAGGGGAGAGTGGCCATGGCTGAGATGTTGGTTGAGCAGCTTGGCTACCCATTTTTCAGCTACTTTTGACACCACTGGTAGTATGCTAATGGGGCGATAATTTATCGCCCCATTAGTAGTTAGTTTATTAGTATAGAGCTGGTCCAGTGTTCCACGACCGGGACGAAAACCACACTGCTCCTCCTGAATCCGAGATTCGACCATCGGCCGTAACCTCCTCTCCAGTACCTTGGAGTAGACCTTATTGGGGAGGCTGAGGAGTGTGATCCCACGATAATTGGAACACACCCTCCGGTCCCCCTTCTTGTAGAGAGGGACCACCACCCCGGTCTGCCACTCCATTGGCACTGCCCCCGATCGCCACGCGATGTTGCAGAGACGTGTCAGCCAAGACAGTCCTACAACATCCAGAGACTTTAGATAATCAGGGCGGATCTCATCCACACCCGGAGCCTTGCCACCATGGAGGCTACCAACCACCTTGGTGGCCTCAGCCAGGGAGATGGATGTACCCGCCCCAACATCCTCAGCCTCTGCCTCTGTAACAGAGGACGTGACGAGGGGATTGAGGAGAACCTCAAAGTATTCCTTCCACCGCCCGACAATATCCCCAGTCGAGGTCAGCAGCTCTCCACCCGCACCGTACATGGTGTTGGCAAAGAACTGCTTCCCCCTCCTGAGGCGCCGGACGGTTTGCCAGAATTTCTTTGAGGCCGACCGATAGTCATGCTCCATGGACTCTCCGAACTCCTCCCAGTCCCGGGTTTTTGCCTCTGCGACAGCCCGGGCCGCGGCACGCTTGGCCTGCCGGTACTGGACAGCTGCCTCAGGAGTCCCACGAACCATCATGGCTCGATAGGACTCCTTCTTCAGCCTGACAGCATCCCTTACTGCCGGTGTCCACCACCGGGTTCGGGGGTTGCCGCCGGGACCAGCACCAGAGACCTTGCGACCACAGCTACGAGCCGCCGCATCGGCGATTGAGGCAGAGAACATGGTCCACTCGGACTCCATGTCCCCCTCCTCCGCCGGGACCTGGGAGAAACTCTCCCGGAGGTGTGAGTTGAAAGTCCGTCTGACAGGGGGCTCAGCGAGACGTTCCCAGCAGACCCTCACTACACGCTTGGGTCTGCCAGGTCTGACCGGCTTCTTCCCCTGCCAGCGGATCCAACTCACGACCAGGTGGTGATCGGTTGACAGCTCTGCCCCTCTCTTTACCCGAGTGTCCGAGACACGCGGTCGAAGGTCAGATGATACGACAACAAAGTCGATCATCGACCTCCGGCCTAGGGTGTCCTGGTGCCACGTGCACTGGTGGACACCCTTGTGCTCGAACATGGTGTTCGTGATGGACAAACCGTGACTAGCACAGAAGTCCAACAACTGAGCACCGCTCGGGTTCAGATCAGGGGGGCCGCTCTTCCCAATCACCCCTCTCCAAGTGTCACTGGCGTTTCCCACATGGGCGTTGAAGTCCCCCAGGAGAATAACTGAGTCCCCGGGCGGTGCACCGTCCAGTACCCCTCCCAAGGACTCCAAGAAGGCCGGGTACTCTACACTGCTGTTAGGCCCGTAGGCCGTCACAACAGTGAGAGACTTGTCCCCCACCCGGAGGCGGAGGGACGCGACCCTCTCATTCACCGGGGAGAACTCCAACACATGGCGGCTGAGATGGGGGCAATGAGAATGGCCACCCCAGCTCGCCGCCTCTCCCCGCGGGAAACTCCAGAAAAGTGGAGCGTCCAACCCCTCTCAAGGAGTTGGGTTCCAGAGCCCAAGCTGTGTGTGGAGGTGAGGCCGACCTATCTCTAGTCGGTATCGCTCAACCTCCCCCACGAGCTCGGGCTCCTTCCCCCCCAGTGAGGTGACGTTCCACGTCCCAAGAGCCAGATGTTGTGTGTGCGGACTGGGTCGCCGAGGTCTCCGCCTTCGACTGCCGCCCAGTCCTCTCTGCACCGCTTCACCACGGACCCCTCTGCAGGTGGTGGGCCCACAGGAGGGACTGCCCACGTCATCCCTTCGGGCTGAGCCCGGCCACCAGGCGCTCCCATACGGGCCCCGACCCCAGGCCTGGCTCCAGGGTGGGGCCCCGGCTGCGCCATGCCGGGCGACGTCACTGTTTTCGTGTTAGTGCTGTCCATGGTGTCTTCTGGACTGCTCTTTGTCTGACTCGTCACCTGAGACCTGTCTGCCATGGGAGGCCCTACCAGGGGCATGAAGCCCCAGACAGCATAGCTCCCAGGATCATCCGAGTACTCAAACTCCCCCACCACGTTATGGTGGCAGTCCAGGGGGGGGACACAATCACATGCTCGCAAATGTATTGGATTAAATGGTTCATTATTTTCTTTAAAAATAAGTACCCATTCATTTCAGAGTCAAAGGATGAATATAAAAATGTATTATCTACAATAATTCTGTTTGTATGACATGAATAACGTGCACATGCTGACACACACTTCCTCCTCCTGCAGAGAGCAGAGCGGCCCTGGGCGGACCGACAGTGGGGCTTGTGTATCTTTGACGACGTGGTGGAGCACTGCAGCCCCTCCTCCTTCAGATACGCAGACTTCTTCTTGGGGCCGATGCTGCAGTCGCTCGTGGACCCGGTGGCCGAGGTGCGGCAGGCGGCTGCGTACGGTGTGGGCGTTATGGCGCAGTATGGTGGCGCCAACTACTGCAAGTTCTGTAAAGGTATTACAGCAGTAATATAGAATCAAACTAATATCATCTTCCGCTTCATCCATTGGCGGGTCACGGGGGCAGCAATCCGAGACCAGCTGGTGATCAGCTGACTGTTGTCGTGTCATCTGACATTTTGGAGTAAAGTCAATCGTCTACCTTCGGCCTCCAGTCCTGGTTCCATGTGCACCCCATGGGTGGTTGGTCCACGAGAGGGCCTGCCCCGTGGGCAAACGAAGTAGCAGTTTTTATGTATTTGTGTACAGCCCTGAAAACTGCTGTATTCTCAGAGGACTTTGAATCTGTTGTTGGTGAATCAATCAATAAGAGAATCAAACACACAAAACGCAAGAATAAACACAGGAGCCATTGGTCCATCGGAAGCAGGACGATCGCTGTCCTTAGTCCATGAGGGTCGATTGAGAGTCCAGGATAACTAGACTCAGAACTGTATTTTATTGCTACATAGTGTCAAAGTTTAACTGCTGCATGTTTCTAACCTAGTCTCCCCTCCCCCTGTCAGAGGCCATCCCAAGGTTGGTCCAGGTAATCCAGGCCCCGGACTCTCGCTCCAAAGAGAACGTGAACGCCACAGAGAACTGCATCTCGGCTGTGGGCAAAGTGATGCGCTTCCAGCCGGAGTGGGTCAGCGTAGGCGAGGTGCTCCCCCATTGGCTGAGCTGGCTGCCACTCAAAGAAGACAAGGAGGAGGCAGTCCACACCTTCGACTTCCTCTGCGACCTCATCGAAAGGTAACAGCCTAAACACAAGCCTTGGAAGCTCTTTGAGGAGAATGCTGTCCACGAGTCTCTTTAAACCTGTGCTTCTGGTCCTCTGCTGCAGTAACAACCCAATCGTCCTCGGTCCAGACAACGCAAACCTTCCCAAGATCTTCCTCATCATTGCGGACGGCGTTGCAAGCGAATCCATCAAATGTGAAGACTCGTGCAGCAAAAGACTGGCCAACGTCATCCGGCAAGTTCAGGTGAGGAGCAGCGGGTCCGGGTGGGTGAATCAACAGTCCTGAGATAACTACTGTTGGGATTTAGAGCTATACAAGAATATTTATTTTAATTGATGTAGTGATGGAGACTGTTGCGGTGTAAGTTTACGAATAAAGCTGGGGTGCATAACTTTCAAACTATTCACCCTTTTCCTGGGTTTTCCTCAGGTTTCGGCCGGTTTATGGACAACGTGCGTCTCTACATTGAACGAGTCTCAACAGAAAGCCATCCAGGACCTGCTCAACTCGGCCTAACCCTCTCCCGCAGACGCACCTCCTCCCACCTCCTCCCCCTCTGCTGCTCCGGGACTGAACCACAGCTCCAAACCACATCAGACTTGTAAAGAAAAAAACCGGGAGCCATCTTGGATACTTTCCCTGCCTTATGATCGAACGCATCCCAGCCATTCCTTGAGAGATTTTACATTAAAACGACAAACGGGAGATTAAATGGGAATAGGACATTTTTACATAAACTGAGCATTCAAATTACACTAGTCTTGTGAATTATTTTCCTTTTTTTTTGTATTTTATTTGCGTTTCCAGCGTCGAAGTTATGGCATGTTTATAGTGCTAACTCTAGTCATGAGAAACTTAGAATTGTGGTGAATTTTAGGGAGAGCTGGGTCTACTCTGCTCTCCCTCTAGAGTTTGAAGGTCAACGGCCTGCGATGGCATATTGCTGGTTTTAAAGGCTGCATATCCATGGACTTTGGGGCAAAATAGACTTAAGAAAAAAAAGGTTTGACACTGTTGCAGTCTGGAGACACGTGATGGATTGAGAACCACAATAAATTCCATTTGAAAGAACTACAATGTTTTGGTTTATTTCTTTAAAATAAACTTATTAGTGAAGTCTATAACTGTATACAGATGACTTATGCTAACATGGACTGTTCATAGCTAGCCTCAAAGCCCAACGATGCCCAATCGGGAAGTTAGGCTGCCCTTCCCTCACCAAGGAAATTCTAGTTATTTTCAAAAAGTCCATTCGAGGCACTTTAATCTAATACTGAACCCTGTAAGAACCTAACTTTCCAAAACCTTTTAGCAACAATGAGATTTGCGTGTTCAGGGTAAACCATGCTTTATTGGATTCAAACAGTAAACTAATGCCTGCAGCTGTGGACTCAGACCCATGCTGATGATTCTACCTTTTTACAAAAATATACTGGGCAAACTGTACAGAAGTGTGACATGAGTTTGATTTAAACATAGGTTGTAGAAAGACAAATCAAAAGAACTAATTCCCATACCAGCTGGGAGCTTGTTAGAAATGAGATGGCAACTGAACGCATTTCCAATAGTTATAATTAAGTTTACAAAGATAAGTTAAAAATAAATCTCTTAAAGAATGAGCCGTGACTGAAACGGCTTTTTGTGAATGACTCATTGGGTTAGACTCCTGTCAGATCAGCTGAGTATCAGTGTGCAGTGGCTTCCAAAGTTTACAAATGGAAAAAATGCGAGAATTTTCTGATTGGCATGTTTCTCAATGATCCTGTATTTGACTCCACTGTTTTATGAGATTAATTGTAAAATGAGATTAATTTCTGAATAGCAGAGTTAAGACAACTGGGCAAAACTTTCAGTCTCTGCAAAGCCTAGAGTCGTACCCCTCACTTGCGGTGATTGCAGGAAAAGGGAGTTCCACCATTATATAGCTGGACGATGCTAACCCGCTAGCTCAAAGTAGCCCAACAGGGAAGTGCTCATGGACAGAGAACATTATTGATGTCTCACGATCAGTCCACTCCTAATATTTGGATATAACTCTTGTGTTTTAAGGTATTGTTTGAAAACCACTGTATCTATAATTTTACACATTTCTATATTTACAATCTTCTGTAGGGATAGTAAGTCCTTCTCCTGGTGCTTGATCTGTTACTGCAGCATGTCGACGAACGCATCAAACTCGTCCATGTTTTTCTCGTAGACTGCGAGTTTTTCAGGTAGAGAGTCCTGAGGAGGAAGATATTAGTGTTTCAAAATACACTTTATGCAATATAATATCTTTATCAACATGAGCGCGTGGCCTGTGTCCAAATAAATTGCTAATGATTTTACTGCTGCTCTTAAATGCATCTGCTGAGCTGGTCTCTCCCTGGTCTCTCCCTGGTCTCAGTCTGGTCTCTCTCTGGTCTCAGTCTGGTCTCAGTCTGGTCTCAGTGGGATACAGTGTCTGTGTCGGAGCCAGTCCTCACCTAAGGCTGTTAAAGTCAAAACAAAACTCATATTTATGTTTTTAAAATCTGAACCAAAATCAAAAACTGGTAAAAATCTATTATTTCCTAAAATGGATATATCTGAATGTATATATTTATATTAATCTTGTTTAAAACAGTGAAAAATCTTGAATAAATGTCTCTTTAATGTTAAAAATCCACGTATCTGAATCGCGTTCATAATTCTACCAGGTGGGTCAGGTACCAGGTGGGTCAGGTACCAGGGTGGGTCACGTACCAGGTGGGTCAGGTACCAGGTGGGTCACGTACCAGGTGGGTCAGGTACCAGGTGGGTCACGTACCAGGTGGGTCAGGTACCAGGTGGGTCAGGTACCAGGTGGGTCAGGTACCAGGGTGGGTCAGGTACCAGGGTGGGTCACGTACCAGGTCGTCGGCCATGGACTGAGCGCTGATGTGCAGCGAGAGGCTGGCGAGCTGCGGCGGGTTCTGGAACTCTCTGTAGAACGTGCCCAGGTCCATGGGGAGAAGGTCGTCTTTGGAGAAGGCCGGTCTCTGCGACGCAAACGCCAGCGTCAGATACAGACAGAAACTTTAATGATGTGCTCTTTGTCCCAATAGCAGAGTGGTAAAAGTGCAAATCAGAACAACATGCTGCGTTCATCTTAAAAACACATTTTTTGTGAAAGAAAGCCCTGAGAGTCGCTTTTTGCCTCTTTGGGCTGAAAGCTGATTGTCTGAATAGTGAACAAGAGAGGCCCACCCTCAGAGTTGGAGCAAAACCTTGTTCATGAGCACTTCCCTCTGGGCTCTATGCACCATCTGCTCTAGTTTCACTGGAGTTCAGATGTTTACACAAGTTTCCTAAATAATGCTCAAACTGAAGATGCAGTGCATTGTGGGACACAGCAGCGCTCTTTTATAAAGTGTCTGTTAACCCCTCCTCTCTTCCCCTCCCCCCTTCCCTTCCTCCCTTCCTCTCCTCCCTTCCTCTCCTCTCCTCTCTTCCCTTCCTCCCTTCCTCTCCTCTCTTTCTCTCCTCCCTTCCTCTCCTCCCTTCCCCTCCTCTCTTCCCTTCCTCCCTTCCTCTCCTCCCTTCCTCTCCTCCCTTCCTCTCCTCTCTTCCTCTCCTCTCTTTCTCTCCTCTCCTCTCCCCTCCTCTCTTCCCTTCCTCCCTTCCTCCCTTCCTCTCCTCTCTTTCTCTCCTCTCCTCTCCCCTCCTCTCTTCCCCTCCTCTCTGACAAACTGGGCGTTTTGGACGTAACAATTGTGTCCACTTTCGTTTCGTCCAAAACGGCGTCTTGGAGCTCTTAATAAGACGGGCATGAATCTGTGTTTAAGTAGAGCGCCCTCTACTGGACAAACAGCTGGGGACAAAACAAGAGTCTGAACATTCAGCGCTAACGGCCGCGGACATTTTGGGACTTTTTTGTGTCATTGATCAAAATGTAACTCATTGATACAGTTTAGTTTGGAGTGAGCCGTTTATATAGAATCATTGGTCATTGGTCCAAAGGAAGCCAACTAGACTTAAAGGAATGTGTTTGATAAAAAGTTCTTGGCACCTATAATAGTCTTAGGCCCCGTCCCAAGTCTCATCCTTGCCGGCGGGGGTTGTAGGGTGTCCCAATACTGAGGGAGAAGAGGAGAAGGCCTTCACACCCTAAAACCACCCTCGCGCTCAAGTGAGGTCCGGAGCTCACTTGCGCTAAAAGTTTATCCCATGATGCATCACGTTAAATGAAAACAACATGAAACCCCCGGGCGCAAGTTTGTGGTGAACGTGAGGAAGCTCCGAGGCGTGTGCGAGTCATTCAGAGTTTTTAATACCTGTGTTTGTGTTGTGTTGTGTTGTGATGTAACAGTGCAGCGTGACTCACAAAGTCGACCATGACAAAGTCGTCCTGCGGCCCGGAGCTTTCAGAGCCCTGAGAGTGGAGACTGCCCTGGAGGGGAGAGGAGGCTGAGGGGGAGTCCGGGGGCTGCACCTGGAGGACACACAACCATCAGGGACAGGGTTAACAACTACTACTGTAACTACAGCCTCAGTCCTGGGTCTACAGCCTCAGTCCTGGGTCTGCAGTCTCAGTCCTGGGTCTACAGCCTCAGTCCTGGGTCTGCAGCCTCAGTCCTGGGTCTACAGTCTCAGTCCTGGGTCTGCAGCCTCAGTCCTGGGTCTACAGCCTCAGTCCTGGGTCTACAGCCTCAGTCCTGGGTCTACAGTCTCAGTCCTGGGTCTGCAGCCTCAGTCCTGGGTCTACAGCCTCAGTCCTGGGTCTACAGCCTCAGTCCTGGGTCTGCAGCCTCAGTCCTGGGTCTACAGCCTCAGTCCTGGGTCTACAGCCTCAGTCCTGGGTCTACAGCCTCAGTCCTGGGTCTACAGTCTCAGTCCTGGGTCTACAGCCTCAGTCCTGGGTCTACAGCCTCAGTCCTGGGTCTGCAGCCTCAGTCCTGGGTCTGCAGCCTCAGTCCTGGGTCTGCAGCCTCAGTCCTGGGTCTGCAGTCTCAGTCCTGGGTCTACAACCTCAGTCCTGGGTCTACAGCCTCAGTCCTGGGTCTGCAGCCTCAGTCCTGGGTCTACAGCCTCAGTCCTGGGTCTGCAGCCTCAGTCCTGGGTCTGCAGCCTCAGTCCTGGGTCTACAACCTCAGTCCTGGGTCTACAGCCTCAGTCCTGGGTCTGCAGCCTCAGTCCTGGGTCTACAGCCTCAGTCCTGGGTCTGCAGCCTCAGTCCTGGATCTACAGCCTCCGTCCTGGGTCTACAACCTCAGTCCTGGGTCTACAGCCTCAGTCCTGGGTCTGCAGCCTCAGTCCTGGATCTACAGCCTCAGTCCTGGGTCTACAACCTCAGTCCTGGGTCTCCAGCCTCAGTCCTGGCGTTCTGTAACCAGTGATGCAAACTTAAACTTAATCTGATTGGGAAGAGGAGGAGAAGGAGGAAGAGGAGGAGAAGGAGGAAGAGGAGGAGAAGGAGGAAGAGGATGAGAAGGAGGAAGAGTTGTACCATGTGGTCATGTTCTTCTGCCTCCAAACCTCTGGGAGCAAACGCAGAGAACGGCAGGTCCAGACTCGCTGCTGTCAGCTGCAAAACGAACACAACAGGATCAGCCTCAGGTCTGTCTGTGTGTGTGTGTGTGTGTGTGTTTCTGTTGTGTCTGTGTGTGTCTGTGTGAGTGTGTCTCTGTGTGTGTGTCTCTGTGTGAGTGTGTGTGTGTCTGTGTGTGTCTCTGTGTGAGTGTGTGTGTGTGTGTGTGTCTGTGTGGTACCTGAGCGTTGGGTTTGTTGACGAATGCACCGACTTTCCTGGTGAAGTTTGACAGAGACTCGACAGGATCTGAAGGAGACGCAGATCTGTGGTTCAGCCGCTCCTCGACGCCGCTGCAGCACAGGTACAAACATGAGGCTTAGAGCACAGGGACAAACATGAGGCTTAGAGCACAGGGACAAACATGAGGCTTAGAGCACAGGTACAAACATGAGGCTTAGAGCACAGGGACAAACATGAGGCTTAGAGCACAGGGACAAACATGAGGCTTAGAGCACAGGGACAAACATGAGGCTTAGAGCACAGGGACAAACATTGAGGCTTAGAGCACAGGTACAAACATGAGGCTTAGAGCACAGGTACAAACATGAGGCTTAGAGCACAGGGACAAACATGAGGCTTAGAGCACAGGGACAAACTTGAGGCTTAGAGCACAGGGACAAACATGAGGCTTAGAGCACAGGTACAAACATGAGGCTTAGAGCACAGGGACAAACATGAGGCTTAGAGCACAGGGACAAACATGAGGCTTAGAGCACAGGGACAAACGTGAGGCTTAGAGCACAGGTACAAACATGAGGCTTAGAGCACAGGGACAAACATGAGGCTTAGAGCACAGGGACAAACATGAGGCTTAGAGCACAGGGACAAACATGAGGCTTAGAGCACAGGGACAAACATGAGGCTTAGAGCACAGGTACAAACATGAGGCTTAGAGCACAGGGACAAACATGAGGCTTAGAGCACAGGTACAAACATGAGGCTTAGAGCACAGGGACAAACATGAGGCTTAGAGCACAGGGACAAACATGAGGCTTAGAGCACAGGTACAAACATGAGGCTTAGAGCACAGGGACAAACATGAGGCTTAGAGCACAGGGACAAACATTAGGCTTAGAGCACAGGGACAAACTTGAGGCTTAGAGCACAGGGACAAACATTAGGCTTAGAGCACAGGGACAAACATGAGGCTTAGAGCACAGGTACAAACATGAGGCTTAGAGCACAGGTACAAACATGAGGCTTAGAGCACAGGTACAAACATGAGGCTTAGAGCACAGGGACAAACATGAGGCTTAGAGCACAGGGACAAACTTGAGGCTTAGAGCACAGGGACAAACATGAGGCTTAGAGCACAGGTACAAACATGAGGCTTAGAGCACAGGGACAAACATGAGGCTTAGAGCACAGGGACAAACATGAGGCTTAGAGCACAGGGACAAACATGAGGCTTAGAGCACAGGTACAAACATGAGGCTTAGAGCACAGGTACAAACATGAGGCTTAGAGCACAGGTACAAACATGAGGCTTAGAGCACAGGGACAAACATGAGGCTTAGAGCACAGGGACAAACATGAGGCTTAGAGCACAGGGACAAACATGAGGCTTAGAGCACAGGTACAAACATGAGGCTTAGAGCACAGGGACAAACATGAGGCTTAGAGCACAGGGACAAACATGAGGCTTAGAGCACAGGGACAAACTTGAGGCTTAGAGCACAGGGACAAACATTAGGCTTAGAGCACAGGTACAAACATGAGGCTTAGAGCACAGGTACAAACATGAGGCTTAGAGCACAGGTACAAACATGAGGCTTAGAGCACAGGTACAAACATGAGGCTTAGAGCACAGGGACAAACATGAGGCTTAGAGCACAGGGACAAACTTGAGGCTTAGAGCACAGGGACAAACATGAGGCTTAGAGCACAGGTACAAACATGAGGCTTAGAGCACAGGGACAAACATGAGGCTTAGAGCACAGGGACAAACATGAGGCTTAGAGCACAGGGACAAACATGAGGCTTAGAGCACAGGTACAAACATGAGGCTTAGAGCACAGGTACAAACATGAGGCTTAGAGCACAGGTACAAACATGAGGCTTAGAGCACAGGGACAAACATGAGGCTTAGAGCACAGGTACAAACATGAGGCTTAGAGCACAGGGACAAACATGAGGCTTAGAGCACAGGGACAAACATGAGGCTTAGAGCACAGGTACAAACATGAGGCTTAGAGCACAGGTACAAACATGAGGCTTAGAGCACAGGGACAAACATGAGGCTTAGAGCACAGGGACAAACATGAGGCTTAGAGCACAGGGACAAACATGAGGCTTAGAGCACAGGTACAAACATGAGGCTTAGAGCACAGGTACAAACATGAGGCTTAGAGCACAGGTACAAACATGAGGCTTAGAGCACAGGTACAAACATGAGGCTTAGAGCACAGGGACAAACATGAGGCTTAGAGCACAGGTACAAACATGAGGCTTAGAGCACAGGTACAAACTTGAGGCTTAGAGCACAGGGACAAACATGAGGCTTAGAGCACAGGGACAAACATGAGGCTTAGAGCACAGGGACAAACATGAGGCTTAGAGCACAGGGACAAACATGAGGCTTAGAGCACAGGGACAAACCAATGTGGGCAGGTCCCAGCTCAAAAGTGGCCAAAATGACGTGCGCTGACATGCTGCAGTACCACCCCGGGCCTGTGGGGGTGGACCCAGTAGAATTAGCCAATGCTAACATATAGCATTGGCAGACCTCTGGAAAATGTCTTTACAGGATGGTGTTATGGAAATTCTATTGCCTCAAATGAATGAAACCGAGAGGAAACAAACTTGTCCTTTGGTGCAGTTTATTCACAGAAGTGATGAGTACAAAATGACATTTCTGCGCAGAAAGGAGTCAAACAGAAGCGGGATCTGGAGCGATGCCGCGTCTGTCTGTTTGCCCCAACAAACATGTCTTATGATCTTATACTGGAGGTGTGTCAGACAGAACAATGGACATTCGTCACAAGAGAGATGAGTCATACGCAGCTGCAGACGGGAAAGTTTGGGAGAGATACATTAAGCGCAGAAAAGGACCTTCGAATTTGATAAGAAGGAACACGCTGTAAGAACATTTGAGATAGGCCCATGCAGATGGTGGCGAAGGTTATGGGAAAGAGAACCGTGGACAAGCAGCCTTTGTGTTAATGTTTCAAACAGTGATGGGAAGCGGGTTTCAGACGCTGGGAAACAAGACGCATGTATCGACCTAAATGATTAGAATATCTTGTGCCGGGAATCTGGCCATAACAAAATGCCAAAAGTTAATGAGATAGATTAATGAGATAGATTAGAAACAACAGAGATTCAAAAACATTTAAAAGCATTTTAATGTATTTGGGTATAGCACAAAAGTAGATATTTAGGTATTTTTTGAGAATTTTAAGAGCTGTCGATTTGTCAGCAATAGATTAGAGAATCAAATACCGTTGTAAAGGGACTGACCCCAGAGAAACCTGCTAAAATAGATTAGCTCTTGTAAGGATAATACCAATTTGATTAATGATGAAGAATCAGACTGACAGCAGTGGTCATCAAAGAGTTTTGTGAAGGAATGTTTCGAATGTGGTTGTGTGTTGTTTGTCTTCTCTGTATTAATTCTTCACAGATAACGAGCCAGAACCAAGAACCAAGGCGATGATGGAAGAGCTCCCCAGTCCCGTCACCCAGAAGGGTTATTGAATAGAGTGGCCTTTTTAAAAGCGGCCAAGAGAGGGAATGTTGTAGAATTAAAATGTTGTATACTAATGATTTTCAGCAGGTGTTTGCATACCATGTCTTTGTGTAATATTAAGCCTGGATCTAGTGGAATTCAGAGAAGGACCAAGCCCGGACTAGGGATGTAAAAAACTATGAATTTTCATGACCGACCACCGAGCCTCATTAACCGGTTGAAACCGGTTAACCGCGTAGTTTAAAATAGTCCACGTTCTTTGAAATAACAGCCATTTCGAGCCGCGTACTTTTCATAAGTGCAGCTCTGAGTTCTACTGGATCAGAGCTGAGACAGCGGCGCCCAAACCCGCAACAGCTCCGGCACCTTTGCGCACAGAGAACTGCTTTTTTAATCTTCCCATTCTGTGCTGCGGGTTAATACCAAAACTTTCTAGCAGCAAACGACGGCTCGTTCACATGGTCAGAGCAGCGAGTGACGAGCCGCGTCTCACAGGTCTTCACAAAAGTTTAAATACAAGTGATGTGTGTGGAGCTGATCCCGAGGACCATAAACACAAACATGGTCCATGTGGTTTGACTGGAGCCGTGTGTTTGTGCGAATCCTTTGGGCTCCATGACACAGAGGTGCGCGACAGACCGGTATGTGTGTGTGTATGTGTGTGTGTGTGTATGTGTGTGTGTATGTATATGTGTGTGTGTAAATGTAAGCTCCAATGTAGTTCTGACCCGCGCCAGTGTGCAACTTTGGCGGTAACAGAGGAGAGATGATGCGTGTGGATGTTACGTATGGAGAGGGGGAAAGAGAGTGTGAGTGTGTGTGTGTGTGTGCGCGCGCGTGCGTGTGTGCATATGTGGCTCGTGCGGCGTGAGAGTCGTCCCGGAGTTTATAATACATGGGCGCATACAGCTAGATACAGACCCGCTCGTCACACCGTGCAAATAGGGCTTAAAAAAGCGTTATTAAGAGACCTCCCCTCTCCCCGTTTTCTCTTTTTTAACCGACAGCTTTGACCGGTTAACGCTGTGACGGTCAACCACCGGTTAACCGGTCGCCGATTTACATCCCTAGCCCGGACCAGACCTCCTTATCGTGTGTATAAATGTAATTCTCTACAAAAAATATATTTGGTAATAGTTCTTTCTTCGAGAGAGAGAGAGAGACAGAAAGAGAGAGAGAGAGAAAGAGGGAGGGGAGGGGCCTCCCGCACAAAGGAAAACATGGACTCTGAAATACTTCCTCCTGTTAGCTACATTTTCCTCGTTTTTATCGTGACAAGGATTTAATTAGTGGTAAAAGTTTTTCTCACGTCAAACGACACTTTACATTTTATCCTTAAATACGTCAGTAATGGAAAACATTACAATTTGCTTACATGACCAATGCATCACTAGGTACAGCCGGATCTTTTTTTTTTTTTAATACCTCTAACTATTGAAACATTACATCAGAATAAGAGAAAAACTTCCATAACTGATCATTCTGGTCATTTCTTCACATGGAAACTCGTATACTACAGCCAAGTGGCTCTTTTTCCCTCATTAATCAGATCATTATTATCAGAATCCACATTTTAAATACTTGGCTTTTTTCCTGCTTAAATGTACCCTTTTTCCCGCCCCCCGGGGGATATAGAAGGTTTTATTATCCTGTTCTGACCCTAAAGTGTCCCTATTTCTCTAATTCTATTCCTATTTTTTCACTATACACTTGTGCCTCTCTGCACTGTAAACTCTGTGGACTTTGTCTTCCTGTATATTCTTTTTTAGAGAGAGACCAACATCCCTCAAGGTTCAAAAACGTCGAAAAACCTGACTATTGTTCTATTGCGTCCGATAGAATCGCCCGTCACGGCGGTCTTGTCCACGCTGCAATCATGCTGGGCCGAGATCTCTCTGTCTTCTATTTAAAACAATGTGCAGATTTTAGAAATGGTATCTGCTTACCTGTGTTTTGCAGAGTAGAGAGCCCCAAGACCCAACAGACCCAGTCTATCTATCTGAGCTCATCTTGCGTCTTCTTTCTGTATCAAATCACGTCGATGGTCACCATCTGTCGTCAAAAGCAATTTGACTGACGTGTTCAGAATTTGATACAGAAATAAGGCCAAGAATGCAAGAGTTAAAAATAGAACATTTAATTCTCTTTACAATTAAATATCGATACAAAACCCTTGGAGCCATTAATTCTCTAAAACTAACCCTATGCTGAGCCATCCTAAAAACTTTCCCTCCAGGCCTGAAAATGTGCAGAGAACATGCAGGCGCTCTGCCATGTTCTCTGTCTAACTGTCCCTGCTCTGACTTCTTGAAAATCTCCTCCCAGCAGTTTCTATCAGAAGGTCTGATGACGTCACAGGTCCCAGACTGGTCCAGTCTGATCCAGCTTTTTCTGGTTTTGGGAGGCGCGTACCCCAGCCAGCCTGGACTCCGGACTTTGTCTGGTCTGGTCTTGGTCTGGTCTGACATCAATCTCCTTCTCCAAACAACTCTTATCTGGCTGGGGGAGCTCTGCATTCCTCACATGGTCTGGCCGACTCTGACTAGGCCCCACTTAATATGAAGTCACTGAAAATATAAACGACGTGTGCAGCATTTCTTGAGATGATGCATTATGTTCTTAAGCCCTTGACCACTCTCACAAACTCACTCTGCAGATTCATACTCCGATGCACTTTTTTCACTCATCTTTGTAAGTAAGTAAGTAAGTAAGTTTTTATTTATATACCGCCTTTTCACTGCAGATCTGAATCTCAAAGCGGTTTACAATTGTTAATTATGGGCATTTGTCTCTCACTCCACACAGAGATGGGAGCGGGGTCGCCAGTACAGGAGGCGCATGCCGGAACTATTGGACATATTTTTAGTGGTAGGGGAAACCGGAGTACCCGGAGGAAACCTACGCAGACACGGGGAGAACATGCAAACTCCACTCAGAAAGGCCCTGGTCCGACCGGGATTCGAACCCAGGACCTTCTTGCTGAGAGGCGAGAGTGCTATCCACTGATATACCTGATTACCTAAAACAACATATGGTTCCATTTAGAACCACACATTCTTTAAGAAATGTGAATTCTCCGTATTTCAGAATCCCCATTGTACGAAGAGAGGACTGGAATAATCTGCCCATGGAACTGCGATCACTATCCTCCCTGCCACAGTTTAAAGCAGCTCTATTCATAAGACTAAATGTATCATGTGCCTGTTTCTAACATAATATTTTCAATGTGTTCTTTAACTGTGTTGAAAACAATTATAATATTATATTCATCGGTTGGGGCTCTCAGTCTACTACAATTTATAATCAAGTTAATATAGCTCTGAAACAGTGTTAGCAGTGGGGGGCTGAGGGGGACTCTGGAAGTGCGGTGCTGAATGTCTGTTGAATGAATGTGGATGTTATTTGTTGGAAACTTTGTTCCTGTTTTTTCTGTAAATTATAAAATGTTTGATTCTGTCATGTGGTCCCAAGACCCTCCTCGAAAAGGAGATGGTTCATCTCAGCATCATCGGTAGTCCACTCTGGAGTAGCATGCACCGTGTGAAACCTCAGTTGCGGAAGTCTCATACCTCTCTGACACATTTGTGCCTGGAACACCTTTCCTGTCTGATAGAAACCTCTGTAGTTTTCACTGTATCACTTTAGTTCTTCAGGAAGTACACAAACATGACACTAGAATAATCATCTGTAAATGATAAAGCATATCTACGGTCTTCTCTGGACATGGGGTCAATAGGAGCAGCTAAATCTATATGCGTCATCTCCAGAGGTGCTTTAGCTTTATTTGTATAGCACAATTCATACACAAGGCCATAGACGTCGGAACTAGGGGTGCGGGGGGTGCGGCCGCACCCCCTCCGCGTGTGCCGGGAGCGAGAAGTTATCACTATCCTGCGTTCCTTGCAGCCCAAAACCCGCTCCATGCTGTCGGAGGTGCTTATGAAGCTCTGTCTGGCTAATATCTGTCGCAGCCTCTGAGCGCTCTTTCTCAGCCTTGCGCAGATTAAAGACCTGGCTACACCAGTGACGTGCGGTGGGGGATCAATCATGTGTTCATATGATTATACATCATATAAAACCAACAGGACCTACAGGAACAGGAGCGGCTTATACACAATTTGTTTGGCTACAGCAGAATATGATTTAATGTCTGCATAGTTTTCTCATAAAAAACGCAAACGTTTGTAAAAAGTACAAAGTGTGTTATGGGCCTTAGGTATTAATGAACAGCACAGACCACTTCAGTTAGGACCAGTTTCATGTTTAAGTCCAGATAATAGTTTGAGCACAGACATGTAATCCTCCATTTGGAAATAAGTTCAATGAGTTTTAAAAAGTAAAAAAAAACGGGTGTCTCCTCCGTAAACTGCGAGTTTTGCTGCAGCCGACTCCCGGGTAAATCCAATTTCTAAATTCAACCTTACCCTTCACCTCCTTTTCTTATGATTCATATCATCATTGGAAGCAAAACATTACTCTAAGTGCATTTTAAATTATCTTAAAATGTATTATAGGTATGTTAGCCAAACCTGTAGCTGCCCTTAGCAGAAAAGAACAAGAAAGGAGCTTTCTGATGGAATTGGATGCAGCCAACGTTTGGGCTCACAAGCGCCCACTTCAGAATCAGAATCAGAATCATTTTTATTGCCACGTGAGTAACAAAGTTATCACTTGGAAATTGTTTTGGCAGAGAGCGTGCCACTTCGCCATTTGCGGCGCTGTGTGCAGCAAGAAACAGCAGAGAGCAATAACATACAGTTCACAGACAATTGGATAGACACATTGTGCTTTTTATAAACCACGGATTTTTTTCTCGGGAAGAGCACCTCTTCGGCCGGCCCAATGTAGCTGTCAGAGGGGGGCGGGATCAGGGAGGGGGTGAGTAGGAAAACAATAAGGAATGGAGGGGAGGGAGGGAGCTGAGGAATGTGAGATAAGAGTGGAGAGAAGCCACAGGAGGAGAAAAACACATCGCCTGCAATGTCGCAGTCAAAAGCAGGCAGATATTCTATTAATTCCAATTAAACCGAATTCCGGTGCCCTCAGACCTCCGTACACAGGGGCAAATCCAAGCCGGGTCAGAGAGATCAAGCCTGACAAACAATGTCATTCAATCTCAATTCCAAAGTCTTATGTCCATCAAGTGAACGAGCTGCGAGGTCTTTGATCAACTGTTCCACCAAAACCACTCTTCTTTGTCCAGACACGGCACTCTCAACCACGACACGGCTAAGCTCCTTGTACATCCCATCAATTTTATCGGCCAGCAGGTCGTGAATCTTGCGAACTGCCATGCCTCCGAATTTGTGGTAGAAGAGGATCGCTCCAAACCCAAACAGGAGGATTCCCACCACCAAAATGCCAAAGATATATACGTCTTCCGAATCTTCAATGGACAGGGTCGACAGACAGAGGGGCTGCCACTTGTTCCAGCTGTCAAGCGTATACCCCGCTGGTGAAGTCCCGTCCGGACACACGGGCTCTCCAGACCCACGCTTACGTGTTGAAAAGATAGAATCAATTGCGTTGAGGGACCAATTAATCATTTCCACTTGAGGCTTTCCTCACTTACAAGCTGTGGTTGAGCGCGATTAAGACCCGTATTTGCTTCAAAAACACAATTTATGAGCCATCCTCTTAAATGTTAACATGTTGATTGTAAATTAAATATTTTTGAACTTTTTAAACTGTGATAAACAGAGAAAACAGTTTGATAGCACCTCACAGGACTCTCCCTGTGAGCTGTTGCTTTTTACGTCTCCCAAGAGAGGCTTGCCTCACAGCGCCGCTCTGTCAAATCTGCGATTTCAAGGTATAAATAAATTAAATAAGGCACAGCACAAATCACTTGATAAAGTGACCAAACGTTATTGTATCCATTATATTACTTTTCTTTCTATGATCTTAGGTGAGGGCCTTACCTGCCTCATCTGACCGCACGTCACTGGGCTACACAACACAATGAAGCCACCGGAGAGACTGACGCATGAATGCGTATTGAAAAAAAAAAAAAGTTCAGTTTGATAAGTGACTTGCTTGATATATATTGTTTATTTTTTTGTTTTTCTTAACAATTAAGATGGTATGTTATTATCCAGTGTAATCCAAGTATGAGTCTCTCCCTCGACTCTCCCAACAAAAACCCGCCCCCCCTCTCAGAAAATAGTTCCGACGTCCATGCACAAGGCAACTCAAAAGTGCTGAACAAAACAAGAAACCATTAAAATAATAAATAATCACAGAACATTAAAAAGAAAGATAAAAATATAAAATCCTTCAGTTGTATGCACAGCTAAACAGAACTGTTTTTAACCTGGTTTTAAACATTATCAGAGAGGAGGCCTGTCTCACATCTTCAGGAAGACTGTTCCAGATTTTAGCAGCATGAATCTGAAATGCATCCTCCCCATGTTTAGTCCTGACTCTGCATGGGCATCAGCAGGAGAACAGAAAAATGCAGAAAAATAATTGTCTTGCCATATAATAATAGACTGAGACTGCAGTAGTTTATCTTTCTACGGTCTCTGAATGAAATGATTTGCTTAAGAGCATTAGATGTTAAGTAGCTTTTCTTCTTGCATTTCCATAATGCCACTTTCTGCGACACCTCGACCTCTCAGGACTCAGGAAATCCCACAGTGGTCTCTGGACCTCCGGGTCCTACAGTCTTTGGTCCTGTTGCTACCATGTTGATGATAGACTATAAGAAAGCTAGTAATGATAGCAACTTTGCGACCATGTCAAATAGTGGATTTTTATCTAAAAAAATGTTAATGTGTCAATATAATCGTATATTACTTGTACTGTTGTTGCTGAATCAATGGACTGCAGCCTGCCTGGTGATGAGGGTGTTTTTGCCCTTACGATATCATGAGATTATCTTTATTTAAATATGATTTTTTTTCTAATTGTTTGTGTTGTTGTTGTGTGTGTGTGTGTGACAACAATCCTCTTCTGCACCCAACACACCTACCATAAACATATAATAATAACATAATAATGATTCATGATGACATTCTTTACACACAGGAGAGACCAATCCGGTTCTCCGCAGTGACGCAGGCGCACTGACGTCTGTGGGCGTGGCTAAAGGCTAGCGGCTAACGGCTAACACAGCAGCAGCAGAAATCACAGAGACAGAAGCAGCCGAGGCAAAGCTGGTGTAGCTTTGTAGCAGCTCACCGTAGCTCTGATCCCAGACCACGTCTATCTTCTATCTGAGCACATAGAAGTGAAGATGGATCCGGGAGCACTCTTCCTGCTGCTGTCCTGTGTCTGCGGGACCGTGTTCAGCGACAGACAGCTGCTTTATGTCACTGTGGTGAGTATGGAACCTTTGCATTAAGATAAAGCTCGTAGACGCGATTGTTTGCACAGGTTATTGACGGTTTTTGACGGGTTTATCTCTTGTGTTGTTGATTACCTTCTTGTGGTTCCAATCGAAAGTGCTTGGGATTATCTGTGGCTGCGTTGCTTAAGTGGCTTGGCTAACCAGTTTAAGACTATTATTGTTTACTCAATCTAAACAAGCACTTATACATTTGTCTGAAAGTCCCAAAAAATGTTGCTTTTAATGTCAATACAATGTTGTTGACGCTGCACAATAACAACTGTAGCTTGATGAACACATGACAGACTGGCGACACAGCAGTTTCCGCACTCTTTGCTTTAGCTAAAATAAGCAAAATAATAATAATCAGGAAATGTACATTCTGAGAGATTATTTGTGGAGGTCAACTCGAGTATTTGTGACTTTCCAACAAAACCCATGTTGTATTATCGATCATCAAAATTGTCAATTGGACTTTACTTGTACTCCAGCACCCAAAGATCTATTGATACATTCGCATCAATAGATTATTATCAAGATCACTGTTTAGCTAAATAAGCTCCCAATTAAAGCCTGAAATCTGAAGTTTTTTGCTAGCCTCAGGTGCACTGTTCAGACACATTTAACAAGTACCCTCCAAATACCTTTATTTGTGTTGACAACCCTAAGTTGGCCAGATCTTCATAAATTCTCAAATCTATGCATAATATATAAAGCAACTCATAATTTGGCTCCCACTCCACTTGCAGGTCTGATAAGTCAAAGGAACAGTAGTGAGCGGCTCACTAGAGGCTCCGTGAGAGGCGACCGTGTGATCCCTCTGCGTAAGAGCACCTTCAGTCAGTCTGCCTGGTCCGTTAGAGGCACCAGAGAGTGGAACTCACTACCACAGACTGTTAGAGGCACCAGAGAGTGGAACTCACTACAGACTGTTAGAGGCACCAGAGAGAGGAACTCACTACAGACTGTTAGAGGCACCAGAGAGTGGAACTCACTACAGACTGTTAGAGGCACCAGAGAGAGGAACTCACTACCACAGACTGTTAGAGGCACCAGAGAGAGGAACTCACCACAGACTGTTAGAGGCACCAGAGAGAGGAACTCACCACAGACTGTTAGAGGCACCAGAGAGTGGAACTCACTACAGACTGTTAGAGGCACCAGAGAGAGGAACTCACTACCACAGACTGTTAGAGGCACCAGAGAGAGGAACTCACTACCACAGACTGTTAGAGGCACCAGAGAGAGGAACTCACTACCACAGACTGTTAGAGGCACCAGAGAGTGGAACTCACTACCACAGACTGTTAGAGGCACCAGAGAGTGGAACTCACTACCACAGACTGTTAGAGGCACCAGAGAGAGGAACTCACTACCACAGACTGTTAGAGGCACCAGAGAGAGGAACTCACTACCACAGACTGTTAGAGGCACCAGAGAGTGGAACTCACTACCACAGACTGTTAGAGGCACCAGAGAGTGGAACTCACTACCACAGACGGTTAGAGGCACCAGAGAGAGGAACTCACTACCACAGACTGTTAGAGGCACCAGAGAGTGGAACTCACCACAGACTGTTAGAGGCACCAGAGAGAGGAACTCACTACAGACTGTTAGAGGCACCAGAGAGAGGAACTCACTACCACAGACTGTTAGAGGCACCAGAGAGAGGAACTCACTACCACAGACTGTTAGAGGCACCAGAGAGAGGAACTCACTACAGACTGTTAGAGGCACCAGAGAGAGGAACTCACTACAGACTGTTAGAGGCACCAGAGAGAGGAACTCACTACCACAGACTGTTAGAGGCACCAGAGAGAGGAACTCACTACCACAGACTGTTAGAGGCACCAGAGAGTGGAACTCACTACTACAGACTGTTAGAGGCACCAGAGAGAGGAACTCACTACCACAGACTGTTAGAGGCACCAGAGAGAGGAACTCACTACCACAGACTGTTAGAGGCACCAGAGAGTGGAACTCACTACCACAGACTGTTAGAGGCACCAGAGAGAGGAACTCACTACCACAGACTGTTAGAGGCACCAGAGAGTGGAACTCACTACCACAGACTGTTAGAGGCACCAGAGAGTGGAACTCACTACCACAGACTGTTAGAGGCACCAGAGAGAGGAACTCACTACCACAGACTGTTAGAGGCACCAGAGAGAGGAACTCACTACCACAGACTGTTAGAGGCACCAGAGAGAGGAACTCACTACCACAGACTGTTAGAGGCACCAGAGAGAGGAACTCACTACCACAGACTGTTAGAGGCACCAGAGAGAGGAACTCACTACCACAGACTGTTAGAGGCACCAGAGAGTGGAACTCACTACCACAGACTGTTAGAGGCACCAGAGAGTGGAACTCACTACCACAGACTGTTAGAGGCACCAGAGAGAGGAACTCACTACCACAGACTGTTAGAGGCACCAGAGAGAGGAACTCACCACAGACTGTTAGAGGCACCAGAGAGAGGAACTCACTACCACAGACTGTTAGAGGCACCAGAGAGAGGAACTCACTACCACAGACTGTTAGAGGCACCAGAGAGAGGAACTCACTACCACAGACTGTTAGAGGCACCAGAGAGAGGAACTCACTACCACAGACTGTTAGAGGCACCAGAGAGAGGAACTCACTACCACAGACTGTTAGAGGCACCAGAGAGTGGAACTCACTACCACAGACTGTTAGAGGCACCAGAGAGTGGAACTCACTACCACAGACTGTTAGAGGCACCAGAGAGTGGAACTCACTACCACAGACTGTTAGAGGCACCAGAGAGAGGAACTCACTACCACAGACTGTTAGAGGCACCAGAGAGTGGAACTCACTACCACAGACTGTTAGAGGCACCAGAGAGAGGAACTCACTACAGACTGTTAGAGGCACCAGAGAGTGGAACTCACTACCACAGACTGTTAGAGGCACCAGAGAGTGGAACTCACTACCACAGACTGTTAGAGGCACCAGAGAGTGGAACTCACTACCACAGACTGTTAGAGGCACCAGAGAGAGGAACTCACTACCACAGACTGTTAGAGGCACCAGAGAGTGGAACTCACTACCACAGACTGTTAGAGGCACCAGAGAGAGGAACTCACTACAGACTGTTAGAGGCACCAGAGAGAGGAACTCACTACCACAGACTGTTAGAGGCACCAGAGAGAGGAACTCACTACCACAGACTGTTAGAGGCACCAGAGAGTGGAACTCACTACCACAGACTGTTAGAGGCACCAGAGAGTGGAACTCACTACCACAGACTGTTAGAGGCACCAGAGAGAGGAACTCACTACAGACTGTTAGAGGCACCAGAGAGTGGAACTCACTACCACAGACTGTTAGAGGCACCAGAGAGAGGAACTCACTACAGACTGTTAGAGGCACCAGAGAGAGGAACTCACTACCACAGACTGTTAGAGGCACCAGAGAGAGGAACTCACTACTACAGACTGTTAGAGGCACCAGAGAGAGGAACTCACTACAGACTGTTAGAGGCACCAGAGAGAGGAACTCACTACAGACTGTTAGAGGCACCAGAGAGAGGAACTCACTACAGTCTGTTAGACAGCAGAGCACATACAGGGCTTTTACACAGCACCTAAAGCAATGGATGGTAAACACATACACCTGCCCACATTAACTGATGTATGATATGCTTATGCAGTCTTGTAAATAGTATATTTTTGAATGTGTGAACACAATGTTAGTCTTGAATGATGTTATCTCTGTCTTGTAATTTTGTCATGTTAATGTATTTTAATATCTTTTTAACATCACAGCCAGGGGACTACAGATGAAAAATAGCCTCCTTGGCTAATTCTGGCTTTTTTAACTCATGTTTTATCATGTGTTTTATTAAATTGCATTGTCCCCCTTTGAACTAAACTAAACTGAAACTGAAACCCCTTTTGAACTTGCAATAGTTAGTTCTAACTCTAATGTTTACTATGACAAGTCAAAAACGCACAACTCTTACTATATATTTACCTAAGTTAGCCTATGTGGATGAAAGACGATTAATTATTCAAGATTCCTCCTCCTGATGCGATGACCTTTCCTCCCCCATCAAAGCATCTGTTAAGAGTATGAAAATTGGACTCGGCCCTGTTTTCATTGTTAAGGACGTTGCATAATAAATGGAGTATGTCAATGTGTCAGCAGGTTGTGGGTGCTACTGACGCACTGTTTGCTTTGTAACATTCAACATATAGCTCAGAATGTAGGTGGTTTTCTTTCCCTTTAAAGCCTCCATTCTGAGAAACGTGCAATGGCAAAGCTGGTTAGTTCAATTAATAATGCATTGGATAGGATTAGGGTTTTCTTACCTGTCCTACCTGACTCCAACGACCAAAACTGCTATTATCCATGCTCCGCTTCATGCAAACTGCCTCAGGCTGTTGTGGCTTCGTGTTACTCAATGGCAAACTTGTTAAGAGGTTTCCTGATCCATGCGCTTCTTATCGGTGAGTGAACCCTGGTCGTGGACACAACACAATGTTCTCTGTCAGCAGATGAGTTCTTTGTTGCAGAATCCAGCTGTAGAAAAACAAAACATTTACATTTGATACTAATTTAAAAACACGATTTGAGATACTCGCTTTATAATGAATTGTGAGCTTTGGATGTGTTACTTGCATATTGGATATAAATGTGTTGAGTGTGTGAAAAGCTGCTTCTTTTAAGAGTTCTGCTTTTAAAAGCGACAAATTATAAAGTTGTTGTCTTTGCCCTTTTAGCTCTTTCGTCACGGAGACCGATCACCCATCCACGCCTACCCCACAGACCCACACACAGAAGACGCTTGGCCCCAAGGCTTTGGCCAACTTTCCCAGGTGCATTGAATATACCCTGTAGTCAAATTTGGTAATAAAATACATACTGGAATGGTGTTTTATGGTGCAGAAGTAGCATGCATCTTGTTTATAGATGGACAGATAGATAAATAGATGGATGGATAGACACTTTATTGAGCCTTACTTAGGAGAAATGCAGGTATACAGAAACAGAAACGCATCCATTCACATAAACACACACACACGTACATGCATTCTAAAAGTTTCTAACTAACTAACATTAGTGCACAGAGTTAAACTCAAGAGAGTTCTGTGGTACAGTCTGGTCGCATGGTTTGAAAGACTAGACTCTATTTTGCGAAATTGTCTCTACATGGTTCCAATGTGTCTGTTATCTCTTTTTCAGGTGGGAATGCAGCAACACTATGATCTTGGACAATTTCTTCGAAAGCGCTACAGCGGATTCCTCAATGAATCTTATGATCGCCATGAGGTATGGTCGTTTGGCCTCAGCAGCCCTGGTCCTACTCCTTTAATATTAACCATTAACACTTCGAGGCCTTAATGGCACTTGTGTGTGAAAAAGTCATCCCAGGACTGTTCCCTTTGACTTTAACGGGGCCCTGTCCTTACAGATATCAGTGCGCAGTACAGACTATGACCGCACCCTGATGAGCGCTGAGGCCAATCTCGCAGGTAAACAACCACATTTAGTTTGAACTTGTGTTATATTTGTCATTTCAATACAATTTATATTTGTATTACATTAAGAAACAACAGTAGTTATATCAGAAGACCGATCAGAGACTCAGTTCAGAACAGTTCAATGCCATGATAAAAACAGAGCCATTGGTCCATGAGAAGCAGATGACCAGTGTCCATAAATATAGATAGATGTGCGTTAATGTTGTTCAATGTGGAGAGTCCTGGATCATCACCACTGACCTTCGACCTCCTGCATTGGCAAGGAAAAACTAAAAAACACAATGGGATTCATGTAGATTTCTTTATTTATCTTCATGCATGCCTTATTCTATTTTTTACGTGTATAACTTGTTTTTAACAGAGAGCCAAATTATATAAATAAATGCAAAATATTTCTAGGAACACCAGCTTCCGCAGTGGTTCTTAGACAAGACACTTCCCCCACATTAGAATGAGTCTGGTGTGTGTGTGAATGGTTGGTGGTGGTGGGCGGGGCCAATAGCACACGATGGTTGCCTCGCTCCTGTCAGTGTGCCCCAGTTCATAATCTCAGTGTATGGAGTGAAAGAATAAAAACAATGTATTATTTTCATTATTTATATTCGGTGTAAAAGCATTTCTTTCAATAACTCCATGCATTCTTATGTGTCAAATTCAGGTCTGTACCCACCTGATGGTTCGCAGATCTTCAACCCAAACCTGAATTGGCAGCCCATTCCCGTGCACACAGTCCCAAAGCATGAAGAGCGGGTCGGTAGTCACGCGCAGCAGTATATTAAACAGTATATTTTTGAGTAGTTCCCCTTTTGAGGTTGCCAATTCAATTTTTTGGTTTACAGCTGCTCTCGTTTCCTCTGGCGGACTGCCCACGCTACCAACAGCTAATGAATGAGACGGAACATACAGAGGAATTCCAAAATGTCACTGCATTATATGAGGTGAGTTATCAGGTTTTTCCCCGTCTTGTACCTAACACAGTGATGAGAAATGTATTTTGTTTTAATTAGGACGTCATTGAGCTGGTGAAAAATAAAACGGGATTGAACCATACAGACATTGAATCAGTTTGGCGCGTCTATGATACTCTGTTCTGTGAGGTAAGATGCTATTGATAACATGAGTATCGCAATAAAACAGACTTTATCAAGGTCATAATTGAAGTCAGAGTGGAAGCAGTGACTCATTTTGATTTCAGGCACAACATAACATGACAGCACCGGTCTGGGTCACTCCTGAAGTTATGGAAAAGCTCAAATATCTGAAGGATTTTGCATTTCAGGTATCATTCTTTTCTCAACTTGGATTGTCATTAGTTTTGGGGGTGGGGGTGGCTGTGAAAGATGGGACGATTCAATAGTATTACGATGTTTGAGCCACAATTCAATAATATTGCAATTCTTTTCATGTCAAGTCCTCATTAAATGGCCCTCATATGTCAAAAGGCATTAAACATCTATTCCAATACTTAAATCCAGTTCAGCCGAGATATCTGGATTTCAAAATTAGTTTTCCAGCCTGTAAATCTTGTTATTGTCTTCATTGTTGTTTCACCAATCTGAAAGTCCGTAATCCGGGTTGCCAGAACTCCGTGTCGAGCTGATCTCATGGTACTCTGGTAAAGTATCATGTGGCGCAGAACTAAAATTATGATTCTCGAATAATTTATGCCAAAATAAGCAATAAAATGAGGATTACTATCTTTGTGAAAAAGGTGTTTGAAGCGGTGTTATAGACGGATTGGATTGGCTTCTTCTGTCTATAGTTCAGAGAGAGAGAGAGACTCAAGGGAGACCAGTGAGAGAGACCAGAGAGAGACCAGCGAGAAGCCAGAGGGATTCACATTATAATGGGCTGTGGCGAGGTTCTCATCCGTATGGAACGATATAGAGAGCATTGACATCGTCCTTCAAAGCAGTGTTCCTGTTTCCTGTGTGTGTGCAGCTGTTTGGAGGACCTGAGTGGAGGCTGATGTAGCTGCAGTCATGTGTCTGTCGGGGCTGGGTGCAGTGACCATGTTCGGCCTGATGGTGGGGCTGTGCTGCTCCCAGTTTGTGTCCCAGCCTGAGACCAATACAGAGGACTGCACCAGGAAGGAGCACCCCATCGTCCCGTACAGAGGTGCTGGTTTAGGGTTGGAAATATGTACAGTATGTGTTTAATGAATGGGATCTCAAAACTGTCTTCCACTTCTTCTTGAGGGTGGTCCTCTCTTTTCACTTTTCTGTGACAGAGACCAGAGAGAGAGCAGAGAGACCAGAGAGGGACCAGAGAGACCAGAGAGGGACCAGAGAGACCAGAGAGGGACCAGAGAGACCAGAGAGGGACCAGAGAGACCAGAGAGGGACCAGAGAGACCAGAGAGAGACCAGAGAGAGAGAGAGATCAGAGAGGGACCATTGAGACCAGACCAGAGAGAGAGACCAGAGAGAGACCAGAGAGAGAGGCCAGAGAGAGACCAGAAAGGGACCACAGAAAGAGACCAGAGAGAGAGGGAGACCAGAGAGAGAGGCCAGAGATTGAGATCAGAGAGCGAGAGCAGAGAGAGACTGAGAGAGAGACCCGGGAGACCAAAGAGAGACTTGACAGAGACTAGTGAGAGAGACCAGAGAGAGGCCAGAGATTGAGATCAGAGAGCGAGAGCAGAGAGAGACTGAGAGAGAGACCCGGGAGACCAAGAGAGCAGAGACGTGAGAGACCAGAGAGAGGCCAGAGATTGAGATCAGAGAGCGAGAGCAGAGAGAGACTGAGAGAGAGACCCGGGAGACCAAGAGAGATGCTTGAGAGAGAGCAGAGACTAGGAGAGAGAGAGCCAGGAACTAGTGACGTTGCTTTTTTATAACTTTTCCATTTTATGTTGTTTGAAATCCCAGTTTTAATTTTACAATTCTTGTTTTGTGCAGTGTTGCGGTTGTGGATGTCTGAATTTTCTTATCCTGAAGCAAAGGACTTCTCTCAGTTTGCCGTGGACCTGAACAGGGGCCAACTCATAGTCGGAGCGCGGTGAGAATCATAAAATAGTACCGAATACACTCTCTGGTCTCTCTCTATAGTCACTCTCTGGTCTCTCTCTGGTCACTCTCTGGTCTCTCTCTGGTCTCTCTCTGGTCTCTCTCTCTCTCTGTCTCTCTCTGGTCTCTCTCTGGTCACTCTCTGGTCTCTCTCTGGTCTCTCTCTGGTTTCTCTCTGGTCTCTCTCTGGTCTCTCTCTGGCCTCTCTCCCACTCTCTGGTCTCTCTCTGGTCTCTCACTCTCTGGTCTCTCTCTGGTCTCTCTCTCTGGTCTCTCTCTGGTCTCTCTCTGGTCACTCTCTGGTCTCTCTCTGGCTTCTCTCTCTGGTCTCTCTCTGGTCTCTCTCTCTGGTCTCTCTCTGGTCTCTCTCTGGTCTCTCTCTCTGGTCTCTCTCTCTGGTCTCTCTCTGGTCTCTCTCTGGTCTCTCTCTGGGTCTCTCTCTGGTCTCTCTCTCTCTGGTCTCTCTCTGGTCTCTCTCTGGTCTCTCTCTGGTCTCTCTCTGGTCTCTCTCTCTGGTCTCTCTCTGGTCTCTCTCTGGTCTCTCTCTGGTCTCTCTAGGTCTCTCTCTGGTCTCTCTCTGGTCTCTCTCTGGTCTCTCTCTGGTCTCTCTCTGGTCTCTCTCTAGTCTCTCTCTGGTCTCTCTCTCTGGTCTCTATCTGGTCTCTCTCTAGTCTCTCTGGTGAATGTATACATTCTTTTGATTCTATTTCACTGTTGTCTTTTGCAGAAACTTCCTCTTCAGGCTACATTTGACCAACATCTCACTCATACAGGTAACAGCCTTTAATTCAATCATAAAGATAAAATTATTAACAATATGTAATTATAATCCAGGCAGCGGAATGGGCTCCAGATGAAGACACTAAACTCTCCTGTCAAAGTAAAGGCAAAACAGAGGTAATTTCAGATTCAGATAGCAAAATGAATTCACGACAAACTCTATATTCATTATTATTATTATTGTTATGATTAAGTATTTTTTGTAGCTATAGTAAAGAGCAGCAGGTTTATAGCAAAGGCAAATGTTTTTATACAGCACCGTTCATAAAGAAATAACTCAGGTTTTACAGACACAGAAAGAATGGGACACAGTTTTTGAATGTGCAAATAAAGTATTTACAATAGTACGTTGTAAATGGCATTTCACAATATTTATATTATTATTAGTGTGTTAGCTTTGAGTGCAGCTTTGTTTTATTAAGGCTCATTACAGGGAAACGTGCCTCCAGAGGTACAGTAGCTTTAACACAGCACCTCAGCTTAACCATCTTCAGTGTGGTTATGAAGTCCATGGTTAGGTTATTGTCACATTAACCATCTTCAGTGAGGTAAGGTCCATGGTTATGTTATTGTCACAGAGAAAGCATCAAACTGACCATGATTCAGTTGAAATGAACAAAACAACTTCCATAACGTGATCCAACGTGATGAAATGTCCAAAAGTCATCACCTCCATTTGCAGCTTTGTCATAACACCTGCTTTACCGTCGGTACCAGGCTTAAGGGAAATGAGTGCGGCGGTGAAGATGTCCACAAGAGGGCGCCAAAGTATACAGAAAAGGGCTTGAAGACCAGTTACACAGACAAATGAATACAAGAAGAGCAAAACTACTGTCAACAAAGATGAACAAAATAATGCCATGATGAAAAACAATGAACATCCTCACACAGTTAATGAACATTTAAGTGAGTTTACAAAACTTTAGTGACTTTGATCAGGCAAATGAAAATGTTCTTTGGTTGCTGTGAAGAAGAGAAAGAAGCTGACATACTGGTTCATACCCAAAAAGGAACAGTACTGCAATTTCATATTATAAATTGAAAAATGGTCATTTTCTGCAAGACTCCCACAACAGGACGACGTGGACCCAGATGACAGCGCATCGATGACTGAACAGGATCCTGCGTGTCCAGAACCAAGACCAGCTTCTGCGGTTCATCAACATCTTCTAAATCTTCTGCGCACCGAAAGGAACAAACGGAGAGAGCTGCGCTGATTGTTCAAGCAGAAAAACTCAAAGAAGTTTTGCAATTTGAAGAGCTGAAATTAAAGGCCAAAAAAGACCAGCTGGAGATGGAAACTCAAATATCTTATTCCTCAAACACCTAGATAAAGGTGTTTGAGGAGTGTGAGTCTGAGGAAAATGAGAACAAGAGTGTAACTAGCCAACGCTGAGTTCGGAGGTATAAACACATTGTGACTAATGAACAGCCTCATACTTACCACATGAACCAACCTAAAATGGAGTTTCCCGCTCAACGAGTAGAAATGGACAAAACCTTGGTGAGGTAATGCCAAAACTAAATAAGACTCACAAACTTACCTCAAAGAGATGTTCCCATTGTTAGTGGTGATCCGTTAGAGTTCAGATCCTTTAGAGCTTTTGAGCTTACAATTAGTGGTAAAACAGATAACGACAGTGACAAGATTTACTGACTTGAACAATTCACAAGAGCTGAACCTAGACTTACAAAAAAAATTACAAAGTAAACAGTCTCCTTCTATTTATAACTGCCTAACATAATGCGTAATTTCACCTTGGAGAGACCCATGAGGAAAATGCCGTTAGACTTATTAGATTTAAGCATGTTTATTGATTGAGCATGTTTGGCGCCCTAGGCCCGGGAGGGATGCTGTTGAGCACGGCGCTTGCTCGCGTGCATAATCCCCAAAAAGCGGGCCTGCGATTGGGATAGCAGGACGTACTGCGCGGGCCTGAGAGCATGAGTGAGAGGCTTCTCGCACGGTCGCTCAGCCAGGCTGCGTCCGCTGGGGCCCGTGTTTGTTTAGGCGGGGCGAGCTGAGAATATGAGCGTGCTCATATTCAGCTAGACGCTGAAGCAGAGGAATCTAAGCGAGCTGAGAACATGCACGCATGCGCATGTTCAGCCAGACGCTGAAGCAGAGGAATCTAAGCGAGCTGAGAACATGCGCGCACGCGCATGTTCAGCCAGATGCTGCAACAGGGGAATCTTTGAGCGTTTGAGGAAAGTGCGTGCCGCCACCAGAATCTTATTGCTTACTTGCTTTGCAGGGAGCTTACGAGGAAGCCGGTAGACATTGTGCTGCCATGATAGCGGTCGCATCTGGCCTGATGTAGGCGGAGAAAGCCGAAGAGGACCAGCGCCCCAGCTGTTGCAGAGAAGAGTGGGGGAGCCTCAGCGTGGCAGCGCCTATCCTGAAGGAGTGGGCTGTATAGAGCTGGGGAGACAAATTGCAGAGGAGCAGTAGGGATCTTAGCTGAGCTCTGAACCAGGTTGCTGTTATGGGAAGGTTGTCTGGAGCGGGAATTGGAGGTCCGTTAAAATCTTTTTGCGGCGGAGGCGAGTGTAACGCATCATGGACCTGTAGGGGCAGAGAGATGTGTCGGAGCGAGCTATTATTGTGTTGCAGGCGCCTTTGATCTTTAAATGTTTGAGATGAAGGTTGAAATGGTCAGGGGACATTATGTTGGGTGAAAAAGAGCGACCTTTGTTTAATGCTTCCACTACGTCGAGATTATCACGCATGACAGAGATCCTCTTTCTCTGCCACGTGTGATTCCACAGCGCGCAGGCCACGACCACTGGGAATATCTCGTGTAGGGCAGAGGAAATGCTCCGGGGAAAAGTAGCGGGCCACGGCCCGGCGAACCACTGGTCCTGGAAGAACCCCCAAAACCCACGGAAGGGGCACGTCCGTGTAGAGGCGGAGACCTGTAGGGGCAGAGAGACATACCGGAGAGGGCCATTGATGTTGCAGGCGCCCTTACGCTTAGAATCTTGGGTTGGAGATTAGATAATCAGGACAGTAGGATAGGTTGGGAAAAGCCGTGTCTCGGACCGCATGAAGGTTGAGTGAGCAGTAGTGAAACGCTTATGCAGAGAAGCCACAGAAGGAGAGCAGGAAGATGCTGCGAGGAGGGCAGACATGTACTTGGAAGATGAGCCGGAATTCAGTGCCGCTCAGAGCTGCTGCAGGATGGGCAGCATGATGGGGAGCCTGCGATCAGAAGAGTGAAGAATACAGGTATGGATGCCTTTGATTAGGAGTCCGATTGACGGCTCAGCGCAGCTACTCGGCCAGCTGCATCTGATAGAATCAGAAGATTAAGTAGAGAGATGAAGCATGACCGCCGAAGCGACCCTGGGAGCATAGTCCAGCGCAGCGCGGCATACTCAGCCGGGCTGCATCCATTAGAAGCGGGATAAGCTTCTGAGAGAGTGGGTTGCAGCAGTAGCAGTAGCAGCAGCGGCAGCAGCAGTAACCTCAGATAATAACAGCAATAAGCCTGTATCAAGCCGCGGCAGCGGCAGCAGCAGCAGCAGCAGCATCCTTAGAAAATAACAGTAATAATCCTGTATAAAAGCCACAGCAGTAGAATGTTGTTGTAGCTGTTCAGTGTTTCAGTAAAAGAGATGCAAGTGAAGAGAGATGTCAAAGTAAATTAAGCAGCAGCAGCAGTAGCAGTAGCAGCAGTAGCAGTATGAAGCAGCAGCAGCAGTAGCAGTATGAAGCAGCAGCAGCAGTAGCAGTATGAAGCAGCAGCAGCAGCAGCGGTTGCAGCATCCGTAGATAATAACAGCAATAATCCTGTATCAAAGCCACAGCAGTAGAATATAGTTGTAGCTGTTTAGTGTTTCAGTAAAAGAGATGCGAAGTGAAGAGGTGTCAAAGTAAAGAAGCAGCAGCAGCACGGCAGCAGATGCAGTATGAAGCAGCAGCGGCAGCAATAGCAGCAGTAGCAGCAGTAGCGGTAGCAGTATGACGCAGCAGAAGCAGCATTAGCAGGAGCAGTAGCACCACAATGCGATTCATACGAACAAACAGACGTGTCACGCCAGCGTGCGCCGCTTGTCTCCGTGAGCCAGGTTACGTACGTGTCTGAAAGAGCCAAGCCGTAGAGACAGGTGCAGCCTGGGAGCCTGCGGAGCGGCAGCGGCAGGAACAGCAGCAGCGGCACATGTCAGCAGGAGCGGCAGCAGGAACAGGCAGCAGCAGGAGCGGCAGCAGGAGCAGGCAGCAGCAGGAGCGGCAGCAGGAGCAGGCAGCAGCAGGAGCGGCAGCAGGAGCAGGCAGCAGCAGGAGCGGCAGCAGGAGCAGGCAGCAGCAGGAGCGGCAGCAGGAGCAGGCAGCAGCAGGAGCGGCAGCAGAAACAGGCAGCAGCAGGAGCGGCAGCAGGAACAGGCAGCAGGAACAGGCAGCAGCAGGAGCGGCAGCAGGAACAGGCAGCAGCGGGAACAGGCAGCAGCAGGCAGCAGCGGGAACAGGCATCAGTAGGAACGGCAGCAGGGACTGCAGCAGCGGCGGTCAGAGAGCCATGCCCATGGTTGTTTAAGAGCCTGAGGAAATAAATCAACCCGAATCCGAAACATTCCCATGCCAAAAACAGATGTCCCCTGGAGCCATCTTGCTGCTTTGGTTATGGCAGAGACGCATGAACGATCACTTTTCCATGCGTTCATTAGCTCCAGCTCCACTTCAAACCCATTGCAGATTCACATTGGGCCCCTTTTCTTTCTGCTGCACTTTCAAAATGCAACAACTGCAGTTTAGTTTCCCAATTTAATACTAGTGACCTAGCTATTTAAATGCATGGCCCCTCTTTCCTCCTGCAGATAGACGAATTTAAATGCATTCATTTAACAATAGTGACCTGCGAGTAATGAGATTAATGCCGTAAAGATGGCGCCGTGGCAAGAGCTCTGTGTGTGCCGTCTGGAGCACGATGGGGTAGTTTTTGCACATTTTTTCCAACGTGGTTTTACTGCAAGTGGCAGAACATGAATCTGAATTAATGCACATTGCTCCTCTTATATCCCTCAGACGACAGAGATTGATGCCATTTAAGATGCATTGTCCCTCAGTTAGCTCAACACGTGTAAAACGGAGCCTGCAGACCAAGCACGGGGCGAAAAACTGACGCCTGCAGTCAAGTGCGCAGGGCAAAAACCAGCCGCCTGCAGCCTAGACTCCGGGATTAATCCGTCCGCGGTCGGCACACTCACTGTACTCACATGCCAGGAGACTTGGGAAAGCAACGGGACAACGCGGCACCGCCAATCGGAGGCAGGGACACGCACGGCACCGCCAGACCGTCTGCGCGCGGCAGCAGACCACGAGGAACGAGCAGCACAGAACCTGCAGAGGGGCCCCGCGGAGCAGCCCGCAGAAGAGCCCGCAGAGGAGGAGAGCGGCGGAGACACGCGAACCACAGCAGGTGCAGGGACGCGGAGGAGGAGCAGACCACGAGCAGCCAGACTGAGGACAGCCGGGTCACGCGCACGAGCAACACGTGAGCAGAAGCGACCCCTTCAGAACAACGCATGCATTTGCGAACAGGTGCGTTAGCGACATGCACCTTGCAGGCTTCAGAAGTTTGCAGACTTGAGAAGGCCGGCAAGTGGGAGTCTCCGGCTTTTAACTTGCTGTCCTGGTGGTTATTGGTTGGCTGGATGTGGGCGTTGCTGGTCTGATGAGCCGAGGAAGAGCAGCCTGTAGATCTGGGCAAGCAGCAGCCGGGTCTACCACAGTGAACTTTCGCGAAAGCTCCATAATTCTCTTTTAAATGAGTGTCTGTTGTTTTTCAGGACGAGTGTCAAAACTATGTACGTGTTTTATTAACGAGTGGATCCACGCTGTTCACCTGCGGCACCAACGCCTTCGCTCCCGTCTGTATGACCCGCCAGGTGAGGACCTACACATTAGGGCTGGGACTTGGCGAACACGTTAGCAGCACTTGTTTACACTCTCGGGAGAATGAGAACTCAGGCTAGGGCCATATGTTCACAAGCACATTGTCAGTCCTGGGTTAATCCTGGGTACTCCTCGTTTAGCTCCTGTTTTGGCTGTTTTCGAGCGTTTTCATCTGACCGGCATGTGTCCTTGTGACCACTTTGCGGCTCTCTTATTGGTTGCCGCACATGTGGCCAGCGGAAAAAGTTTTAGCTTTTTACACTCAGGGTTATTAGAAGCATTTATTGGTATTTGAATATTTTCACATTTTGATATGAATAAAACAATTACATTTGAATTTTGTTTTTGAGCTTTAGACCCTGCTCTACTACACATGCATATTATTCTATTTTCCCCTTTCTCTGGTTTGAAAATGGGGCTGCTGTATTTAACAAGCAGCCCTTGTGTCTGTAGCCTCTCAGATCTCCCTATCCCTGTCTCTTCTTCCTCTCTCAGATCACCAACATCAGTGAGGTGCTGGATTCCATAAACGGGGTGGCTCGCTGTCCGTACGACCCTCTGCATAACTCCACGGCCATGATCACAGCAAGAGGAGAGCTGTATGCCGCCACGGTCATCGACTTCTCTGGACGAGACCCGGTCCTGTACCGCAGCTTGGGAAACATGCCCCCGCTCCGGAGCGCACAGTACAACTCCAAGTGGCTGAATGGTGAAACATGAGAAAGCACTGGATTCATGCAGAGAAGACATGGTGCTGTCTAAAGGCCAGATAGAATGCAGTACCGTGTTTTTCTTTACCGTACCGTACCGTACAGTACCGTACTAGTCTTTTGTTTTAATCCTGTGCGCCCTATGTATGGAATTTCCGATCCGGCACGGAATAAATGAAGCGCAAACACAACTATTTTCGAATTTGGATTAAAAAACCCTAAAATTCTCCTCCTCCCTCTGGTGGCAGCGTAGGGAGTTACAGGCAGAAAGAATTATGCACTCTTCATTCTTATTTCTCCATATATTTTTTTTACTGAAGATTGTATTCCCCTTTTCTAAATGAGTACAGAAGAAAATAATTGTAATGTTCTTTTTCAGGTCTCTATCTCTGCTCTCTCTATCTTCTCTCTGTCTCTGGTCTCTCTCTGCTCTCTCTCTCCATGCTTTCCTCTCTAGTTAGTATCTCTCTGTCCAAAAATAATGCCAATAATGTAATACTCCTTCTCTCCAGAGCCAAACTTCTTGTCCGTGTACGAGATTGGCCGGTTTGTGTACTTCTTCCTGCGGGAGACGGCGGTAGAGAACGACTGTGGGAAGATGGTGTTCTCTCGTGTGGCTCGCGTCTGTAAGAACGACATGGGCGGCCGCTTCCTGCTGGAAGACACCTGGACCACCTTCATGAAGGCTAGACTCAACTGCTCTCGCCCCGGAGAGATCCCCTTCTACTTCAACGAGCTCCAAAGCACCTTCCACCTGCCCGAGCACGACCTGATCTATGGCATCTTCACCACCAACGTGTGAGTGACACTGGGAGTGCGTTAAACACAAACACAGACACATAGGAGCCTTTGGTCCATCGGGAGCTGGACAACCACTGTGCAGACATGTTTATAAATGTGCTGTATTTAGACCCACTGGTCTTTTCTCTGGTCTCTCTCAGGCCTCTCCCTGGTCTCTTTTTCTGGTCTCTCACTAGTCCCTCTCTCTCTGATCACTCTCTGGTCTCTCTCTGGTCTCTCTCTCTGGTCTCTCTCTGGTCTCTCTCTGGTCTCTCTCTAGTCTCTCTCTGGTCTTTCTCTGGTCCCTCTCTTGTCTCTCTCTGGTCTCTCTCTGGTCTCTCTCTGGTCTCTCTCTGGTCTCTCTCTTGTCTCTCTCTGGTCTCTCTCTGGTCTCTCTCTGGTCCCTCTCTTGTCTCTCTCTGGTCTCTCTCTGGTCTCTCTCTGGTCTCTCTCTTGTCTCTCTCTGGTCTCTCTCTGGTCTCTCTCTTGTCTCTCTCTGGTCTCTCTCTGGTCTCTCTCTTGTCTCTCTCTGGTCTCTCTCTGGTCTCTCTCTGGTCTCTCTCTGGTCTCTCTCTTGTCTCTCTCTGGTCTCTCTCTGGTCCCTCTCTTGTCTCTTTCTGGTCCCTCTCTTGTCTCTCTCTGGTCTCCTCTCTGGTCTCTCTCTTGTCTCTCTCTTGTCTCTCTCTGGTCTCTCTCTGGTCTCTCTCTGGTCTCTCTCTGGTCTCTCTCTGGTCTCTCTCTGGTCTCTCTCTTGTCTCTCTCTGGTCTCTCTCTGGTCCCTCTCTTGTCTCTTTCTGGTCCCTCTCTTGTCTCTCTCTGGTCTCTCTCTGGTCTCTCTCTGGTCTCTCTCTTGTCTCTCTCTGGTCTCTCTCTGGTCTCTCTCTGGTCTCTCTCTGGTCTCTCTCTTGTCTCTCTCTGGTCTCTCTCTGGTCCCTCTCTTGTCTCTTTCTGGTCCCTCTCTTGTCTCTCTCTGGTCTCTCTCTTGTCTCTCTCTTGTCTCTCTCTGGTCTCTCTGGTCTTTCTCTGGTCCCTCTCTTGTCTCTCTCTGGTCTCTCTCTGGTCTCTCTCTGGTCTCTCTCTGGTCCCTCTCTTGTCTCTCTCTGGTCTCTCTCTGGTCTCTCTCTGGTCTCTCTCTTGTCTCTCTCTGGTCTCTCTCTGGTCCCTCTCTTGTCTCTCTCTGGTCTCTCTCTTGTCTCTCTCTTGTCTCTCTCTGGTCTCTCTCTGGTCCCTCTCTTGTCTCTCTCTGGTCTCTCTCTTGTCTCTCTCTTGTCTCTCTCTGGTCCCTCTCTTGTCTCTCTCTTGTCTCTCTCTTGTCTCTCTCTTGTCTCTCTCTTGTCTCTCTCTGGTCTCTCTCTCTGGTCTCTCTCTGGTCTACCCCTGGTCTACCCCTGGTGTCATGTTTGTCCTCATTGTTTCTACAGAAATAGTTTGTCTGCGTCGGCCATTTGCGCCTTCAACCTCAGTGCCATCACCACAGCCTTCAACGGACCCTTCCGCTTCCAGGAAAACCCACGCACAGCCTGGCAACCCACGCCCAACCCTATCCCCAACTTCCAGGTAACTCTGGACTCTGGACTGGTCTCTGAAGGCACTTGGCCTTACCAAGTTCTTACCTTACAAGAGGAATGCTCTCTCTCTCTCTCTCAGCACTTAAGCAGATCTAATGAAGGACTTAAAAGCAGAAACTAAAGCAGAAACTAAAGGACTAAAACAGGTTTAAAGACTGAAAAGCCGGACTAAAGCAGGAATAAAAAAGAGACGGAAGCAGTACTGAAGCAGGACTCAAGCAGAGACTAAAGCAGGACTAATGCAGGTGTGTTCGTGTCTCTCAGTGCGGGACGCTGGAGGAGGCCGGTCCAGGGGCAAACCTGACGGAGCGCAGTTTACAGGACGCTCAGAGGCTGTTCCTGATGAACGACGTGGTGCAGCCTCTGACCGTGAACCCCCTTCTCACCCAGGACAGCGTGAGGCTCTCCTGCCTCTGTGTGGACTTGGTGCAGGGCCGAGACCGGGTCTACCACGTCATGTACATTGGGACAGGTGAGAGGCGTGAGGGGGTCTCTCCCTCTCTCTCTCTCTCTCTATCACTATTCTGTCTAAAACATCTGATCTAAAGCTGTGACAGGGGCCCGGAATTCATGAAAACTATCGATAGAAGTGATTTTAGAGTCTGTTGGGTACACGTAGGTTAGGGGTCACACCAGGGAAAATATTTAACATCATGTGCGTGCTGTAGAGTTTCGCTTTTCAGCCCGAGCCCGTTCGGGCCTCATTTGGCGCTCAGCTGTCGGGTTCGTGCCGGGCTCGGGCTTCTTTTTTTAAATATATGTTTTTTTTTATTATTATTATAATTATTTTTAAATGATTTTTATACATAATGATTTGCATATATATATATTAATAACAATGTCCGTTGATTGACAACAAGTTATTAAAAAAAGTTAATATATTAATGACACCGTACCAAGCGTGTCCTACAGCAGCGGCGAGCCGTGAACGCATCATCCCCGTGTCTCCTGCTGCATGCTGTGGTCAACAGCGAACAGGAACAATAGTAGAAATGGATCAAGTGGAGACAAAACAAATTCAAAAGTGGAGACTAAACTTGCAATTGGAAGGTGAGTGCGTACAACGGGAAATCAGATGTGTCGGGTTCTGTCGGGCTCGGGCCTGTTATACAGCGTTCATTGGTCGGGCTTATACGGGCTCGGGCTTAACATTAGCGGGCTCGGGCCGGGTCGGACTTCATTTTTCAGGCCCGAACGAAACTCTAGCGTGCTGAGCCGTGGAGCTGTGTTTGGGTTTCCTCTACTGCTGCTACTACTGCTGCTACTACTATAACTACTACTACTACTTTCCTTCTTTCTTCAGAGTATGGGACTGTCCTGAAGGCCTTGTCCACCACTGACAAGAGGCTCCAAGGCTGTTACCTGGAGGAGCTCAGGCCCCTCCCCCCCGGGCTGGGAGGACCAATCAGGAGCCTGCGTCTGCTGCAGAGTGACCGCTCGCTCTTTGTGGGCCTGAGCGACCGCACAGTGAAGATTCCTCTGGAGAGATGCTCCAGCCACGCCACCGAGAGGTACAGCAGGAGTAATACAACAGGAGTAATACAGCAGGAGTAACACAGCAGGAGGTCTACAGCAGGAGTACCACAGCAGGAGTAACACAGCAGGAGGTCTACAGCAGGAGTAACACAGCAGGAGTAACACAGCAGGAGGTCTACAGCAGGAGTAACACAGCAGGAGTAACACAGCAGGAGGTCTACAGCAGGAGTAACACAGCAGGAGGTCTACAGCAGGAGTAATACAGCAGGAGTAACACAGCAGGAGTAACACAGCAGGAGTAACACAGCAGGAGGTCTACAGCAGGAGTAATACAGCAGGAGTAATACAGCAGGAGTAACACAGCAGGTCTACAGCAGGAGTAATACAGCAGGAGTAACACAGCAGGAGTACCACAGAAGGAGTAATACAGCAGGAGTAACACAGCAGGTCTACAGTAAGTAGTAGTAGTAGTAAGTAATCATTATTTATATACCGCCTTTTCACTGCAGATCTGAGTCTCAAAGCGGTTTACAATTGTTAATTTTGGGCATTTGTCTCTCACTCCACACAGAGATGGGAGCGGGGCCAGTACAGGAGGCACATGCCAGAACTATTGGACATATTTTTAGTGGTAGGGGAAACCGGAGTACCCGGAGGAAACCTACGCAGACACGGGGAGAACATGCAAACTCCACTCAGAAAGGCCCTGGTCCGACCGGGATTCGAACCCAGGACCTTCTTGCTGAGAGGCGAGAGTGCTATCCACTCAGCCACCGTGCCGCCCGGTGTAACACAGCAGGAGTAATAGAGCTAGAGTAACACAGCAGGAGTAATACAGCTGGAGCTTTCCTCGAAGATCAACTTCAATAGAGTGCTCTCTACTCTACTCTACTCTACTCTACTCTACTCTACTCTACTCTACTCTACTCTACTCTACTCTACTCTACTCTACTCTACTCTACTCTAACCCTAACCTTAAGTTTACTCATCGGCCCAATGCTAATAGGATAAACATTGGCGGACATCGATATTTCTACTGATTTATTGTGCATCCCTACTAACAAAATAACTATGGAACAATGTAACAATTATTAAACTGCTATTGAGAAGCTGCAATGATTACATTTGTCCACTAGATATCAGTGTTTCAAGCTAGTCTGAGAAAAATGGTGCCGCGTCCTGCTAAAACCATGGGGAGCACTGCTAATCTTCTCTACCCTTCTCTACTCTGCTCTACCCTTCCCTTCTCTACCCTACTCTACTCTACCCTTCTCTACTCTGCTCTACCCTTCCCTTCTCTACCCTACTCTACTCTACCCTTATCTACTCTGCTCTACCCTTCCCTTCTCTACCCTACTCTACTCTACCCTTCTCTACTCTGCTCTACCCTTCCCTTCTCTACCCTACTCTACTCTACCCTTCTCTACTCTGCTCTACTCTTCCCTATTCTACTCTATCTAATTTTTAAAACATAGTCGGTGTTCCTATGCTTTTGGAAACACAATGATTCACTGTAGGACTAGGAAACATTTACCCACCACAACCTTTATATTCCCTAGCATACAACAACTCTAGATGTAATGTGTGTGTGTGTGTGTGTGTGTACGCGTGTGTATGTGTGTGTACGTGTGTGTGTGTGTACGTGTGTGTGTGTGTGTGTGTGTGTTTAGACAGTGTGTTGAGGCCCGGGACCCATACTGTGGCTGGGACCGGCTGAAACGTCGCTGTACCACATTGGATGAGAGCTCCAGTGTGTCGCACTGGATCCAGGACATCTCAGACTGCCCTGTGAGTCCCAGTCTCAGGAGACACTCTACCTCTGTGTCTCTCTCATTTAGTTTACTTTTGATGTACAGTATACTGAGACCTCTGACCAGAGATGGGGACTCACGAGTCGGACTTAAGTTGCTATTTTTAGAGACTTGCGACTCGACTTGGACTTGTCCCCTAAAGACGACTTGACTCGGACCCGCCCTCTAAAGACTCAAGACTTGACTCGGACCCGCCCTCTAAAGACTCAGGACTTGAATCGGACTCAGGACTTGACTCGGACCCGCCCTCTAAAGACTCAGGACTTGACTCGGACCCGCCCTCTAAAGACTCAGGACTTGAATCGGACTCAGGACTTGACTCGGACCCGCCCTCTAAAGACTCAGGACTTGACTCGGACTCGGGACTTGACTCGGACTCGTTGTTTTTGGACTTGTGAACATTGCGAGTCCTGACGCTCCAGATCCATCCATTTCACAGGTCACCTCCTCCCGCTTGTTTGCAGGTGAGGAATTTAACACAGGACGGAGGGTTTGGCTCGTGGGCACAGTGGCAGCATTGCTCTCACAGCGACGGTGAGGGCTCCAGCCAGTGCTTGTGTCGGTCGCGGTCGTGTGAAGGTCCCCCGGCTCGGTGCGGAGGAGAAGCGTGCAAGGGGCCCACCATTCAGGTCGCAAACTGCTCCAGGTTAAAAATACACCATTTATACCTTTTCTTCCCAATATATGAGCGGTACGGCTTTACTCTGGTCATTTATATCTGAGGTTTATATTACTCTATGATGTCATTCATTTGTTTGTTTATTAATTTAAATATTCAAGTATTTTCGAATATTTAATCATAATAAAGTGACGATCAAACTGAACTTGTATGTTTTGTCCAACAGAGGGCACTGTGGTACTGTCAATCAAAGTAAATAAGCAGACAGCGATGTTTTAATATTTTTTAAATGTAAGATTAGAAACAAACTTTAGCCTGTGGTGGCTTACATAATTTACCCCAGGAACTAGGTTTACCCTGGGGGGGTTTCCAGGGGGGGCAGTTTATACTTGTGCACACTTTTTCTCTGTTGAGTTTTTGGTTGTGTAAGAAAAGTTGTATGTTTCAGACTGACTGTTAAAAGGCATTAAAAGTCTACATTTGTCACTGCTGTTTGACACATACTGGAGCTACATACAACCTGGTCCTTCGATGGGATTTTCCCCAGAATTATTTTCTAATATCTAAATTCAGAGTCAAAGCCCTAGTCTGCTTGTTCCTCTATGATGTCTGCTTGTTGTGACTCTAGGTTAGTGATCGCAATAATATTGAGTCGTGGCCCAAATATTGCAATACTGTCGAATTGTCTCATTATTTCCAATTCCCACCCACATTTATTTTACCTATTCTTCCCAATATTATATATAATATTCTCACACTCTACAAAGCTTATTTCAGCTGTTCTGGTTAATTAAGTTCTGGTTCATAACAAAGGAAAGGGCTCATTTTCTCACTTAGTGCCTTATAAACAGAAATATTAAAGCTGGGTTACGTAACTTTTCTGTTTCATCTATAATGATACATTGCGTTTAGCCCAACAGAAAGAAAACATGTTGGCTTTTGTATTTGAAAGAGTATCCTGACTCTCGCTAGACACTTAATGCACTATTCCTTCTTCTGGTTTTGCTTCTGCAGAAATGGAGGCTGGACTCCCTGGTCGTCATGGGGACAGTGCAGCAGCAGTTGTGGCATCGGCTTCGAGGTCAGACAGAGGTCGTGTAATAACCCCTCGCCACGACACGGAGGCAGAGTGTGTGTGGGTCAGGCCCGAGAGGAGAGGTGAGGTGTGTGTGTGTGTGTGTGTATGTGGTGTGTGTGTGTGTGTGTGTGTGTGTGTGTATGTGTATGTGTGTGTGTGTGTGTGTGTGTATGTGTATGTGTGTGTGTGTGTGTGTGTGTGTGGGGTCTCGTTCAGAGGCAGAAGCTACAGAGATGTTGTGGAGCGCTGCGTAGGGGTCTGTGGAACTTTACAATACGACACGCGTGACCCCCATCAGTATAACCACTTCCTCAACAACATCCTCCTCAGGCAAAGGCGTAAAAGAACCATAATTCTGCATTTAACAGCAGCTGCGAAAATGGAAACTGAAACTACAGTATTGCATGGTTTTGTTTGGACGAACTAAGGAGTAGAATGGCTCCTCCGTGTAACGTTGGAAACACATTATTAGTTGATCCACTGCCGTTGCTGTTTACGTTTCTTCTTTGCCACTGCGCATGTCCAAATGTTCGTGCGTGGAAGTGGTGAGCAGCCAGAGAAGCTGTGGTACAGCCCCAGCCGCGCAGCAAACCTGTTCTGTTTCTCTCTGGAGGATGTTTCTCAACACTAGCATTTTCACCTGAACATTACACAAAATGCCAATCCAATACCCAACTCTAACATTTTACAATCACAGCATCCTTGTGTAAACGGCACATGGGAGTGGAATGAGCAAGTTAGGGTCCCAAACCTTTTTTAGCTGAGAGTCAATAAAGTCGCAAACTTAAAAATGTATTTATTGACACTTGGCTCCTTCCCTAAACTTTCTTCACAGTAATAGAAATATAAATAATAATTAAACAACAAGAAGCAGCTTGGTGGCAATCCAAACACTCGCACTCCAGAGACCCCCTGTAACGTCGGTTTGCACTGCCTTGTAGAGATACACTGCCTCAGCATGATGGAATGCAAACCTGCGCAGGCACTTTTCACAGCAGCCGAAGCAAACCAAGATGGTGGACATAAAGTCTGTGAATTGCTTTAAAAATTTGAATGTTTTTAACAAATTAAGACACAGATGTCACTTTTAATGTAATTTGAGGCGAGATGTTGATGTTTTCTTGTTGTAATTTGTGCGTTTTAAGAGTCAAAGTTTTGTTTGAAGTTTGGTATAAGTAGTTAACTGACGAACCACTGCTAATGTGTGATAGCAGCAGTCCCTTTCTTGTTGAACTGAACTGCTGCAAACATAATTTTACTGACGTAGACCGATGAAGCATCCTGTGGCTAACTCGACAGCTGTTAGCTTACAACTTAGTTGGATTTTGTTAATATTTCCATTATCAACCCGACAGACCCTTTTTAAGCTATTAGCTTTGACCAATCAGCGCTGCTGATCAGAGCAGCAGCAGAGCGGAGTCAGAGCGGGAAGGAAAGGAGCAGAGTTTGTGGCAGTATGGTGTGGATTTTAAGAAAATTGAAGGATTTAAGAATAAAAGTTCAGGATGACAAGGGACACTAAAATCTCCACAAAATCCAATCTTTATGAAAGCTGTAGGTTCTCTGTCAGGTTCTCTGTCAGCTGAGGTCGAGCTGTTTTAATTTACATTGAGATCTATGGGACTTTTTTCTAGGTAGCCCTCGTGAATTTAGTCTGCAGCACCACAGCGCCCCCTGTGCCCATGGGTGGGACAGCTATAAGCTAGTAATGCCCTATCCAGTTATTATTATAGATCCATGCAATTCTATCTACTGCCACAGTTGTTTTGTGAATAAAGGAGCCCAAAAAAGAATGGAACAAGAGGTTTATACAGGTACACAGAGCAATGTTACGACTTCCTAACCCGCATGTTAGATTGACCATAGAGTTTACATCTCTATCTGTGAGGTCACTGCGTGTGTAATGCCCATTAAGACCAGGACAACTGGATTTAAGAACAGTTTTTACACTTTCAAATGTGCAGAACATAATGTACACTGATGAGTACGTGCTTTTTCATGCAATGATTCTAATTTTGTAACATAAATTTACAACGATTACACGAGTTGAAAGTTTAAAATGTAAAGGAACAAAAAAGGAGATTTGTAGATCAGTTATTAATTTTATTGCATTGACATAAACACATCCATCTTTGCAGATCACTGGTACAGGTCAGGACCAGCTGGAGAGCTTTGCAGATCACTGGTACAGGCCAGGACCAGCTGGAGAGCTTTGCAGATCACTGGTACAGGCCAAGGCTGGGAGTAGTGTGAAGTCTGAAACCTTTACCTGCTGCACACCCAGTGAGATCTAAAACAGAAAAGTGGGTTTAGAACAGACATATAATTATTACTTGTTATAACTTAACTATCTTATAAAGTCAGCAGAAGAGAAATAGTAACCACCAAACAGAAAGATGCTATGCTAGTCTTCTATCAGGACAGGAACTCAAACTGAACATGAGCCCAGCAGACTCATGTTTGACTGTTTCAAACCTGCAGTCTTTCTGACTGCTTCAAACCTGCAGTCTTTCTGACTGCTTCAAACCTGCAGTCTTTCTGACTGCTTCAAACCTGCAGTCTTTCTGACTGCTTCAAACCTGCAGTCTTTCTGACTGTTTCAAACCTGCAGTCTTTCTGACTGTTTCAAACCTGCAGTCTTTCTGACTGTTTCAAACCTGCAGTCTTTCTGACTGCTGTTTCAAACCTGCAGTCTTTCTGACTGCTGTTTCAAACCTGCAGTCTTTCTGACTGCTTCAAACCTGCAGTCTTTCTGACTGCTGTTTCAAACCTGCAGTCTTTCTGACTGCTGTTTCAAACCTGCAGTCTTTCTGACTGCTTCAAACCTGCAGTCTTTCTGACTGCTGTTTCAAACCTGCAGTCTTTCTGACTGCTTCAAACCTGCAGTCTTTCTGACTGCTGTTTCAAACCTGCAGTCTTTCTGACTGTTTCAAACCTGCAGTCTTTCTGACTGCTGTTTCAAACCTGCAGTCTTTCTGACTGCTGTTTCAAACCTGCAGTCTTTCTGACTGCTTCAAACCTGCAGTCTTTCTGACTGCTGTTTCAAACCTGCAGTCTTTCTGACTGCTGTTTCAAACCTGCAGTCTTTCTGACTGCTTCAAACCTGCAGTCTTTCTGACTGCTGTTTCAAACCTGCAGTCTTTCTGACTGCTTCAAACCTGCAGTCTTTCTGAGTGTTTCAAACCTGCAGTCTTTCTGACTGCTTCAAACCTGCAGTCTTTCTGACTGTTTCAAACCTGCAGACTTTCTGACTGCTTCAAACCTGCAGTCTTTCTGACTGCTTCAAAGCTGCAGTCTTTCTGACTGTTTCAAACCTGCAGTCTTTCTGACTGTTTCAAACCTGCAGTCTTTCTGACTGCTTCAAACCTGCAGTCTTTCTGACTGCTTCAAACCTGCAGTCTTTCTGACTGTTTCAAACCTGCAGTCTTTCTGACTGCTGTTTCAAACCTGCAGTCTTTCTGAGTGTTTCAAACCTGCAGTCTTTCTGACTGTTTCAAACCTGCAGTCTTTCTGACTGTTTCAAACCTGCAGTCTTTCTGACTGTTTCAAACCTGCAGTCTTTCTGACTGTTTCAAACCTGCAGTCTTTCTGACTGTTTCAAACCTGCAGTCTTTCTGACTGTTTCAAACCTGCAGTCTTTCTGACTGTTTCAAACCTGCAGTCTTTCTGACTGTTTCAAACCTGCAGTCTTTCTGACTGTTTCAAACCTGCAGTCTTTCTGACTGTTTCAAACCTGCAGTCTTTCTGACTGTTTCAAACCTGCAGTCTTTCTGACTGTTTCAAACCTGCAGTCTTTCTGACTGTTTCAAAGCTGCAGTCTTTCTGACTGTTTCAAACCTGCAGTCTTCTGACTGTTTCAAACCTGCAGTCTTTCTGACTGTTTCAAACCTGCAGTCTTTCTGACTGTTTCAAAGCTGCAGTCTTTCTGACTGTTTCAAACCTGCAGTCTTTCTGACTGTTTCAAACCTGCAGTCTTTCTGACTGTTTCAAAGCTGCAGTCTTTCTGACTGTTTCAAACCTGCAGTCTTTCTGACTGTTTCAAACCTGCAGTCTTTCTGACTGTTTCAAACCTGCAGTCTTTTTGACTGTTTCAAACCTGCAGTCTTTCTGACTGTTTCAAACCTGCAGTCTTTCTGACTGTTTCAAACCTGCAGTCTTTCTGACTGTTTCAAACCTGCAGTCTTTCTGACTGTTTCAAACCTGCAGTCTTTCTGACTGTTTCAAACCTGCAGTCTTTCTGACTGTTTCAAAGCTGCAGTCTTTCTGACTGTTTCAAACCTGCAGTCTTTCTGACTGTTTCAAACCTGCAGTCTTTCTGACTGTTTCAAACCTGCAGTCTTTCTGACTGTTTCAAACCTGCAGTCTTTCTGACTGTTTCAAACCTGCAGTCTTTCTGACTGTTTCAAAGCTGCAGTCTTTCTGACTGCTGTTTCAAACCTGCAGTCTTTCTGACTGTTTCAAACCTGCAGTCTGAGGGCTCCTCGTTTCTCTTCATAAGCCTGAAGCATCTAGCTCTAACTACTGTCCCTCGACAATATTTGAGAATGAAGCAGAAACAAAGCACAATTGAATGGTTAAGGTACATCTAGCATCATCTTTTATTTACTAAAATTTAGCATGATTACTTTCACCAATACACAAACATATCATGTTCTTATATAATATGAAAGTCTATAACATACATTTATAATAATAAAGCACCCACATTAGGTGCATTTGTTACATGTGTAAGTGTTTCATGTATGTGCTTAAGCTAAATGTGTCGTAGCTAATGCTAACTTAGCTGTTAGCGCTAGTTGCTAAGTTATGTCTTACCTTGACACTTGTGTATATATTTTTCATCGAAGAACCCCTTCTCTCGTGAATCTGAGAATTCTCATCTGCGATGGTCTCTGCAGCAGCGAACGAAAAAGCTGGTAATCTGACTGATGTTGAGGAGAGTTTTAAGAGACATTTCTCCTACAACCAACGCTAACAAGGTGCGATCCAAGCACCTGGAGGCGACACTTCCTGTTCTCGTGACAAACGCGCACTTTCGAATCACTTCCGGGGGACGTTTGTGTTTCAAAGGAAAATCGCAAAATGTAATTTTGACGGTCATTATTGGTTTACTGCATTTTCGTTTTAATTGGATCCACAGAAAACAAAAAAACAAACCAATATTTCAATTTTGCATTAAATTCAAATATTGAGAATCAAAAACATCCCTCGTTATTTGTTTTTTCAATGTTGGTTTTATTTAGAAAATCAAAAGAACGAATGATACACGGATTGTCTCGGTCCGGTTCTTTGGTCCGGACCATTATCCGTTTGTGTGTATTCAGACCTGCATAAAAGCTTCGGATCAGAGTTCCAAACGAATCCTGGTCCGTTTAAAGTGGACCAAATGTGCAGGTCTGAATACACCCTTAGTTTACATTGAGTTGTATGGGACATTTTTTTGGGTAGCCCACGTGAATTTAGGGCCCGTCCCAATTCTGAGAGACACGCACAAACACACACACACACACACAGACACACACACAGAGAGAGGACACGCACGCACACACACAGACACACACACAGAGAGAGACACGCACACACACCCACAGAGAGAGACCTACCCATAGTCCAACTCATAGTCCTACTTCTTCTACTCTCACCACATGATGCTGCCCAATATACAGAATCCCCCCCCCCCCCGCCGAGCCACAGACAGCCCTTGCATCATTTTCTCTCTCGAGCAAATAATTTGGAAGTTTTCGGGGAACAAACTTAGCCAGATCAAAGATAGCGTTTGCGTGAAGGCGGGGTGGTGGGGGCAGAGGGAGAGGGGGGGGGGTTGCAGAGTGGCGTGTAGAAGCCTGCCTAGTGCCACCGCGCACTTCTTCAAACACATGTAAATATCCCACGGTACCCGGCACTTCAAAAGACACCAGCGAAGCCTTTTTTCTGAGTCCCAATCATTTATTTATTTATTTATTACTGGGACAGTGCATATTAATGAACATTTCTGTACAGAAATCACAGAACAACATTTGGATCTTATTGTTGATAATAATGAGAGAGAGAGAGAGAGAGAGACCAGAGAGAGACCAGAGAGAGACCAGACCAGAGAGAGACCAGAGAGAGAGACCAGAGAGAGAGAGAGACCAAGAGAGAGAGACCAGAGAGAGACCAGAGAGAGAGACCAGAGAGAGACCAGAGAGAGAGACCAGAGAGAGAGAGACCAGAGAGAGAGACCAGAGAGAGACCAGAGAGAGAGACCAGAGAGAGACCAGAGAGGTAAGTTTTAAGTAAGTTAAGTTTTTATTTATATATACCGCCTTTTCACTGCAGATCTGAGTCTCAAAGCGGTTTACAATTGTTAATTTTGGGCATTTGTCTCTCACTCCACACAGAGATGGGAGCGGGGTCAGTACAGGAAGCGCATGCCAGAACTATTGGACATATTTTTAGTGGTAGGGGAAACCGGAGTACCCGGAGGAAACCTACGCAGACACAGGGAGAACATGCAAACTCCACTCAGAAAGGCCCTGGTCCGACCGGGATTCGAACCCAGGACCTTCTTGCTGAGAGGCGAGAGTGCTATCCACTCAGCCACCGTGCCACCGCCCGAGAGGTGTATTCATTGTAAACACAGTCCCAAATGAACAACTTTAAAATGAGTTTTGACCTCATGATTAAATGATGTTGTCCAGTTTATCAGCTTCATATAAAAGTGTTCCACTAAAACACATGTGACTGTTGCTTTAATCAAACTTCCAGATGAGCTGCAGAGAAACACATTTGGCTCTGATCCAAACCTGGACCTTTTCCCCGTTTCTGTGGAACCATTTATTTTTTGTGTTATTGGTTTTGTTGACGATACAAATGCGTTGATTTAGCATGAATATCGTCTTCATCTCTGATTTAGTGTCTTTTAAATGATCAAACAAACTCTTTCCTTCATAAATACTGTTCATACAGAAAGATACAGACTCATGATTTATAGAGATAAAATATGTTGAATGTGTTTTTTATCTTCATAATAAAATGCATCGGTTTCACACAGAGCTTTTCAGGACTCTCAAAGATGCTTCATTCATTCACTTTATACACAGTGGTGATAAACTACTACTGTCGCCACAGCTGCCCTGGGGCACACTGACAGAAGCCAGGCTCCTCCCACCACCACCAACCACTCACACACACACCAGACTCATTCTAATGTGGGGAAAGTGTCTTGCCTCAGGACTTTCCACTCGCAGCCGCCCCACTGTGGCTGGTGTTCCAGCAGCAGCAGCAGCAGCAGCAGTAGAAGCAGCAGTAGCAGTAGAAGCAGCAGCAGCAGCAGTAGAAGCAGCAGCAGCAGTAGAAGCAGCAGCAGCAGCAGTAGAAGCAGCAGTAGAAGCAGCAGCAGCAGTAGAAGCAGCAGCAGCAGCAGTAGAAGCAGCAGCAGCAGTAGAAGCAGCAGCAGCAGCAGTAGAAGCAGCAGCAGCAGTAGAAGCAGCAGCAGCAGCAGTAGAAGCAGCAGCAGCAGCAGTAGAAGCAGCAGCAGCAGTAGAAGCAGCAGCAGCAGCAGCAGCAGTAGAAGCAGCAGCAGCAGTAGAAGCAGCAGCAGCAGTAGAAGCAGCAGCAGCAGTAGAAGCAGCAGCAGCAGTAGAAGCAGCAGCAGCAGCAGTAGAAGCAGCAGCAGCAGTAGTAGAAGCAGCAGCAGCAGTAGTAGAAGCAGCAGCAGCAGTAGAAGCAGCAGCAGCAGTAGAAGTAGCAGCAGTAGAAGCAGCAGCAGCAGCAGTAGAAGCAGCAGCAGCAGCAGTAGCAGTAGCAGTAGAAGCAGCAGCAGCAGCAGTAGAAGCAGCAGCAGCAGTAGAAGCAGTAGCAGCAGTAGAAGCAGTAGCAGCAGTAGAAGCAGTAGCAGTAGCAGCAGTAGAAGCAGCAGCAGCAGTAGAAGCAGCAGTACCTGCTCATTATGAGTTAAATTGTCCTAAATCTTCCAAAGCAGCAGAACCAACTTCCTCCTGATGTCTTTGAAATCCCACAAATCCTCATGATACAATTCTTTATTTACGATAAACGTTACAATAGACACACACTGACACACTTTGAGAAGGGCATTGGTTCAAGTCCCTCTAAATATCTTTTTAACCGTTCATAATCATTTATTTCTTTGCCACAACAATTTATCTCTGGTTTTGTTCAGTGTTATTGCCATGACGACGGCCTCTGTCAGGAGCAGGGGTCGCCGTAGTACAGGACCCGTTTTGGTCAGGACCCGGTTTGGTCAGGACCAGAGCTGATCATCTTTTTAGAGGTAGGGGAAACCGGAGCACACAGAGGAAACCTATGCAGACATGGTGAGAACATGCAAACTCCGCTCAGACGGGACCTGTTCAGACCCTGTTCTGGACTTCAAATCCAGGACCTTTTTACTGAGAAGTGGGAGCGCTAACCACTCAGCCACGGTGCAGCCCATAACAGAAGAGAAAGATCCACTACAGAAGTAAACGTAGATTTGGAAACATCAGGAAAGAAAGTTTACCGTTTTAAAACAACATGAAGCTGGACTTAAGCCTTCACGCTGTACCGATGTAAACTGTAATAATGTATAATGTGTATATTTGTTAGAACTTTGCTGAGTATATTCAAAACGTTGATCAAAATGGCTAAAAAAGGTGAAATTTACTGAATAATGGATGAATGAATGGATTTTAGTTAAAAACAGCGATGAAAGAATAAATGGTTCGGTCTCTGACATTAAGGCAGTTTATTTAATTACACGGAGATTTTGTGTTGAAATGATCCTCAAATAAGAGCACTTTATGTCAGTACTTTATGTCAGTACTTTATGTCAGTACTTTAGTCTTTTCAAACACTAAAGAACATGTGGTGCAGAAGTCTCCACGTTCATTTGTTCACATTTACAAAGAGAAAGATAAAAGTTTAATCATGGCTTTAGTAAAAATATTCAGTCTTTGGGTTAGGCTTTGAAGAACCGCTTTGAACTGGGTTTTACAGGAACAAAAGACTCCAGTAAAATCTAGTTAAAAACCGGTTTTGACTAGTTTGGTCCAGTCCAAAAAGCAGAGCAATCCGGTTTGGACAAGTTTAAACCGGTTTGGACTGGGTTTGGTTTCATTTAGTAAAGTCATAATGTTCAGTAAAATATTCAGTCTGTGGTTTTGAGCAGGACTTCCATTCCAGTTGAAACCGGTTTAGTTCACAGTTTTGACTAGTTCTGTCCAGTTTATTGCAGTTCAAACAGCAGCAAAATCCAGTTTGGACTGAGTTTGGTTTCAGTTAAGTCCCGATGTTGGCCCCTGTTTGAACCAGTTGAATCCAATGATGAGTCGAGTCCGGTCGGGTCCGGTTGAGTCTGGTCAGTCCTGGTTCAGACAGTGGTCTCCTGGTCTTCCCGCTGGATCATCTGGGAGTGTTGCTTGTTGTCCAGCCACGCCGCCAGCTCCAAGTCTTTGGCCTTCTCTGCACGGTTCTTTGCAGTCTCCCCCTGGTGGACAGACGGAGAATTGCTCAGTGATTCATCTACAACAGAGACCAGGAACCAATGCTTTTGACGATTGTGTCGGGCTCTCAGATAGAGCTGCAACTAACGATTATTTTGTAATCGATTAATCTATCGATTATTTTTACGATTAATCGAGTAATCGCTTGGCTGTGAATTGTGTAGAAAAAAATATTTTTTCATCACAAAAAGCTAAAGTGGCAACACTTGAGGACGTATTGATGGCGTAAACTTAAAGTAAATGTTTGTAACAGGCCCTTGGTGCTAATTCTGCTCTGATTGGATGAGAAACAGATATTCATGAAATTATAAAAACAAAGTCGGTTTTAATCAAAAATACTACATTTTCATGTCATTTTTGCTCTGTTTGAGTCCGTGTGAACCAGAAAACGATTAATCGATTACTAAAATAGTTGTCGACTATTTCAATAATCGATTAGTCGTCGATTAATCGATTAGTTGTTTCAGCCCTACTCTCAGACAAATCTCGGACACGTCTTAGAAGAATATTTTATGTGTTGGATTTCTTCAGTATAAAAATGTTAATAAACAAAACATTCTGATACAAAAATGATACAGCTTCAGAAACACAAATACTTTTTGGCTCTCTCAGATAAAAAGGATCCCACCCTCTGATCTACGAGATTAATAGAAAAACGAGGATTATTTCATTCTGGACTTTTGTTTCTGGTCCGTCTTTTGGGAACATTTTTATAGTCTCAGGGACACTGGTGCTTTGGAGATGGCAAACAAGAAAAAGCATCACATGTGAATTCCAAACCTCCCAAGGTAAGGTCACTGTGCTGAAGAGTGGCCTGGAGGCGGGACCAGAACAACACCGAGGTCTCAGAGTGGCCTGGAGGCGGGACCACAACAGCACCGAGGTAACAAACTTCTCTTCTTCCTCGCCACATAAATACATTTAGCGGTCATATTATTATTATAAACACAGAAAGCACTGGTTCAAAGTCAGTGGTTCCAGCGGCGGCCGCCAGAAACTAGTCTGAAGCTTTCACATCTTAAAGAATATTTACAGCCTCCAGAGCCCACCTCTGTGTGTGCAGCTTTACTCTGCACTTGTGTTGCTGCGTTTCATGTGTGAAGCACTTTGTGGCCCAGGACTGTGAAAATACTGTGAAAATACTGAGAAAATACTGAGAAAATACTGTGAAAATACTGTGAAAATACTGTGAAAATACCGTGAAAATACTGTGAAAATACTGTGAAAATACTGTGAAAATACTGAGAAAATACTGTGAAAATACTGTGAAAATACCGTGAAAATACTGTGAAAATACTATGAAAATACTGTGAAAATACTGAGAAAATACTGAGAAAATACTGTGAAAATACCGTGAAAATACTGAGAAAATACTATGAAAATACTGTGAAAATACTGAGAAAATACTGTGAAAATACTGAGAAAATACTGTGAAAATACCGTGAAAATACTGAGAAAATACTATGAAAATACTGTGAAAATACTGTGAAAATACTAAGAAAACACTGAGAAAATACTGTGAAAATACCGTGAAAATACTGTGAAAATACTGTGAAAATACTGTGAAAATACTGTGAAAATACTGTGAAAATACTGTGAAAATACTGAGAAAATACTGAGAAAATACTGTGAAAATACTGTGAAAATACTGAGAAAATACTGAGAAAATACTGAGAAAATACTGTGAAAATACCGTGAAAATACTGAGAAAATACTAAGAAAATACTGTGAAAATACTATGAAAATACTGTGAAAATACCGTGAAAATACTGAGAAAATACTATGAAAATACTGTGAAAATACTGAGAAAATACCGTGAAAATACGGAGAAAATACTGAGAGAATACAGTGAAAGTACTGAGAAAATACAGTGAAAGTACTGAGAGAATACTGTGAAAGTACTGAGAGAATACAGAGAGAATACTGAGAAAATACTGAGAGAATACAGTGAAAGTACTGAGAAAATACCAGTAGCTCTCTGCCCTCTTCAAAGTCCCAAAGGAAAACTGTTTTAGTGTTGAGTTTGTGGAGTCAGAGACGATCGTAAACCGCTGTGACTCTGGACAGAGTGAACCAGCACAGTCCATGTACCATAGGAGCCAGAGTGAACAAGCACAGTCCATGTACCATAGGAGCCAGAGTGAACCAGCACAGTCCATGTACCATAGGAGCCAGAGTGAACCAGCACAGTCCATGTACCATAGGAGCCAGAGTGAACCAGCACAGTCCGTGTACCATAGGAGCCAGAGTGAACCAGCACAGTCCGTGTACCATAGGAGCCAGAGTGAACCAGCACAGTCCATGTACCATAGGAGCCAGAGTGAACCAGCACAGTCCGTGTACCATAGGAGCCAGAGTGAACCAGCACAGTCCGTGTACCATAGGAGCCAGAGTGAACCAGCACAGTCCGTGTACCATAGGAGCCAGAGTGAACCAGCACAGTCCATGTACCATAGGAGCCAGAGTGAACCAGCACAGTCCATGTACCATAGGAGCCAGAGTGAACCAGCACAGTCCATGTACCATAGGAGCCAGAGTGAACCAGCACAGTCCATGTACCATAGGAGCCAGAGTGAACCAGCACAGTCCGTGTACCATAGGAGCCAGAGTGAACCAGCACAGTCCATGTACCATAGGATCCAGAGTGAACCAGCACAGTCCATGTACCATAGGAGCCAGAGTGAACCAGCACAGTCCATGTACCATAGGAGCCAGAGTGAACCAGCACAGTCCATGTACCATAGGAGCCAGAGTGAACCAGCACAGTCCATGTACCATAGGAGCCAGAGTGAACCAGCACAGTCCATGTACCATAGGAGCCAGAGTGAACAAGCACAGTCCATGTACCATAGGAGCCAGAGTGAACCAGCACAGTCCATGTACCATAGGAGCCAGAGTGAACCAGCACAGTCCATGTACCATAGGAGCCAGTGTGAACCAGCACAGTCCATGTACCATAGGAGCCAGAGTGAACCAGCACAGTCCATGTACCATAGGAGCCAGAGTGAACCAGCACAGTCCGTGTACCATAGGAGCCAGAGTGAACCAGCACAGTCCATGTACCATAGGAGCCAGAGTGAACCAGCACAGTCCGTGTACCATAGGAGCCAGAGTGAACCAGCACAGTCCGTGTACCATAGGAGCCAGAGTGAACCAGCACAGTCCGTGTACCATAGGAGCCAGAGTGAACCAGCACAGTCCATGTACCATAGGAGCCAGAGTGAACCAGCACAGTCCATGTACCATAGGAGCCAGAGTGAACCAGCACAGTCCATGTACCATAGGAGCCAGAGTGAACAAGCACAGTCCATGTACCATAGGAGCCAGAGTGAACCAGCACAGTCCATGTACCATAGGAGCCAGAGTGAACCAGCACAGTCCATGTACCATAGGAGCCAGTGTGAACCAGCACAGTCCATGTACCATAGGAGCCAGAGTGAACCAGCACAGTCCATGTACCATAGGAGCCAGAGTGAACCAGCACAGTCCATGTACCATAGGAGCCAGAGTGAACCAGCACAGTCCGTGTACCATAGGAGCCAGAGTGAACCAGCACAGTCCATGTACCATAGGAGCCAGAGTGAACCAGCACAGTCCATGTACCATAGGAGCCAGAGTGAACCAGCACAGTCCGTGTACCATAGGAGCCAGAGTGAACCAGCACAGTCCGTGTACCATAGGAGCCAGAGTGAACCAGCACAGTCCATGTACCATAGGAGCCAGAGTGAACCAGCACAGTCCATGTACCATAGGAGCCAGAGTGAACCAGCACAGTCCATGTACCATAGGAGCCAGAGTGAACCAGCACAGTCCGTGTACCATAGGAGCCAGAGTGAACCAGCACAGTCCGTGTACCATAGGAGCCAGAGTGAACCAGCACAGTCCATGTACCATAGGAGCCAGAGTGAACCAGCACAGTCCATGTACCATAGGAGCCAGAGTGAACCAGCACAGTCCATGTACCATAGGAGCCAGAGTGAACCAGCACAGTCCATGTACCATAGGAGCCAGAGTGAACCAGCACAGTCCATGTACCATAGGAGCCAGAGTGAACCAGCACAGTCCATGTACCATAGGAGCCAGAGTGAACCAGCACAGTCCATGTACCATAGGAGCCAGAGTGAACCAGCACAGTCCATGTACCATAGGAGCCAGAGTGAACCAGCACAGTCCATGTACCATAGGAGCCAGAGTGAACAAGCACAGTCCATGTACCATAGGAGCCAGAGTGAACCAGCACAGTCCATGTACCATAGGAGCCAGAGTGAACCAGCACAGTCCATGTACCATAGGAGCCAGTGTGAACCAGCACAGTCCATGTACCATAGGAGCCAGAGTGAACCAGCACAGTCCATGTACCATGTGATACACGTACACGTTCCATACATTGTCCTCCTGCACATGGTCTACTCAACACTGGATATATTATGAATCATGACTTAGTTTTTTATGGATGTGTCTCTGCGAGAACAACACGGACATGAAAGGAAGAGACTGACTTATTCCCCACGACACAGAGGAACATGTGCAGGCTGTGTACATATATATCTATGATCATGATTAATGAAGGATCATGGACAACACCTCCCACTGCACAGGACTGAGGAGGAGCTCCTTCAGTGGAAGTTGGATCGCTACCACAGCTGTCAGACTGTACAATAAGTCACTTTAAGTCACTTGCATTAGGACTGAAAACCTGCACTATTGACACGGTTTCTTGATTGACACTTTTTATTGTACATAATATATCCTGCATTTAACATGTTGCACATTTGTGTCTTTTGCACAGTCTGAGTGACTTATCTTATACACATTCACAGGAGCCGAGCTGGAGCGCTCAAAACAACATCAAACAAGAAGAAGATTCAAAGGAAAAACCTGAAAAGCTGGTCTACAAATGAAGCCTTCAGTCTTCAAAGTCAATGTCTGAGAAAAAATAGGAGAGATTGAGATCTTGGGCTGCAACCCCCTCCCCGCCTGGGAGCCTCAGTCCTGGGTCTACAGCCTCAGTCCTGGGTCTACAGCCTCAGTCCAGGGTCTACAGCCTCAGTCCAGGGTCTACAGCCTCAGTCCAGGGTCTACAGCCTCAGTCCAGGGTCTACAGCCTCAGTCCTGGGTCTACAGCCTCAGTCCAGGGTCTACAGCCTCAGTCCAGGGTCTACAGCCTCAGTCCTGGGTCTACAGCCTCAGTCCTGGGTCTACAGCCTCAGTCCAGGGTCTACAGCCTCAGTCCAGGGTCTACAGCCTCAGTCCAGGGTCTACAGCCTCAGTCCAGGGTCTACAGCCTCAGTCCAGGGTCTACAGCCTCAGTCTAGGGTCTACAGCCTCAGTCCTGGGTCAATCCTGAGACAGACGCCCGTGTGTCAGTGTTCTCATCTGTAAGTGGTATTTCTACAGAGTCCGAGTCTGTGGAGAGGGAAGTCTGGGCTCACACTGCTGCCTCCGCCACCTGGCAACGGATCAAGTGGAGGGAAAGGGACGGCTGGAAGTAGCATCTCTGAGCTTTCAGCGCACTATCGTTTGTTCATGTTTTATCCACATGGACACAATATCCTTTTGGTCTATTATCAGATTCAGATTCAGATTCATTTTATTTGCCATTTGCAGTAAAACCACATTGGAATACATTAGCAAAAGTCTCCAGTGTGCACAGACAAATACAGACATAAAACAACATTAAAAGACAGAAATAAAACAAATAAAACAGTAAACAAATGTCACTGTGAAATAGATCGACTAAAACAGTTTCAAAACAAGTGCAAATCATTAAAGTGCTCTGTTCACACTGATAACAGCCTGTGGATAAAAACTGTTAGCGTAACGAGATGTCCTGCATCTCAGAGAGCAATATCTTCTGCCAGAGGGAAGAAGCTGGAACATGGCTTTCCCTGGGTGGCCAGAAGAGTCATTAACAATCCTAAGAGCTTTGTTTAAAAGTCTGGATTTATAAAGAACCTCCAGAACAGGAAGCTCACAGCCCACGGTCCTCTTTGCAGAGCGGAGCACCTTGTTTAAAGCTCTCTTTCTTTATCTGTGATGTTTCCTATTATGACGTGGCGGCGCTTGATGGTTCATATTTATGACAATTGTTTCCTTCTGTGCAGCACTTTGGAAGAATTTGTTTAAATGTGTTCTGAAAAGAAAGTGGCTGGAGAGAAAGAGTGAGTCGCTATATTGTGCTGAGAGCTGATTGGCTGAGAGCCGATTGGCTGAGAGCCGATTGGCTGAGAGAGGCTGGTCCTCTGTCACATCTTTTTCTGATTGAAAAGTGAAAAACAGAGTTTGAATAAAATACATGATGTTAAAAATATAGAATGTTATTATTATTTCACGTGGTTTTAAACTGTTTTCTTCTGCGCCTCGTCTACAGAGGTAATAACTTAAAGTTATAGAGGAGGATGTTTACTTCCAGGTGAATCTTCAAGACTATTGGTCCTCCCAACTGTCAATCATTCTGGTGATACGAGCTCGTCCAATAAGAGCAGAGAGTTTGGTTCAAAAAGTGAAGAGGGCGGTTCTTTACTAAAATTTACTGAGCAAAAGCGTTTGGACACACTGACAAATATATAAAACCATCTCATCTCTGGATCTGGACTCACTCTGTCTCCTCCAACTTCCAATTTCCAAGACAAATATCCACTTGTCACAAATCCAACAGTCTGCTCTTGAGACGACGATTCCATCTTATCGTTACATAAACAAAACACTTCCATCTTGTGCCGTCTCCTGATTGGCTGCAGCGTTGACGGTCCTTGATTAGACTGTTTTGCCGCCGTCTTCCCACTGTGCCAAGTCTAAATATAGACCCAGTGTCTATATGCACCAGTGTCATTTATAGCACACAATATACTTTATCAACAATAGCACTTTATCAACGCAACAAAAGGACTGCTCTCCTTCAAACTCTAGGGACAAAGTCGCAAAACTCCAGAGTAACTTCATAATAAATGATTCTGATGAACCCGAGTGAACGTGTTTCTCATCACCTGGACCTCCCTCACCTTTTCCTCTATTCTATTCTGCATATTTGTATTTTTTTGTTTGTAATTTTGAGATCGCTGGCACGCCGACCCCCCCCCCCCTCCAGTTTAAGTCAGCGCTGACCTAGATACAGCGCAGAGAGACAGAGTGAATGAGAAAGACAAAGGCGAGACGGGGAAAAAACTGGCTGGAAAAACATGGTGGAAATGGGAAAGTAATGTAAATGAACGGTAAATATGGACTTTTCACAAACAAACTTTCAGCAGGAGTAGGGTCTGGGTGAGGGTCTGGGTGAGGGTCTGGGTGAGGGTCCAATGTTTTGAGTCATTCCTTGGACATGTTTTTAGAAAAATAAACTACTTCTCACTGTTCAGGACAAATATTTACATGCGATTAAAATGCGATTAATATAATTAATTAGAGGCTTTGTGATTAATTAATGTTTTAATTAAAGCTGCACTAACTGACTTTGGGATTTTGAAGCCGCGGACTCGCTGGCTTCTCCCTTTCTCCTCCCCTCCCCGCACCCACCCACTGTTGGGACGGAGCTAGCGTCTCCCAATATGGATAAATACATGGACATGGATTTACACGTGGATGGCGTGACCATAGAACGATAGAACCGGGAAGCGCGGAGGAACGAGACTTTTTTTGGATGGATGTCTCGCTGTGTAAGCAGTACCCGGTGACGAAGACACACAAATCTTCAGGTTAGCTCCGCCGCTTGTTGTGCTAACTCAGCTGTCTGTGCTACAGCTGTCCTGTAGATTTCTCACGAAAGTGGGGGCCAGTGGTGCGCTGCGATTGGTCACAATCTGCGACCCGAAACACGTCTCTTCCTTGTTTCATCAAAACTCGATCTAAAATATAATGTCACACCAGCACAAACCTGCGCTACTTTTTCTTCAAAAGGACGTATATCCCAATGCACTACATGGACATGGATAGCATTTTCGTAATTAATACAAAAATAAAGTCAGTTAGTGCAGCTTTAAGTAACATGCTAATACATGTATTAACATGCTAATACATGTATTAACATGTTTACTAACATGTATTAACATGTTTATTTACATGTTTATTAACATGTATTAACATGTTTATTAACATGTCTGGACGTCCCGCTCCCTGTGGCCCTACTGGTGTTTGTTATTATTGCATTTGTTCTTCTTCTGTCTGACTCTGATCGAACAAACCTCAGATGTGACTGCAGTTCTGATTTACAAATAAATGTGGGTGAATTAAAAAGTTAAGACTATTCATGAACCCTGGACATGATTAATGTAATAAAAACCACAGTAACTGATGCCGTCTCATCTGTAAAGTCCTCCGGCGCCGCCTGCTCGTGGTGACAGAATCAGAGCTGCCGTAACGACAATAGACTTCACATTCATAATTAGCAGCGCAGCCTTCCTTTCCAATCTGACACCGGGTCCACACTCTTCAAACGTGCTTTGACATAACCTCAAAGAACCACATTCTCTTCCTTCGCTAAAGTAACGAATCTGTTTGTTATGAAAGAGCGTCTCGGAAATAATGTGTTTGAATTGAAAAGTTTGCTGCGATTATTAAACACTCGACCGTCTCCGAGCCTCTCCGCCGTAACCAGGCTGACGAGCTGAGAGTATAATTCATGCTTCAATGACACCACTCCACCAGAGAGACCAGAGAGAGACCAGAAAGACCAGAGAGAGACCAGAGAGACCAGAGAGAGACCAGAGAGAGACCAGAGAGAGACCAGAGAGACCAGAGAGAGACCAGAGAGACCAGAGAGAGACCAGAGAGAGACCAGAGCACCAGAGAGAGACCAGAGAGAGACAGAGAGAGACCAGAGAGAGACCAGAGAGAGACCAGAGAGAGACCAGAGAGACAGAGAGACCAGAGAGAGACCAGAGAGGACCAGAGAGAGACCAGAGAGAGACCAGAGAGAGACCAGAGAGAGAACAGAGAGAGACCAGAGAGAGACCAGAGAGAGACCAGAGAGAGACCAGAGAGAGACCAGAGAGACCAGAGAGAGAGAGAGAGACCAGAGAGAGACCAGAGAGAGACCAGAGAGAGACCAGAGCGACCAGAGAGAGACCAGAGTGAGACCAGAGAGAGACCAGAGAGAGACCAGAGAGAGACCAGAGAGAGACCAGAGAGAGACCAGAGAGAGACCAGAGCGAGACCAGAGAGAGACCAGAGCGAGACCAGAGAGAGACCAGAGAGAGACCAGAGAGAGACCAGAGAGAGACCAGAGAGAGACCAGAGAGACCAGAGAGAGACCAGAGAGACCAGAGCGAGACCAGAGAGAGACCAGAGAGACCAGAGAGAGACCAGAGGAGACCAGAGAGAGACCAGAGGAGACCAGAGAGAGACCAGAGAGAGACCGAGAGAGACCTGAGAGAGACCAGAGAGAGACCAGAGGAGACCAGAGAGACCAGAGAGAGACCAGGAGAGAGACCAGAGAGAGACCAGAGAGACAGAGAGAGACCAGAGAGAGACCAGAGAGAGACCAGAGAGAGACCAGAGAGAGACCAGAGAGAGAGACCGAGCGAGACCAGAGACCAGAGAGAGACCAGAGAGACCAGAGAGAGACCAGAGAGAGACCAGAGAGAGACCAGAGAGAGACCAGAGAGAGACCAGAGAGAGACCGAGAGAGACGAGAGAGACCAGAGAGAGACCAGAGAGGACCAGAGAGAGACCAGAGAGAGACCAGAGAGAGACCAGAGAGAGACAGAGAGAGACAGAGAGAGACCAGAGAGGACCAGAGAGACCAGAGAGAGACCAGAGAGAGCCAGAGAGAGACCAGAGGAGACCAGAGAGAGACCAGAGAGAGACCAGAGAGAGACCAGAGAGACCAGAGAGAGAGACCAGAGAGAGACCAGAGAGACCAGAGAGAGACCAGAGAGACCAGAGAGAGACCAGAGAGGACCAGAGAGAGACCAGAGAGAGACCAGAGAGACCAGAGAGAGACCAGAGAGAGAGACCAGAGAGAGAGACCAGAGAGACCAGAGAGAGACCAGAGAGAGACCAGAGAGAGACCAGAGAGAGACCAGAGAGAGAGCCAGAGAGAGAGACCAGAGAGAGAGACCAGAGAGAGACCAGAGAGAGACCAGAGAGAGAGACCAGAGAGAGACCAGAGAGAGAGACCAGAGAGAGACCAGAGAGAGACCAGAGAGAGACCAGAGAGAGAGAGACCAGAGAGAGACCAGAGAGAGACCAGAGAGAGAGACCAGAGAGAGACCAGAGAGAGACCAGAGAGAGACCAGAGAGAGAGAGACCAGAGAGAGACCAGAGAGAGACCAGAGAGAGAGACCAGAGAGAGACCAGAGAGAGAGACCAGAGAGAGAGACCAGAGAGAGACCAGAGAGAGAGACCAGAGAGAGACCAGAGAGAGACCAGAGAGAGAGAGGACCAGAGAGAGCCAGAGAGAGACCAGAGAGAGAGACCAGAGAGAGACCAGAGAGAGACCAGAGAGAGACCAGAGAGAGAGACCAGAGAGAGACCAGAGAGAGACCAGAGAGACACCAGAGAGAGAGACCAGAGAGAGACCAGAGAGAGACCAGAGAGAGACCAGAGAGAGAGACCAGAGAGAGACCAGAGAGAGAGACCAGAGAGAGACCAGAGAGAGACCAGAGAGATAGTAGTTATGGTCTGGAATGAAGAGAAACATTTTTAAAAACCATGTGTATGTTTCAGTTTGACATCAACACAGACGTCTCTTGAACCAGAGGAAGAACCATGTGTCCGTGTGTTACCTGAGCGTCGGGCTTCATAAGCTCCGCCCCCGCGTCCACCAGGAACCCACAGATGGTGCGCTGGCCCCGGGAGGCAGCGCGGTGCAGGGCCGTCTCTCCTCTGGGGGCCACACAAGCACAGGCATCAGAGGGGCCCCGGACATCTGCATCCGCTCAACCAATAATCATCGTTTTTAGTTCAAACCCATTCGACAAAACTAAGCAACACAGCAGCACGCGGTGTTAAAGTTTGGGCCAGAAGTTTCTAGTATTAGCGTGGGTGGGTCTAAAAACAACTCCAGGTCTATGGATGAGGTAGCCTGGTCATACCACACCATAGTACAAATTACATTTCGTACTAAGGTCTGGAGGCATTCCATTGACTCAGTTTTTTGCAGATTGAAACACGGTTGGATCCGAGTTTACCGTGACGCTTGTAATTCCCCCGAGTGAGTCGTTAGCATTTAGCCTAGCTTTAGCCATCTCCTTTGCTGCTAACGGAGTCCGTGGGGAGTAGCGCCACATTTTTTTCCAGCGATTACATTTGCTAAACATTCCTCTTTCCTCCTCAGACCGGATTACTTTACTATCGCATTTTTCGCCAAACTACAACCTTCCCGTTCGACGCAAACTCTTGACGTCACCCACAACTAACTACAACACCCGCCTCCCGCGCTCTCTGATTGGTCTGTCAAAATTCAACCGATTGTTTTCGCAAACACAGGGACCAGACCCAGACGTTACATGCAGTGAAATGATGATTGAGCGGAGTGTACGGATGGATAAGGCCAGGGCTATGGATGAGGGAGCAAAGTTGGAGAATAGTTTAAAGTAATGGTTTTGTATTTTGGTTGGGAGCCTAATTTAAAAAGGTTGTTTTCTTATTGGCCTGAAGACATTTAGCAATAGCATCAATAATTTCTTTAACTACTTGGACTGAAACTTCTCTGGATGTTACTGAAGGTAAACAACAGTGAACACACACACACAGAAAACAATACATTATTTCATTATTATTATTTTTTTTTCAGCCTGTTTCCCCGACTGAAGGTAAAACTTTCTCACACCGGAAAACTGGACCAAAAGTGAAGAAGGATTGATAATGTGGACCGATAGATCAATGATTTTAAAAATGCATTTCATAGTGGTTCAAAGTAGAAGACAAATACCCTGAATTAGAGTCGAAAAGGATTTGAATGACCCAGGGCTGGTCACGTTAATATTTGTGGTTTTTTAATCACTGTGGCGGGGAAAGCACAAGGGCTAAGGAAGTGGAACTAAAAAAGTGTGTGTGTGTGTGTGTTGTCCTAACCTGTGTGTTTTTAAATTATACTTTATGGTATTGATATTGTGTTGAATGATTGACAGGGCTTTGGGGTTATACATGCTTTCGCTTCACCCGACCCCTTTTTATATGAATGAGCATGAAAATGTTGCCGATTCAAAATAACTCTATACTATTCTTGAAAGAACTATGGTTAAAATGAGGTGTAACACGCCATGGAGCCACATTAACATGGTGCAGGTGAATCATGGTCTTGTTTTGAGGAGAATTAAAAGTATATTTGGAGTAACTATTCTGAGGACGGTGAGGTGAGACGTGCTGTCGAACCTGTCGCAGTTAAGAATAGATTAACGATAGAATGATAAAGGCGCCGCTGCCCCCGAGCTCCTCTCCTGATCCTCTTTACAACGCTGCGGTTTGAAGAACAACATATAGAACACATTCTGACACTTCACCAAAGACACGAGCAGTCGAAAGTTACGCGTTACGCAATCGCTGACTTATGTGGAACGGCATTATGGGAAAAAACATACTCACAACAGTGTGTCTGCCACGTCCAAAAGGTTTGGGGCTAAAAAGACACAATTACTGTTAGTTTTGGGCTAATTTAGCTTCAATTATGATGTTTCTGTCTAAAAGCAGTTACCGTTTTTCACAATGTAGCTAACCGTCTCTTTACTTCCTGAGTCGACGGCGTGGTGCAAAATACTGCATCCTGATTGGTCCAAAGCAGAGAGGTCCGCCCCCTTCAGGTGCAATTCCTGAAGCTGAACAACACGGTTTTAGTAAATACACTTTTTTTTGCAAAGATCCAAAAATGTCATTAAAACTTACCTTTGTCAAATCCATCGTCTTCACACTTTCAAATAATTCTGAAAATAAACAAAACACATTTTTATCATTTTAACAAAGAAATAATTCTCAAATGAAAATAAATGGACTTTTTTGAGCCGGGTAATTTCTCAGGTGAAGTCATGTTCTTTCTAATGTCTGTGTTTGGAGCTGGTCATTTTCAAATTTGGAAAAACAACCTTTACTAAAGCTATACCTCCCTCTGGTGGTGGCACAGGGAGTTACGCTTCACACGTGTTTCAACTGAAGATATTATCCCACATTCCGAAACATGAAACGGCAAAGGAAATAGTCTCAATATTATTATTAATGGGCAGAAATAATGTGCAGTATGTTTTCTTTAACATAGGACTCTTGAGAAGTCTGGAACTACTAGAATAGCCGTTCAGACCGAGAGAATTCTGAATAATTCCCAAAAAAAAATGTTTTCTTCCCATTTTAAAAGAAAATAATTTTTGTGCCAACACTGGTTCACTTGAAATACATCATAACCGTTTGGCGAACTTTGGCGAACCACACGCCGGAAAGTAAACAGCGTTGCTATAGTAACGAGTAGGTTGCCCCCGACGACCAAAAACTACTATATTGAATCTTACATTAAAATGGATGCAGCAGTTTTCGGGAGAGACTGAGAGTTAAAGGTTGAAATAAAATATATTTTCAAGTCTTTCAGAAACGACAGAAACAGAAAAAGTCACTCTTCCAAAACCAAAAGCCAAAGTCAACGAGCCTGCTCTGGGAGTTCCGGAGGTAAATCTTTTTGGCATAGTCTCAGTTAAACTTGTGAAAATGCCGAGGTGGGCATGGATTATGTTTGTCGTCCCAAAGGAGAGGAAAAAGGAAAAGTGGAACAGCCAAAAGGGAAAAGCAGAGGTTTGTTTCTGTGTCCATTTAACGGTGTCTTTGAGGAGTTGGCTGAATGATGAATGCTTAATATTGTGGTCATGTATGTGCAGAACTGTGACTGATTTATGAAAAAGCAGCCGTTTGACACAATCCTTAAGAACACATTTTGTAATTCTCAGTCGTTAATATAATAATAAATATAATAATGTCTGCTCTAATTACAGCAAAAGCCAAATTTAGATTAAAATCAGAATTATTCATAATTTGGGGTTTATTTAAATGGTCTATTCTCAAATGGGAGTTTAGTGTTTGTTAATGTGGGCCAACTGAATCCGTTTGAAATGAAGTGATTCCAACGTCAGTGTTTGTTCGAGTGAAGCAGTAAAAACGCCTGCAGCTCTGAAGATAAGCAGGGCAGGGCCTGGATTGTACTGTGATGGGAGACCTGTGAAGTAAGAAATCAGGCATTTCTACGATCATTATTTTTGATAGCAGCATATGGCAAAAACAGAGGAAGTAGTAATGGTCTATCACTGTATATGAAACGACATTCTGGAACAGTCGTCTGAAAACGTGAGACAGGCTTTTACTCTGACGATGTTCGAATCCAGGATAAAAACTGTTTAACTCCAACTGAAGGATTGTATCTTTACTCTTTCTAAGGCACGGTGGAATTTCTGTGAATAAAAAGCCCTCTATAAAGATTTAATCGGCTCAAAGTTTGTAAAACCCAAAATAAAACACATTGTGACCTTTTGTAAGTATGTTGGTAACTTTATACTGGACTGTATTTGAATAATAATAATTTATATTATATATCTACTTATTAAGCGCTTTTTGGACACTCAAAGACGCTTTAGAGAAGAACAAATAAGAAACAAAATAAAAAACTAAAAATAAATAGTTTTAATGAATGTTTTATGATTGTATTGTTAAGGACTACAGCCAACGTTTAATGTAACTGCATAATGTCCTGGATAAATGAAAAACAATAACTTATGGCTTTTTAACAATAATAACTGTGTGTAGGCAGGTCGGGGTCTTGGGTCTGGGGTCTGCAGCAGGACTATAGGCAGGTTGGGGTCTGGGGTCTGCAGCAGGACTATAGGCAGGTTGGGGTCTTGGGTCTAGGGTCTGCAGCAGCAGGACTATAGGCAGGTTGGGGTCTAGGGTCTGCAGCAGGACTGTAGGCAGGTTGGGGTCTTGGGTCTGGGGTCTGCAGCAGGACTGTAGGCAGGTTGGGGTCTTGGGTCTGGGGTCTGCAGCAGCAGAAGCAGCAGTGAATCCAAAGTGCAGTCGTGCTGACAGTTTCCCGTCTCGTCCCAGTGAGACTTAAACCCTGCTCCTCCTGTACATCCAGCACCTGTGGCGTTCTGCTTTGAAACCCAACACATTCAGCTGGGTCAGACTTTTCACTTTGCCGACGCCGCCGTTGCCGATCAGAAACATACACGCAGCAGATTCAAAGACCACGGGGGAATAAGAGTTTAGCAGAATCTAAAATCCGCTCCACGCGAAACATGAGACTGAGGAGGATATTTGTTAAGCCTAGCGTACATCGGACTGGCAACTGATTATATCCGTCGCATATGAGTTGCTGCCCCGCACACATCGACAATCTGACGAAAACGGGCAACTCCCAGTATCAGACCAGTCTGGGGAATAACAGCGCATACATCGACAGCAACTGGCCTCAACTACAGTGTGTTTTCTGACATAAACTGTTGCGCGCTCGCAATACACACAATACACACAAGTTGTCGGAGCGGCGCATGGAGCGCGCACATCGGGTCATATCTCCGAAACTGAGGACAACTAGTTGCCGAAAAGTAGAACACGGGCAACTGACTGAAACTGGAGACCGACTGATCATCTCCAGTTGTAAGAGCGCTCACATCGACCGATTTCAGCAACTGATCATCTCCCACCTTCTCCTCTCAGTTGCCAAAAGCCGCCTTGCAACTAGTTGTCCCCAGTTTCTCTGTCAATGTACGCTAGGCTTTAAACTATTTAGTTTTGGTGGTCCACCTGCTGAGGATGGACTGTGAATGGGCCACTTTGGGACATCCCAGGGTTCTTTGGTAAACAAACGGGCAAAGGCATCTCAGACCAGAGAGACCGAGGTACAGTAAACACTGTTTTAAGAACTAGAACATTGGAAGATTTGTTCATGTTTGAAAGAAATATCAATAAGTCATACACACAAAAGGCAACAACAGATTGTGCTGTGTGTGTGTGTGTGTGTGTGTGTTGATATAATAGACGTCTGCTTCACCCGACCCCTTCTCAGCCCTGTATTAGTGTGAGTTTTCCAACAGTCTGATGTCTATGGGTGTCCAAACTTCCAACACTGTTGATGTTTTCTGAGAGCGTTTAGAAGATAAATAATAGTAATTAATAAATTACCTTTTGCTGATACATGTTAAACAAAGGCTGTATATTTCTGTCTCTCCTCAGGTTTAAGACCATTCATTGATCGTGCTGTAGCTGTCAGCGAGTTTAGTGAATCAATTAGTTGCGATTAACGGATGAATTCTTCTGGCAGAACATCAGAATAAAACAAAGCCACAATCAGTAGAATCTGTGATTTCAGAAGATAAACTAAGTCTGGATCTGACGGAGGCTGCAGCTCCTGTTCACAGCACGGATGGATTTGACCTGAATACAAGCTCTCCCCCTCCTCCCTCTCCCCTAATCCAGTTACTGTGCACGAGTATGGTGTGGGGGGTGCGGAGGGGGGTGGAGTTTGCCCATTGGGTTTTGGGCTTCTGAGGCGGCTACAGAGACAAACAGAAAAGAGAAAATGTAGGAAAAACAACAGCGGCAAAACAAAAAGGAGACACAGAGACACGGGCGCGACGCTCTGGGCCTGAAGCGTTACGAACATAGACTGTTTATATCAACGGACGTAGTCACGCCTATCTCCACCGTTCTAACTAATGGGCCAAAATTTAGGCTGTGCTGGAGTGATTCAAAATGGCCGCGGGGGCTGGAAAATGTGAAAAAACACATCTGCGCATGCGTCAGCTGCACGAGCTCCATTCATTTAAACGAGAGACTTCTAAAGTCCACAGCGACTAAACTAGACTGGTCCAGAACACTCCCTCAGCATTGACACACATGTGGAACGGAGCTTTGGGCCAAGAGACACTTTTGGTCCATCCTGTAAAGACGTTTTCCAGAGGTAAGAAGATGCTATATGTTAGCATTGGCTAATTCTTATGCTGGGTCCACCCCCACAGGCCCGGGGTGGTATTGCAGCATGTCAGCGCACGTCATTTTGGACACTTTGGGGCCGGGACCCGCCCACACTGGTTATAAAGCGCGTTACGAAGCGCGTGGTGGCGGCGGTATGTAACGGTGGCGGTATATCAAACGTGTACCTTTCTGCGTCTCCATCTCCAAGCTCCGCCTCCTCCGGGCGCCGTCGTCCCTGTTCAGAAACGTGGGATTAAAAACACACAATGGAAGTCATTGGTGTAACGAGGAATCCTGTGGTGTCCTGATGTGTCTGAGGTCAGGTCCATGATGAACTCATGAATCACAAACAGAACAAGTGTTGACAGCTTTAAAAGTAAGTAATGTTTATTTAAACAGCGTCTTTCTCAGCCCAGAGCCAAAGTGGTTATAATTGTTACATTAGTGCACACAGAGATGGGAGGGGCCAGTACAGGAGGCACAGACCTATTGTACATGTTTTTACTGGTAGGGGAAACCGTAGCACCCAGAGGAAACCTACGCAGACACGGGGAGAACATGCAAACTCCACTCTAGAGGGTCCAAAGGTCTAGAGGGGGAGTTGAACCCAGGACCACTGTGCCGCCCAAAGAACACATTAAAAACACTTTTATTGAATTATTGTCTATATTTAGAACAAAGAGCCGTGTGAGTCCATATCTGCCTCTTTGGGCTGAGCCCTGATTGGCTGAGAGAGGGTGGTCCTCTCTGTCATGTCTTTGTTTGCGCCTTGATTGAACCTTGAGCCTATATTGTGACTTCCTGTTCCTTACAATGGAAATAAAAATGATTCCAATTCTGATTTTGATGTGATTCTACTTTATTTAGTCTTTTGCAACATTGTTCCTGCATCAAACACAGTTAGGGTTAGGGTTAGTTGTTTTTAGATCCATCCACGCTGATATCAGACACTTCTGGCACAAACGAGTAGATTAAGATGAAGAGATCCTTTATTAGTCCCACAGCGGGAAATGTCAGTGTTGCATCACAGGTTACAGAACAGTAGGAAAGAGGAGCACAGCACTAGATCAATGAACAATAACTCTAGCATCAGAAGAAGTCTCTACCTTTAGCATAACCCCGACCCTTCTGTCAGAGCATGATGTCATTGTCTCACTATGACATCACTATGACATCACTATGACATCACTATGACATCAGAGTCAGAACAGAAGTATTGCTCCTAAAGTTTAGTTTTGGGCATTTTGAAAATAAAACCATATTCTTTGCACTTGTCAGTTCGCAGCCTTGATCTGCAGCTGTGCGTGCTACACTTTGGGAAACTATTTTTTGCCAAATATCAATGATGAATTCCAACCTATTCAGCACAAAGAGCACCAGGCGTCCATAAGAACTGAACATTATCACAAACACAAAGCACAAAGTTGAATGTTGCTGCAGTGTCATTTGAAGATGTTGTTCTTAGAAATACAGCGGCTCATTAAAACCGTCCAGAAATAGTAAAAAAGTGTCTCCAGGATTTTACCGCAAATGAGGAGCTGCAGCTGTGTCTGAGTTATGTCCAGACAACTTTAGGAATAATCTCCTCCAGTGCAAAAGTGAAGTGATGTTTTGTTATTATTTTAGTCGAAACATACAGAGAGAAATACATAGATACTTTATTGATCCTGAGTGTGACCTGTGCTAAACAAAAACAACTTGCCTTGGACCAATCCATCCATTTTCTTTGGCTTCACCTGCTCTTCCCTCTCTACACACACCACTGCAGCTCATCTGGGGGAATCCTGAGGCGTTCCCAGACCAGCAGAGGCACAGTCCCAGAGAGAGAGACCAGAGAGAGACCAGAGAGAGACCAAAGAGAGAGACCAGAGAGAGACCAAAGAGAGACCAGAGAGAGACCAGAGAGAGACCAGAGAGAGACCAGAGAGAGGCCAGAGAGAGGCCAGAGATAGACCAGAGATAGACCAGAGAGAGAGACCAGAGAGAGAGACCAGAGAGACCAGAGAGAGACCAGAGAGAGACACCAGAGAGAGACCAAAGAGAGAGACCAGAGAGAGACCAGAGAGAGGCCAGAGAGAGAGAGCAGAGAGAGAGGCCAGAGAGAGAGAGCAGAGAGAGACCAGAGAGAGGCCAGAGAGAGCAGAGAGAGAGGCCAGAGAGAGAGAGCAGAGAGAGACCAGAGAGAGACCAGAGAGAGCAGAGAGAGAGGCCAGAGAGAGAGAGCAGAGAGAGAGGCCAGAGAGAGAGACCAGAGAGAGACCAGAGAGAGACCAGAGAGAGACCAGAGAGAGACCAGAGAGAGACCAGAGAGAGACCAGAGAGAGACTAGAGAGAGAGCAGAGAGAGAGACCAGAGAGAGACCAGAGAGAGACTAGAGAGAGAGCAAAGAGAGAGACCAGAGAGAGACCAGAGAGAGAGCAGAGAGAGAGACCAGAGAGAGGCCAGAGAGAGACCAGAGAGAGCAGAGAGGCCAGAGAGAGACCAGAGAGAGAGACCAGAGAGAGACCAGAGAGAGAGACCAGAGAGAGAGGAAAGAGAGACCTGAGAGAGATCAAAGAGAGAGAGACCAGAGAGAGAGCAGATGAATAGATGCACATTCAGAACACACACTAACGACTGTCCTCCATTGATCCCTTCTCTCCACAGGCCACACCTTCAAAGCAACCGCGACAAAAACTGCTACAAACCGGTTCCTGCTTCACAAAGACGTTTAAACAATTAAACCTTTTCTAATCCATAAACAGCACTCACGTCAGCGGGCCTTTTGACGGCCGTAGATACCTCCATCCATCATATATGACCACATGGAAGATTTATGAGCCGCAGGTGAGTATCGACACAGGATTGGTCAGAAACTGCAGAGAAAAGAGCGCTCTGTGGCTTTGGAGCTCACATCAAAGACCGGAGCAGCTTCTGGGGCCAGAGAGAGCGGCGTTTAAAACAGACACGGCGGTTTGGGAATCTCAGACTGATACAACGATGGGGACGAGTGGAATCGAGGGAGAGATAAATATTTTAGATTGATTTCAACGCAGAGGTAGTTCACAGTGCATGTTTAACACCTCCAGGATCATTAGGAATATCACGAACCCCAGACACGCTCGCCAACCGCACACGCTCAAGTAGAGAAGACCCAGGAATATATCAAGCTAGCGGTTACATTAGCGAGTCAAGTCAATTAGAATCATATCATGACTTTTGCAAACGCACAGTGCGCTGGGATCAGTGTGAGAGTCTGTTGAAATGTAGAGTTTTGAAAAAGACAGAATTTGAAAAGAAAGGAATTATTAGAGCAAGTGATTTCAGCTAAAAATATCCAAAACGTACTGTATCTCAGGCCAGGAGCCGAGCAGCCGCCGCAGCCGCATCAGCAGCAGCGCCCGTGGGCACATCCAGCGCGGCCTTTGCCTCGCGGTGGGCGGAGGCGGTTTGTTGTGTTTACTCGGCTGGTTTTCTGCCAACCTCGACTTTGACGAAGCAGTTTCCTATTTACTGTAAAAGGAGGTCTGGAAAGATGTCGTTTGAAGTTTGCGGTGAGAAAGTTTGGCCGTTTTGAACAATCAGAGAGAAGCAAAATAAACGGGAGACTGCTGCGAGACGGAGACGACTCCCAAAGGTCCATTGTTTTAAAAAACTATATTCTGGGAAACTACTGCGTGTGATGTCATAGTGGTACAAGATTCAAGAATGTATTTGCCATTTGCAGTAAAACCACAATGGAATAACTGTGCAAGACCAAAAAGAAGAAAGCACACACCAGAGCTCTCGGCGCCATGTGACATCATACTATCACCGGACTGAGCCTGGAGCTTTTAGGCAGAAGGGGCGGAGCTTGAATACATCTAATGGTATGAAGAGGTGAACGCATCTGAAAAGGGCTTAAAACTAAATTAAAAACATTTCAATGACATCACAAAGAAACGAGACACCATAGAAAGCGTCCAGAGTCTACTCAGTTTTTTAAAGGCAGGTTTTTCGGCCCCAGGTAGAGTCTGAGGAATTAAAGTGGCCCTCTTGCTAAAAAGTTTGGACACCCCTGGCCTAGAGCCACAGACAGGACCAAGACTCGTCAGACCGGTTTGAAAATCCACCAAAATCCGGAGACCGGTTTTTGTACATATTCAGTAATTTTAATCAACTGCACTGGTTTCCTGTGCCATGTTAGTGCCATATGAACCAACTGAGCACAGGGACTCTGAGGGGGCACAGGGACTAAAGATGGGGCGGCAGCATTCTATATTTGTGCAGCTAAAATCTGTAAGTTTTCCAGAAAATGTGAGACAGGCTTCTACTGTAATGTTCCCAACAGTTCTTTAGCTGTGCCTAACTGAAGGATTGTATAATTAATTAAATGGCCTGTATGATTATTTTCATCTGGTTTTGTTCATCCCTTTGAGCTGCTGTTGGATCAGAGCAACTCTAGAAAAACAATGGAAAATAAACATTTCAGAATCAGGTAAAAAACCTTGGACTGAGGACTGCCTGAATGTAAAAAGGTGCTGCACATTCCCATTATCGTGCTGGAAAAGCCAGCTGGACGTGCAAAGGTTACCACAGCGACAGGATGCGGTGGGAGGGGGCTAGCATAGCGCGGTACAGCCAACCCGACTTTGACGAGTTCTGTCTCATTTGAATACGATGGTGTTAATGAGGAGGCTTTCTCTGCGTCTGCAAACGCCGCCGTGACACCGTGATTGATGGGCAGCCTCCGCTCTCTTCACACAAAAGGCTCTTGGCAAAGTTTGGACAGAAGCACAAAGAAATGTAAACAATAATAATGCGCCGAGTCGACGTCTAATTTATTCAGAAAGTGAAAATGCAGTTGGTCATAACAGAGAGACAGAACAGTCTGAGATTCAGCAGAGAGAGGTCATGCGTGTCTTACTTATACTTTTCCAATCAGAAAGTCACGACTGTGTGAAAACTCTCAATGTTCTTTAAAAACATATTTTTGCATCGAACGAGCCCCGAGGGTCACTATTTGACACTTTGGGCTGAGAGTGGTTCTTTTTCACTTCTCTGCCGAAGATGATACGGGGACCTAAACATGCATGAATGTGAGTGATGAAGAACTAGTGAGTGATGAACTAGGGAGTGATGAAGAACTAGTGAGTGATGAAGAACTAGTGAGTGATGAAGAACTAGGGAGTGATGAAGAACTAGTGAGTGATGAAGAACTAGTGAGTGATGAAGAACTAGTGAGTGATGAAGAACTAGGGAGTGATGAAGAACTAGGAAGTGATGAAGAACTAGGGAGTGATGAAGAACTAGGGACTAATGAGTGATGAAGAACTAGGGAGTGATGAAGAACTAGGGACTGATGAAGAACTAGGGAGTGATGAAGAACTAGTGAGTGATGAAGAACTAGGGAGTGATGAAGAACTAGGGAGTGATGAAGAACTAGGGAGTGATAAAGAACTAGGGAGTGATAAAGAACTAGGGACTGATGAAGAACTAGGGAGTGATGAAGAACTAGGGACTAATGAGTGATGAAGAACTAGGGAGTGATGAAGAACTAGGGACTGATGAAGAACTAGGGAGTGATGAAGAACTAGTGAGTGATGAAGAACTAGGGAGTGATAAAGAACTAGGGACTGATGAAGAACTAGGGAGTGATGAAGAACTAGGGAGTGATTTACAGACCCCAGCTTTAAAGGTGCTCTAACCACTGTGGACATTATTGATCATAAATTCTATTCCATGTATTTTGTTTGGTCCTAAATCACAGTCTCAGTGGTTTCGGACGGCTTTACAAAGTTGTGGATTCGCCGACGCAGATCAGAGAATCGTGAGGAGACGGTCCACGGGGAGGGACACGACCATTGTTCATAAATGTTAACGACCAAAGAACCACTCATTTTCAGTGAAACGCCTTTTTCTGACGGTTCAAACTTCCATTTCAGCCTCTCTCATTCTGTTCCAACTCTGTCCGGTCCAATCTCTGCCTCACAAACCCAAAGGCTGGAGCTGCTGAGTGGGCTGGCGTGTTGTGGTGTGTAATAGTGTTTTGGGAGGCAGAAGGGGCGGCGGCGGCGGCGGTTGGTGGTGGTCGGCTGGCTCACCTCTGGCCCTTGCGTGGGACGGAGCCTCGGATCGCTCTCCCCCAGCGCTGGCCTGCCTTCCTGGCCTCTCCATCGGCCCCCTCAGCTGCCCACGCACCCATGCACTCATCCAGAAGGGAAAAACAGGAACGCCAACACACGGCTATTCAAATCAGGCTCATTCAGAGACGCTCTTTCTGGTCTTCGTGTTTAGCCGATGATAGATGCGTGAGTAGACATTATAGTTATTATGGCAGTTATTCAAACAGAAATGCTCCTATTTTCATAATCATGGTGTAATTTGGTGTTTATAATTGTTATGATAATTATATATTTTGGTTCCGTGCTGACGCAGTGGGGTCTAAGGCCCGTGATGATCCGCTCCTGTGAGTTTGTAATTACTGCACTTCCTGTGTTCAAACTGTTTCATTCTTTGTTTTTGAGGAATCTAAAAATGAAAACCTTTACATGTGTGGTTGTAAACAAAACAAATCATGCAAACGTTTCCATGAGACACAGGAAGCATGACTCCCACTCCAACATGGAGAGAGCGAGACGCTCTGGTCTCTCCCGCTCTGGTCTGTCCCGCTCTGGTCTGTCCCGCTCTGGTCTGTCCCGCTCTGGTCTGTCCCGCTCTGGTCTCTCCCTCTCTGGTCTCTCCCTCTCTGGTCTCTCTCCCTCTCTGGTCTCTCTCTATGGTCCCTCTGGTCTCTCTCTATGGTCTCTCGCTGGTATCTCTCTTTCTGGTCTCTCTCTGGTCTCTCTCTATGGTCCCTCTGGTCTCTCTCTGGTCTCTCTCTCTGGTCTCTCTCGCTCTGGTCTCCCGCTCTGGTCTCTACCGCTCTGGTCTCTACCGCTCTGGTCTCTACCGCTCTGGTCTCTACCGCTCTGGTCTCTACCGCTCTGGTCTCTACCGCTCTGGTCTGTCCCGCTCTGGTCTGTCCCGCTCTGGTCTGTCCCGCTCTGGTCTGTCCCGCTCTGGTCTGTCCCGCTCTGGTCTCTACCGCTCTGGTCTCTACCGCTCTGGTCTCTACCGCTCTGGTCTCTACCGCTCTGGTCTCTACCGCTCTGGTCTCTACCGCTCTGGTCTCTCCCGCTCTGGTCTCTCCCGCTCTGGTCTCTCCCGCTCTGGTCTCTCCCGCTCTGGTCTCTCCCGCTCTGGTCTCCCGCTCTGGTCTCTCCCGCTCTGGTCTCTACCGCTCTGGTCTCTACCGCTCTGGTCTGTCCCGCTCTGGTCTCTCCCGCTCTGGTCTCTCCCGCTCTGGTCTCTACCGCTCTGGTCTGTCCCGCTCTGGTCTCTCCCGCTCTGGTCTCTACCGCTCTGGTCTGTCCCGCTCTGGTCTGTCCCGCTCTGGTCTGTCCCGCTCTGGTCTGTCCCGCTCTGGTCTCTCCCTCTCTGGTCTCTCCCTCTCTGGTCTCTCTCTATGGTCCCTCTGGTCTCTCTCTATGGTCTCTCGCTGGTATCTCTCTTTCTGGTCTCTCGCTGGTGTCTCTCTTTCTGGTCTCTCTCTCTGGTCTCTCTCTATGGTCCTCTCGCTCTGGTCTCTCCGCTCTGGTCTCGACCGCTCTGGTCTCTACCGCTCTGGTCTCTACCGCTCTGGTCTCTACCGCTCTGGTCTCTACCGCTCTGGTCTCTACCGCTCTGGTCTCTACCGCTCTGGTCTCTACCGCTCTGGTCTCTACCGCTCTGGTCTCTACCGCTCTGGTCTCTACCGCTCTGGTCTCTCCCGCTCTGGTCTCTACCGCTCTGGTCTCTACCGCTCTGGTCTCTACCGCTCTGGTCTCTACCGCTCTGGTCTCTACCGCTCTGGTCTCTACCGCTCTGGTCTCTACCGCTCTGGTCTCTACCGCTCTGGTCTCTACCGCTCTGGTCTCTCCCGCTCTGGTCTCTCCCGCTCTGGTCTCTCCCGCTCTGGTCTCTCCCGCTCTGGTCTCTCCCGCTCTGGTCTCTCCCGCTCTGGTCTGTCCCGCTCTGGTCTGTCCCGCTCTGGTCTGTCCCGCTCTGGTCTGTCCCGCTCTGGTCTCTCCCGCTCTGGTCTCTCCCGCTCTGGTCTCTCCCGCTCTGGTCTCTCCCTCTCTGGTCTCTCCCTCTCTGGTCTCTCCCTCTCTGGTCTCTCTCTATGGTCTCTCGCTGGTGTCTCTCTTTCTGGTCTCTCTCTCTGGTCTCTCTCTCTGGTCTCTCTCTCTGGTCTCTCTCGCTCTGGTCTCTCGCTCTGGTCTGTCGCTCCGGTCTCTCGCTCTGGTCTCTCCCGCTCTGGTCTCTCCCGCTGGTCTCTCCGCCTGGTCTCTCCCGCTCTGGTCTCTCCGCTCTGGTCTCTACCGCTCTGGTCTCTACCGCTCTGGTCTCTCCCGCTCTGGTCTCTCCCGCTCTGGTCTCTCCCGCTCTGGTCTCTCCCGCTCTGGTCTCTCCCGCTCTGGTCTGTCCCGCTCTGGTCTCTCCCGCTCTGGTCTGTCCCGCTCTGGTCTGTCCCGCTCTGGTCTGTCCCGCTCTGGTCTGTCCCGCTCTGGTCTCTCCCTCTCTGGTCTCTCCCTCTCTGGTCTCTCCCTCTCTGGTCTCTCCCTCTCTGGTCTCTCCCTCTCTGGTCTCTCCCTCTCTGGTCTCTCTCTATGGTCCCTCTGGTCTCTCTCTATGGTCTCTCGCTGGTATCTCTCTTTCTGGTCTCTCGCTGGTATCTCTCTTTCTGGTCTCTCGCTGGTGTCTCTCTTTCTGGTCTCTCTCTCTGGTCTCTCTCGCTCTGGTCTCTCGCTCTGGTCTCTCGCTCCGGTCTCTCGCTCTGGTCTCTCGCTCTGGTCTATCCCGCTCTGGTCTCTACCGCTCTGGTCTGTCCCGCTCTGGTCTCTCCCGCTCTGGTCTCTCCCGCTCTGGTCTCTCCCGCTCTGGTCTCTCCCTCTCTGGTCTCTCCCTCTCTGGTCTCTCCCTCTCTGGTCTCTCTCTATGGTCTCTCGCTGGTGTCTCTCTTTCTGGTCTCTCTCTCTGGTCTCTCTCTCTGGTCTCTCTCGCTCTGGTCTCTCGCTCTGGTCTCTCGCTCCGGTCTCTCGCTCCGGTCTCTCGCTCCGGTCTCTCGCTCTGGTCTCTCCCGCTCTGGTCTCTCCCGCTCTGGTCTCTCCCGCTCTGGTCTCTACCGCTCTGGTCTCTACCGCTCTGGTCTCTACCGCTCTGGTCTGTCCCGCTCTGGTCTCTCCCGCTCTGGTCTCTCCCGCTCTGGTCTCTCCCGCTCTGGTCTCTCCCGCTCTGGTCTGTCCCGCTCTGGTCTCTCCCGCTCTGGTCTCTCCCGCTCTGGTCTCTACCGCTCTGGTCTGTCCCTCTCTGGTCTCTCTCTATGGTCCCTCTGGTCTCTCTCTATGGTCTCTCGCTGGTATCTCTCTTTCTGGTCTCTCGCTGGTGTCTCTCTTTCTGGTCTCTCTCTCTGGTCTCTCGCTCTGGTCTCTCGCTCCGGTCTCTCGCTCTGGTCTCTCGCTCTGGTCTATCCCGCTCTGGTCTCTACCGCTCTGGTCTCTACCGCTCTGGTCTGTCCCGCTCTGGTCTCTCCCTCTCTGGTCTCTCCCTCTCTGGTCTCTCCCTCTCTGGTCTCTCCCTCTCTGGTCTCTCTCTATGGTCTCTCGCTGGTGTCTCTCTTTCTGGTCTCTCTCTCTGGTCTCTCTCTCTGGTCTCTCTCGCTCTGGTCTCTCGCTCTGGTCTCTCGCTCCGGTCTCTCGCTCCGGTCTCTACCGCTCTGGTCTCTCCCGCTCTGGTCTCTCCCGCTCTGGTCTCTCCCGCTCTGGTCTCTCCCGCTCTGGTCTCTCCCGCTCTGGTCTCTCCCGCTCTGGTCTCTCCCGCTCTGGTCTCTCCCGCTCTGGTCTCTCCCGCTCTGGTCTCTCCCGCTCTGGTCTCTCCCGCTCTGGTCTCTCCCGCTCTGGTCTCTCCCGCTCTGGTCTCTCCCGCTCTGGTCTCTCCCGCTCTGGTCTCTCCCGCTCTGGTCTCTACCGCTCTGGTCTCTCCCGCTCTGGTCTCTCCCGCTCTGGTCTCTCCCGCTCTGGTCTCTCCCGCTCTGGTCTCTACCGCTCTGGTCTGTCCCGCTCTGGTCTCTACCGCTCTGGTCTCTACCGCTCTGGTCTCTCCCGCTCTGGTCTGTCCCGCTCTGGTCTGTCCCGCTCTGGTCTGTCCCGCTCTGGTCTGTCCCGCTCTGGTCTCTCCCTCTCTGGTCTCTCCCTCTCTGGTCTCTCCCTCTCTGGTCTCTCCCTCTCTGGTCTCTCCCTCTCTGGTCTCTCCCTCTCTGGTCTCTCCCTCTCTGGTCACTCTCTATGGTCCCTCTGGTCTCTCTCTATGGTCTCTCGCTGGTATCTCTCTTTCTGGTCTCTCGCTGGTGTCTCTCTTTCTGGTCTCTCTCTCTGGTCTCTCTCTCTGGTCTCTCGCTCTGGTCTCTCGCTCTGGTCTCTCGCTCCGGTCTCTCACTCTGGTCTCTCGCTCTGGTCTCTCGCTCTGGTCTCTCCCGCTCTGGTCTCTACCGCTCTGGTCTCTACCGCTCTGGTCTGTCCCGCTCTGGTCTGTCCCGCTCTGGTCTGTCCCACTCTGGTCTGTCCCGCTCTGGTCTCTCCCGCTCTGGTCTCTCCCGCTCTGGTCTGTCCCGCTCTGGTCTTTCACGCTCTGGTCTTTCACGCTCTGGTCTTTCACGCTCTGGTCTGTCCCGCTCTGGTCTCTCCCTCTCTGGTCTCTCTCTATGGTCTCTCGCTGGTATCTCTCTTTCTGGTCTCTCGCTGGTGTCTCTCTTTCTGGTCTCTCTCTGGTCTCTCTCTATGATCCCTCTGGTCTCTCTCGCTCTGGTCTCCCTCTCTGGTCTCTCCCGCTCTGGTCTCCCGCTCTGGTCTCTCCCGCTCTGGTCTCTACCGCTCTGGTCTCTACCGCTCTGGTCTCTACCGCTCTGGTCTCTACCGCTCTGGTCTCTCCCGCTCTGGTCTCTCCCGCTCTGGTCTCTCCCGCTCTGGTCTCTCCCGCTCTGGTCTGTCCCGCTCTGGTCTGTCCCGCTCTGGTCTCTCCCGCTCTGGTCTCTCCCGCTCTGGTCTCTCCCGCTCTGGTCTCTCCCGCTCTGGTCTCTCCCTCTCTGGTCTCTCCCTCTCTGGTCTCTCTCTATGGTCCCTCTGGTCTCTCTCTATGGTCTCTCGCTGGTATCTCTCTTTCTGGTCTCTCGCTGGTGTCTCTCTTTCTGGTCTCTCTCTCTGGTCTCTCTCTCTGGTCTCTCTCGCTCTGGTCTCTACCGCTCTGGTCTCTACCGCTCTGGTCTCTACCGCTCTGGTCTCTACCGCTCTGGTCTCTACCGCTCTGGTCTGTCCCGCTCTGGTCTGTCCCGCTCTGGTCTGTCCCGCTCTGGTCTGTCCCGCTCTGGTCTGTCCCGCTCTGGTCTGTCCCGCTCTGGTCTGTCCCGCTCTGGTCTCTCCCGCTCTGGTCTGTCCCGCTCTGGTCTCTCCCGCTCTGGTCTGTCCCGCTCTGGTCTGTCCCGCTCTGGTCTGTCCCGCTCTGGTCTCTCCCTCTCTGGTCTCTCCCTCTCTGGTCTCTCCCTCTCTGGTCTCTCTCTATGGTCCCTCTGGTCTCTCTCTATGGTCTCTCGCTGGTATCTGTCTTTCTGGTCTCTCGCTGGTGTCTCTTTCTGGTCTCTCTCTGGTCTCTCTCTATGGTCCCTCTGGTCTCTCTCGCTCTGGTCTCCCGCTCTGGTCTCTCCCGCTCTGGTCTCTCCCGCTCTGGTCTCTCCCGCTCTGGTCTCTCCCGCTCTGGTCTCTCCCGCTCTGGTCTCTCCCGCTCTGGTCTCTCCCGCTCTGGTCTCTCCCCTCTCTGGTCTCTCCCTCTCTGGTCTGTCCCGCTCTGGTCTGTCCCGCTCTGGTCTGTCCCGCTCTGGTCTGTCCCGCTCTGGTCTCTCCCGCTCTGGTCTCTCCCGCTCTGGTCTCTCCCGCTCTGGTCTCTCCCGCTCTGGTCTCTCCCGCTCTGGTCTGTCCCGCTCTGGTCTGTCCCGCTCTGGTCTGTCCCGCTCTGGTCTGTCCCGCTCTGGTCTCTACCGCTCTGGTCTCTACCGCTCTGGTCTCTACCGCATACCGCTCTGGTCTCTACCGCTCTGGTCTCTACCGCTCTGGTCTCTACCGCTCTGGTCTGTCCCGCTCTGGTCTGTCCCGCTCTGGTCTGTCCCCGCTCTGGTCTCTCCCGCTCTGGTCTCTCCCGCTCTGGTCTCTCCGCTCTGGTCTGTCCCGCTCTGGTCTGTCCCGCTCTGGTCTGTCCCGCTCTGGTCTCTACCGCTCTGGTCTCTACCGCTCTGGTCTCTACCGCTCTGGTCTCTCCCGCTCTGGTCTCTCCGCTCTGGTCTCTCCCGCTCTGGTCTCTCCCGCTCTGGTCTCTCCCGCTCTGGTCGGGAAAAGAGGAGAGCGGGAAAAAGAGGAGAGCGGGAAAAGAGGAGAGCGGGAAAAAGAGGAGAGCGGGAAAAAGAGGAGAGCGGGAATAAGAGGAGAGCGGGAAAAAGAGGAGAGCGGGAAAAAGAGGAGAGCGGGAAAAAGAGGAGAGCGGGAAAAAGAGGAGAGCGGGAAAAAGAGGAGAGCGGGAAAAAGAGGAGAGCGGGAAAAAGAGGAGAGCGGGAAAAAGAGGAGAGCGGGAAAAAGAGGAGAGCGGGAAAAAGAGGAGAGCGGGAAAAAGAGGAGAGCGGGAAAAAGAGGAGAGCGGGAAAAAGAGGAGAGCGGGAAAAAGAGGAGAGCGGGAAAAAGAGGAGAGCGGGAAAAAGAGGAGAGCGGGAAAAAGAGGAGAGCGGGAAAAAGAGGAGAGCGGGAAAAAGAGGAGAGCGGGAAAAAGAGGAGAGCGGGAAAAAGAGGAGAGCGGAAAAGAGGAGAGCGGGAAAAAGAGGAGAGCGGGAAAAGAGGAGAGCGGGAAAAAGAGGAGAGCGGGAAAAAGAGGAGAGCGGGAAAAAGAGGAGAGCGGGAAAAAGAGGAGAGCGGGAAAAAGAGGAGAGCGGGAAAAAGAGGAGAGCGGGAAAAGAGGAGAGCGGGAAAAAGAGGAGAGCGGGAAAAAGAGGAGAGCGGGAAAAAGAGGAGAGCGGGAAAAAGAGGAGAGCGGGAAAAAGAGGAGAGCGGGAAAAAGAGGAGAGCGGGAAAAAGAGGAGAGCGGGAAAAGAGGAGAGCGGGAAAAAGAGGAGAGCGGGAAAAGAGGAGAGCGGGAAAAAGAGGAGAGCGGGAAAAAGAGGAGAGCGGGAAAAAGAGGAGAGCGGGAAAAAGAGGAGAGCGGGAAAAAGAGGAGAGCGGGAAAAAGAGGAGAGCGGGAAAAGAGGAGAGCGGGAAAAAGAGGAGAGCGGGAAAAAGAGGAGAGCGGGAAAAAGAGGAGAGCGGGAAAAGAGGAGAGCGGGAAAAAGAGGAGAGCGGGAAAAAGAGGAGAGCGGGAAAAAGAGGAGAGCGGGAAAAAGAGGAGAGCGGGAAAAAGAGGAGAGCGGGAAAAAGAGGAGAGCGGGAAAAAGAGGAGAGCGGGAAAAAGAGGAGAGCGGGAAAAGAGGAGAGCGGGAAAAAGAGGAGAGCGGGAAAAAGAGGAGAGCGGGAAAAAGAGGAGAGCGGGAATAAGAGGAGAGCGGGAAAAAGAGGAGAGCGGGAAAAAGAGGAGAGCGGGAAAAAGAGGAGAGCGGGAAAAAGAGGAGAGCGGGAATAAGAGGAAAAAAAGAGGAGAGCGGGAAAAAGAGGAGAGCGGGAAAAAGAGGAGAGCGGGAAAAAGAGGAGAGCGGGAAAAAGAGGAGAGCGGGAAAAAGAGGAGAGCGGGAAAAAGAGGAGAGCGGGAAAAAGAGGAGAGCGGGGGGGAAAAAGAGGAGAGCGGGAAAAAGAGGAGAGCGGGAAAAAGAGGCGGGGGAAAAAGAGGGAGAGCGGGAAAAAGAGGAGAGCGGGAAAAAGAGGAGAGCGGGAAAAAGAGGAGAGCGGGAAAAAGAGGAGAGCGGGAAAAAGAGGAGAGCGGGAAAAAGAAGAGCGGGAAAAACGAGGAGAGCGGGGAAAAAGAGGAGAGCGGAAAAAAGAGGTGAGCGGGAAAAAGAGGAGAGCGGGAAAAAGAGGAGAGCGGGAAAAAGAGGAGAGCGGGAAAAAGAGGAGAGCGGAAAAAGAGGAGAGCGGGAAAAAGAGGAGAGCGGGAAAAAGAGGAGAGCGGGAAAAAGAGGAGAGCGGGAAAAAGAGGAGAGCGGGAAAAAGAGGAGAGCGGGAAAAAGAGGAGAGGGGAAAAAGAGGAGAGCGGGAAAAAGAGGAGAGCGGGAAAAAGAGGAGAGCGGGAAAAAGAGGAGAGCGGGAAAAAGAGGAGAGCGGGAAAAGAGGAGAGCGGGAAAAAGAGGAGAGCGGGAAAAAGAGGAGAGCGGGAAAAGAGGAGAGCGGGAAAAAGAGGAGAGCGGGAATAAGAGGAGAGCGGGAAAAAGAGGAGAGCGGGAAAAAGAGGAGAGCGGGAAAAAAGAGGAGAGCGGGAAAAAAGAGGAGAGCGGGAAAAAGAGGAGAGCGGGAAAAAGAGGAGAGCGGGAAAAAGAGGAGAGCGGGAAAAAGAGGAGAGCGGGAAAAAGAGGAGAGCGGGAAAAAGAGGAGAGCGGGAAAAAGAGGAGAGCGGGAAAAAGAGGAGAGCGGGAAAAAGAGGAGAGCGGGAAAAAGAGGAGAGCGGGAAAAAGAGGAGAGCGGGAAAAAGAGGAGAGCGGGAAAAAGAGGAGAGCGGGAAAAAGAGGAGAGCGGGAAAAAGAGGAGAGCGGGAAAAAGAGGAGAGCGGGAAAAAGAGGAGAGCGGGAAAAAGAGGAGAGCGGGAAAAAGAGGAGAGCGGGAAAAAGAGGAGAGCGGGAAAAAGAGGAGAGCGGGAAAAAGAGGAGAGCGGGAAAAAGAGGAGAGCGGGAAAAAGAGGAGAGCGGGAAAAAGAGGAGAGCGGGAAAAAGAGGAGAGCGGGAAAAAGAGGAGAGCGGGAAAAAGAGGAGAGCGGGAAAAAGAGGAGAGCGGGAAAAAGAGGAGAGCGGGAAAAAGAGGAGAGCGGGAAAAAGAGGAGAGCGGGAAAAAGAGGAGAGCGGGAAAAAGAGGAGAGCGGGAAAAAGAGGAGAGCGGGAAAAAGAGGAGAGCGGGAAAAAGAGGAGAGCGGGAAAAAGAGGAGAGCGGGAAAAAGAGGAGAGCGGGAAAAAGAGGAGAGCGGGAAAAAGAGGAGAGCGGGAAAAAGAGGAGAGCGGGAAAAAGAGGAGAGCGGGAAAAAGAGGAGAGCGGGAAAAAGAGGAGAGCGGGAAAAAGAGGAGAGCGGGAAAAAGAGGAGAGCGGGAAAAAGAGGAGAGCGGGAAAAAGAGGAGAGCGGGAAAAAGAGGAGAGCGGGAAAAAGAGGAGAGCGGGAAAAAGAGGAGAGCGGGAAAAAGAGGAGAGCGGGAAAAAGAGGAGAGCGGGAAAAAGAGGAGAGCGGGAAAAAGAGGAGAGCGGGAAAAAGAGGAGAGCGGGAAAAAGAGGAGAGCGGGAAAAAGAGGAGAGCGGGAAAAAGAGGAGAGCGGGAAAAAGAGGAGAGCGGGAAAAAGAGGAGAGCGGGAAAAAGAGGAGAGCGGGAAAAAGAGGAGAGCGGGAAAAAGAGGAGAGCGGGAAAAAGAGGAGAGCGGGAAAAAGAGGAGAGCGGGAAAAAGAGGAGAGCGGGAAAAAGAGGAGAGCGGGAAAAAGAGGAGAGCGGGAAAAAGAGGAGAGCGGGAAAAAGAGGAGAGCGGGAAAAAGAGGAGAGCGGGAAAAGAGGAGAGCGGGAAAAAGAGGAGAGCGGGAAAAAGAGGAGAGCGGGAAAAAGAGGAGAGCGGGAAAAAGAGGAGAGAGCGGGAAAAAGAGGAGAGCGGGAAAAAGAGGAGAGCGGGAAAAAAGAGGAGAGCGGGAAAAAAAGAGGAGAGCGGGAAAAAGAGGAGAGCGGGAAAAAGAGGAGAGCGGGAAAAAGAGGAGAGCGGGAAAAAGAGGAGAGCGGGAAAAAGAGGAGAGCGGGAAAAAGAGGAGAGGGAGAGCGGGAAAAAGAGGAGAGCGGGAAAAAGAGGAGAGCGGGAAAAAGAGGAGAGCGGGAGAGGGGAAAAGAGGAGAGCGGGAAAAAGAGGAGAGCGGGAAAAAGAGGAGAGCGGGAAAAGAGGAGAGCGGGAGGAGAGCGGGAAAAAGAGGAGAGCGGGAAAAAGAGGAGAGCGGGAAAAAAAAGAGGAAAAGAGCGGGAAAAAGAGGAGAGCGGGAAAAAGAGGAGAGCGGGAAAAAGAGGAGAGCGGGAAAAAGAGGAGAGCGGGAAAAAGAGGAGAGCGGGAATAAGAGGAGAGCGGGAAAAAGAGGAGAGCGGGAAAAGAGGAGAGCGGGAAAAAGAGAGAGAGCGGGAAAAAGAGGAGAGCGGGAAAAAGAGGAGAGCGGGAAAAAGAGGAGAGCGGGAAAAAGAGGAGAGCGGGAAAAAGAGGAGAGCGGGAAAAAGAAAGAGCGGGAAAAAGAGGAGAGCGGGAAAAAGAGGAGAGCGGGAATAAGAGGAGAGCGGGAAAAAGAGGAGAGCGGGAAAAAGAGGAGAGCGGGAAAAAGAGGGAGAGCGGGAAAAAGAGGAGAGCGGGAATAAGAGGAGAGCGGGAAAAAGAGGAGAGCGGGAAAAAGAGGAGAGCGGGAAAAAGAGGAGAGCGGGAAAAAGAGGAGAGCGGGAAAAAGAGGAGAGCGGGAAAAAGAGGAGAGCGGGAAAAAGAGGAGAGCGGGAAAAAGAGGAGAGCGGGAAAAAGAGGAGAGCGGGAAAAAAGAGGAGAGCGGGAAAAAGAGGAGAGCGGGAAAAAGAGGAGAGCGGGAAAAAGAGGAGAGCGGGAAAAAGCGGGAAAAAGAGGAGAGCGGGAAAAAGAGGAGAGAGCGGGAAAAAGAGGAGAGCGGGAAAAAGAGGAGAGCGGGAAAAAGAGGAGAGCGGGAAAAAGAGGAGAGCGGGAAAAAGAGGAGAGCGGGAAAAGAGGAAGAAAAAAAGAGGAGAGCGGGAAAAAGAGGAGAGCGGGAAAAAGAGGAGAGCGGGAAAAGAGGAGAGCGGGAAAAAGAGGAGAGCGGGAAAAAAGAGGAGAGCGGGAAAAAGAGGAGAGCGGGAAAAAAAAGAGGAGAGCGGGAAAAAGAGGAGAGCGGGAAAAAGAGGAGAGCGGGAAAAAGAGGAGAGCGGGAAAAAGAGGAGAGCGGGAAAAAGAGGAGAGCGGGAAAAAGAGGAGAGCGGGAAAAAGAGGAGAGCGGGAAAAGAGGAGAGCGGGAAAAAGAGGAGAGCGGGAAAAAGAGGAGAGCGGGAAAAAGAGGAGAGCGGGAAAAAGAGGAGAGCGGGAAAAAGAGGAGAGCGGGAAAAAAAAAGAGGAGAGCGGGAAAAGAGGAGAGCGGGAAAAAGAGGAGAGCGGGAAAAAGAGGAGAGCGGGAAAAAGAGGAGAGCGGGAAAAAGAGGAGAGCGGGAATAAGAGGAGAGCGGGAAAAAGAGGAGAGCGGGAAAAAGAGGAGAGCGGGAAAAAGAGGAGAGCGGGAAAAAGAGGAGAGCGGGAAAAAGAGGAGAGCGGGAAAAAGAGGAGAGCGGGAAAAAGAGGAGAGCGGGAAAAAAGAGGAGAGCGGGAAAAAGAGGAGAGCGGGAAAAAGAGGAGAGCGGGAAAAGAGGAGAGCGGGAAAAAGAGGAGAGCGGGAAAAAGAGGAGAGCGGGAAAAAGAGGAGAGCGGGAAAAAGAGGAGAGCGGGAAAAAGAGGAGAGCGGGGAAAAAGAGGAGAGCGGGAAAAAGAGGAGAGCGGGAAAAAGAGGAGAGCGGGAAAAAGAGGAGAGCGGGAAAAAGAGGAGAGCGGGAAAAAGAGGAGAGCGGAAAAAGGAGCGGGAAAAAGAGGAGAGCGGGAAAAAGAGGAGAGCGGGAAAAAGAGGAGAGCGGGAAAAAGAGGAGAGCGGGAAAAAGAGGAGAGCGGGAAAAAGAGGAGAGCGGGAAAAAGAGGAGAGCGGGAAAAAGAGGAGAGCGGGAAAAAGAGGAGAGCGGGAAAAAAGAGGAGAGCGGGAAAAAGAGGAGAGCGGGAAAAAGAGGAGAGCGGGAAAAAGAGGAGAGCGGGAAAAAGAGGAGAGCGGGAAAAAGAGGAGAGCGGGAAAAAGAGGAGAGCGGGAAAAAGAGGAGAGCGGGAAAAAGAGGAGAGCGGGAAAAAGAGGAGAGCGGGAAAAAGAGGAGAGCGGGAAAAAAGAGGAGAGCGGGAAAAAGAGGAGAGCGGGAAAAAGAGGAGAGCGGGAAAAAGAGAGCGGAAAAGAGGAGAGCGGGAAAAAGAGGAGAGCGGGAAAAAGAGGAGAGCGGGAAAAAGAGGAGAGCGGGAAAAAGAGGAGAGCGGGAATAAGAGGAGAGCGGGAAAAAGAGGAGAGCGGGAAAAAGAGGAGAGCGGGAATAAGAGGAGAGCGGGAAAAAGAGGAGAGCGGGAAAAAGAGGAGAGCGGGAAAAAGAGGAGAGCGGGAAAAAGAGGAGAGCGGGAAAAAGAGGAGAGCGGGAATAAGAGGAGAGCGGGAAAAAGAGGAGAGCGGGAAAAAGAGGAGAGCGGGAAAAAGAGGAGAGCGGGAAAAAGAGGAGAGCGGGAAAAGAGGAGAGCGGGAAAAAGAGGAGAGGAGGGGAAAAGAGGAGAGCGGGAAAAAGAGGAGAGCGGGGAAAAGAGGAGAGCGGGAAAAAGAGGAGAGCGGGAAAAAGAGGAGAGCGGGAAAAAGAGGAGAGCGGGAAAAAGAGGAGAGCGGGAATAAGAGGAGAGCGGGAAAAAGAGGAGAGCGGGAAAAAGAGGAGAGCGGGAAAAAGAGGAGAGCGGGAAAAAGAGGAGAGCGGGAAAAAGAGGAGAGCGGGAAAAGAGGAGAGCGGGAAAAAGAGGAGAGCGGAAAAAGAGGAGAGCGGGAAAAAGAGGAGAGCGGGAAAAAGAGGAGAGCGGGAAAAAGAGGAGAGCGGGAAAAAGAGGAGAGCGGGAAAAAGAGGAGAGCGGGAAAAAGAGGAGAGCGGGAAAAAGAGGAGAGCGGGAAAAAGAGGAGAGCGGGAAAAAGAGGAGAGCGGGAAAAAGAGGAGAGCGGGAAAAAGAGGAGAGCGGGAAAAAGAGGAGAGCGGGAATAAGAGGAGAGCGGGAAAAAGAGGAGAGCGGGAAAAAGAGAGAGCGGGAAAAAGAGGAGAGCGGGAAAAAGAGGAGAGCGGGAAAAAGAGGAGAGCGGGAAAAAGAGGAGAGCGGGAAAAAGAGGAGAGCGGGAAAAAGAGGAGAGCGGGAAAAAGAGGGGAAAAGAGGAGCGGGAAAAAGAGGAGAGCGGGAAAAAGAGGAGAGCGGGCGGAAAAAGAGGAGAGCGGGAAAAAGAGGAGAGCGGGAAAAAGAGGAGAGCGGGAAAAAGAGGAGAGCGGGAAAAAGAGGAGAGCGGGAAAAAGAGGAGAGCGGGAAAAAGAGGAGAGCGGGAAAAAGAGGAGAGCGGGAAAAAGAGGAGAGCGGGAAAAAGAGGAGAGCGGGAAAAAGAGGAGAGCGGGAAAAAGAGGAGAGCGGGAAAAAGAGGAGAGCGGGAAAAAGAGGAGAGCGGGCAAAAGAGGAGAGCGGGAAAAAGAGGAGAGCGGGAAAAAGAGGAGAGCGGGAAAAAGAGGAGAGCGGGAAAAAGAGGAGAGCGGGAATAAGAGGAGAGCGGGAAAAAGAGGAGAGCGGGAAAAAGAGGAGAGCGGGAAAAAGAGGAGAGCGGGAAAAAGAGGAGAGCGGGAAAAAGAGGAGAGCGGGAAAAAGAGGAGAGCGGGAAAAAGAGGAGAGCGGGAAAAAGAGGAGAGCGGGAAAAAGAGGAGAGCGGGAAAAAGAGGAGAGAGCGGGAAAAAGAGGAGAGCGGGAATAAGAGGAGAGCGGGAAAAAGAGGAGAGCGGGAAAAAGAGGAGAGCGGGAAAAAGAGGAGAGCGGGAAAAGAGGAGAGCGGGAAAAAGAGGAGAGCGGGAAAAAGAGGAGAGCGGGAAAAAGAGGAGAGCGGGAATAAGAGGAGAGCGGGAAAAAGAGGAGAGCGGGAAAAAGAGGAGAGCGGGAAAAAGAGGAGAGCGGGAATAAGAGGAGAGCGGGAAAAAGAGGAGAGCGGGAAAAAGAGGAGAGCGGGAAAAAGAGGAGAGCGGGAAAAAGAGGAGAGCGGGAAAAAGAGAGGAGAGCGGGAAAAAGAGGAGAGCGGGAAAAAGAGGAGAGCGGGAAAAAGAGGAGAGCGGGAAAAAGAGGAGAGCGGGAATAAGAGGAGAGCGGGAAAAAGAGGAGAGGAGGGAAAAAGAGGAGAGCGGGAAAAAGAGGAGAGCGGGAAAAAGAGGAGAGCGGGAAAAGAGGAGAGCGGGAAAAAGAGGAGAGCGGGAAAAAGAGAGAGAGCGGGAAAAAGAGGAGAGCGGGAAAAAGAGGAGAGCGGGAAAAAGAGGAGAGCGGGAAAAAGAGGAGAGCGGGAAAAAGAGGAGAGCGGGAAAAAGAGGAGAGCGGGAAAAAGAGCGGGAAAAGAGGAGAGCGGGAAAAGAGGAGAGCGGGAAAAAGAGGAGAGCGGGAAAAAGAGGAGAGCGGGAAAAAGAGGAGAGCGGGAAAAGAGGAGAGCGGGAAAAAGAGGAGAGCGGGAAAAAGAGGAGAGCGGGAAAAAGAGGAGAGCGGGAAAAAGAGGAGAGCGGAAAAAGAGGAGAGCGGGAATAAGAGGAGAGCGGGAAAAAGAGGAGAGCGGGAAAAAGAGGAGAGCGGGAAAAAGAGGAGAGCGGGAAAAAGAGGAGAGCGGGAATAAGAGGAGAGCGGGAAAAAGAGGAGAGCGGGAAAAAGAGGAGAGCGGGAAAAAGAGGAGAGCGGGAAAAAGAGGAGAGCGGGAATAAGAGGAGAGCGGGAAAAAGAGGAGAGCGGGAAAAAGAGGAGAGCGGGAAAAAGAGGAGAGCGGGAAAAAGAGGAGAGCGGGAAAAAGAGGAGAGCGGGAAAAAGAGGAGAGCGGGAAAAAGAGGAGAGCGGGAAAAAGAGGAGAGCGGGAAAAAGAGGAGAGCGGGAATAAGAGGAGAGCGGGAAAAAAGAGGAGAGCGGGAAAAAGAGGAGAGCGGGAAAAAGAGGAGAGCGGGAAAAAGAGGAGAGCGGGAAAAAGAGGAGAGCGGGAAAAAGAGGAGAGCGGGAAAAAGAGAGAGAGCGGGGGAAAAAGAGGAGAGCGGGAAAAAGAGGAGAGCGGGAAAAAGAGGAGAGCGGGAAAAAGAGGAGAGCGGGAAAAAGAGGAGAGCGGGAAAAAGAGGAGAGCGGGAAAAAGAGGAGAGCGGGAAAAAGAGGAGAGCGGGAAAAAGAGGAGGAGCGGGAAAAAGAGGAGAGCGGGAAAAAGAGGAGAGCGGGAAAAAGAGGAGAGCGGGAAAAAAGGAGAGCGGGGAAAAGAGGAGAGCGGGAAAAAGAGGAGAGCGGGAAAAAGAGGAGAGCGGGAAAAAGAGGAGAGCGGGAAAAAGAGGAGAGCGGGAAAAAGAGGAGAGCGGGAAAAAGAGGAGAGCGGGAAAAAGAGGAGAGCGGGAAAAAGAGGAGAGCGGGAAAAAGAGAAGAGAGCGGGAAAAAGAGGAGAGCGGGAAAAAGAGGAGAGCGGGAAAAAGAGGAGAGCGGGAAAAAGAGGAGAGCGGAAAAAGAGGAGAGCGGGAAAAAGAGGAGAGCGGGAAAAAGAGGAGAGCGGGAAAAAGAGAGAGCGGGAAAAGAGGAGAGCGGGAAAAAGAGGAGAGCGGGAAAAAGAGGAGAGCGGGAAAAAGAGGAGAGCGGGAAAAGAGGAGAGCGGGAAAAAGAGGAGAGCGGGAAAAAAGAGGAGAGCGGGAAAAAGAGGAGAGCGGGAAAAAGAGGAGAGCGGGAAAAAGAGGAGAGCGGGGGAAAAAGAGGAGAGCGGGAAAAAGAGGAGAGCGGGAAAAGAGAAGGGAAAAGAGGAGAGCGGGAAAAAGAGGAGAGCGGGAAAAAGAGGAGAGCGGGAAAAGAGGAGAGCGGGAAAAAGAGGAGAGCGGGAAAAAGAGGAGAGCGGGAAAAAGAGGAGAGCGGGAAAAAGAGGAGAGCGGGAAAAAGAGGAGAGCGGGAAAAAGAGGAGAGCGGGAAAAAGAGGAGAGCGGGAAAAAGAGGAGAGCGGGAAAAAGAGGAGAGCGGGAAAAAGAGGAGAGCGGGAAAAAGAGGAGAGCGGGAAAAAGAGGAGAGCGGGAAAAAGAGGAGAGCGGGAAAAAGAGGAGAGCGGGAAAAGGAGAGCGGGAAAAAGAGGAGAGCGGGGGAGAGGGAAAGAGGAGAGCGGGAAAAGAGGGACGGGAAAAAGAGGAGAGCGGGAAAAAGAGGAGAGCGGGAAAAAGAGGAGAGCGGGAAAAAGAGGAGAGCGGGAAAAAGGGAGAGCGGGAAAAAGAGGAGAGCGGGAAAAAGAGGAGAGGGGGAATAAGAGGAGAGCGGGAAAAAGAGGAGAGCGGGAAAAAGAGGAGAGCGGGAAAAAGAGGAGAGCGGGAAAAAGAGGAGAGCGGGAATAAGAGGAGAGCGGGAAAAAGAGGAGAGCGGGAAAAAGAGGAGAGCGGGAAAAAGAGGAGAGCGGGAAAAAGAGGAGAGCGGGAAAAAGAGGAGAGCGGGAATAAGAGGAGAGCGGGAAAAAGAGGAGAGCGGGAAAAAAACAGACGCAATCAAAGTGAAATTATTTACGAATGTCGCGTTGATTTTCAGTGGTTTTTAGCTAATGGCCAAAAGATTACAACTCCAGCTTTATGGATGATGCAAACTGACTATAAAGCTGGTTCAGGCCATATCGGCAGGTGAAAGCCAAATCCTGTCAGAGCTTTGACGCTAAGCAGGGCAGGGACTGGTTAGTGCTGTGATGGGAGACCTCTGGGAACAGCAGGAGTCACAGTGGGGATGTAAAGTGTCAAACTGTGGCTGTGTCCTTAGGCCAGTGTCTCCCAAAGTGGGGTCCCGCGGAGGGTACTGCAGGGGGGCCGCGGGAGGTCATAAAAAAAAAAATATATAATATAATTATTTAATGTTAAATTTATAATGTTTTGTTTGTAATATTAAAATATTTGTGTTCATTATTTGACTTGAATAATCCACTGTAATCATTTTTGTATTACAATGTTTGTAGCAGAGGCTATTTCCCCAAAATAAAATAACCAGAAGAGCCTATTCTTAATGTTGTCTTCTTGGTTATTATTTTGGGGGGCCACGCAGACCCGTCAGATTTTTAAGGGGGCCTCGGTGTTACTGAGTTTGGGAATGGCTGCTTTAAGTAATACACTTCACCAACATTTAGAAAGTGTGTGTGTGTGAATGGTTGGTGGTGGCGGGAGGGTGCCCCAGGGCAGCTGTGGCTACAGTAGTAGTTTATCACCACTGTAGACTTTGAGAGGAAGAATGCTGCAAATGTGGTTAGACTTTTTCTCATCTGACTCTGAAATCTTAAAAACAAACGTTTCTTTTCCGTGAGTGACACTGTTGGAGGCAGGAGTCTTCACTACAGAGCGGCTCCGGGGTCAGAACGCAGAAAAGTGCGCCCCACTATTTGAGAAGGACAGGTGTAAGCTACATCACTTTGACTATAACCCCCATAACATATCGCTGGCTAGCTTATGCTAGTTATTCATGTTGTAGCATAGCCCTAACTTCACCTTGACCTTGATACATGCTAACTAACATGACTGTGAGATAGATACATGCTAACTAACATGACTGTGAGCTATAGATACATGCTAACTAACATGACTGTGAGCTAGATACATGATACATGCTAACTAACATGACTGTGAGCTATAGATTACATGCTAACATGACTAGATAGATCATAACAACATGACTGTGAGCTATAGATACATGCTAACTAACATGACTGTGAGTATAGATACTGAACTAACATGATGTGAGCTAGATACATGCTAACTAACATGACTGTGAGATAGAGATACATGCTAACTAACATGACTGTGAGCTAGATACATGCTAACTAACATGACTGTGAGCTAGATACATGCTAACTAACATGACTGTGAGCTATAGATACATGCTAACTAACATGACTGTGAGCTAACTACATGCTAACTAACATGACTGTGAGCTAGATACATGCTAACTAACATGACTGTGAGCTAGATACATGCTAAGTACCTAACATGACTGTGAGCTAGATACATGCTAACTAACATGACTGTGAGCTAGATACATGCTAACTAACATGACTGTGAGATAGATACATGCTAACTAACATGACTGTGAGCTAGATACATGCTAACTAACATGACTGTGAGCTAGATACATGCTAACTAACATGACTGTGAGCTATAGATACATGCTAACTAACATGACTGTGAGCTAGATACATGCTAACTAACATGACTGTGAGCTATAGATACATGCTAACTAACATGACTGTGAGATAGATACATGCTAACTAACATGACTGTGAGATAGATACATGCTAACTAACATGACTGTGAGCTAGATACATGCTAACTAACATGACTGTGAGCTAGATACATGCTAACTAACATGACTGTGAGCTAGATACATGCTAACTAACATGACTGTGAGCTAGATACATGCTAACTAACATGACTGTGAGCTAGATACATGCTAACTAACATGACTGTGAGATAGATACATGCTAACTAACATGACTGTGAGCTAGATACATGCTAACTAACATGACTGTGAGCTAGATGCTAAAGGTAGACATGAAGAAACTCATTCCAACATGGCCGCCGTGTGTGTGTCACTGCGAGTACTGCTTCACTCTGGGCGTGTATCTTCGGGGATACTTCAAAGGCAGCTGGTGTTTGCTAGCTTCAGTCTAATTAGCCGCTCTGACGAACAGAACTTTGGCTCCTCAGATCCACGCAGCATGTTTTCTTTCACAGACATTGATGAAATAATCAGATTGAAAACAGGCCAGTCCTTTGATTAGAACAATATCATGTAAAATTTAACAATGTTTCCCATGAAATTCTGTTTGTAGCGACGTTAAAAGGAAGTCGTTTTCCTGAAGGCGTTCAAGAGATGCTACATTTTTACACTTTTCATAGGATTTGAGGCTGACGATGCAACAATGACTGGATCACACGCCGTATGCTAGCAGCAGCGGCAATGCTAGCATGAAGTCACATTGTTTAAGTTTCTGGTCTATATTTAATTATGCACACAACAAAGATTGAGAATTAATAAATATGAGGCGAGAAGGTGGATCAAAATAATAACCTCAAGAACGAGTATGTGTTCTGTCTGAACGTTATTAATTTACCTGTTTATTTTATTCTTATTTGGATTATTACAATAAAAACACAGAGAGACATTGGTCCAAAAGGAGCAGAGACCAATGTCACCGGGAGACACCAGGAGAGAGACCGGCATGATACTAGGAGAGAGACCAGAATGACACTAGGAGAGAGACCAGAATGATACTAGGAGAGAGACCAGAATGACACTAGGAGAGAGACCAGAATGATACTAGGAGAGAGACCGGCATGATACTAGGAGAGAGACCAGAATGATACTAGGAGAGAGACCGGCATGATACTAGGAGAGAGACCAGAATGATACTAGGAGAGAGACCGGCATGATACTAGGAGAGAGACCAGAATGATACTAGGAGAGAGACCGGCATGATACTAGGAGAGAGACCAGAATGATACTAGGAGAGAGACCAGAATGATACTAGGAGAGAGACCAGAATGATACTAGGAGAGAGACCAGAATGATACTAGGAGAGAGACCAGAATGATACTAGGAGAGAGACCAGAATGATACTAGGAGAGAGACCAGAATGATACTAGGAGAGAGACCGGCATGATACTAGGAGAGAGACCAGAATGATACTAGGAGAGAGACCGGCATGATACTAGGAGAGAGACCAGAATGATACTAGGAGAGAGACCGGCATGATACTAGGAGAGAGACCAGAATGATACTAGGAGAGAGACCGGCATGATACTAGGAGAGAGACCGGCATGATACTAGGAGAGAGACCGGCATGATACTAGGAGAGAGACCGGCATGATACTAGGAGAGAGACCGGCATGATACTAGGAGAGAGACCGGCATGATACTAGGAGAGAGACCAGAATGATACTAGGAGAGAGACCAGAATGATACTAGGAGAGAGACCAGAATACTAGGAGAGAGACCGGCATGATACTAGGAGAGAGACCAGAATGATACTAGGAGAGAGACCGGCATGATACTAGGAGAGAGACCGGCATGATACTAGGAGAGAGACCGGCATGATACTAGGAGAGAGACCAGAATGATACTAGGAGAGAGACCGGCATGATACTAGGAGAGAGACCAGAATGATACTAGGAGAGAGACCGGCATGATACTAGGAGAGAGACCGGCATGATACTAGGAGAGAGACCAGAATGATACTAGGAGAGAGACCGGCATGATACTAGGAGAGAGACCGGCATGATACTAGGAGAGAGACCAGAATGACATCAGGAGAGAGACCGGCATGATACTAGGAGAGAGAGACCAGAATGACATCAGGAGAGAGACCGGCATGATACTAGGAGAGAGACCAGAATGATACTAGGAGAGAGACCAGAATGATACTAGGAGAGAGACCAGAATGATACTAGGAGAGAGACCAGAATGATACTAGGAGAGAGACCAGAATGATACTAGGAGAGAGACCAGAATGATACTAGGAGAGAGACCAGAATGATACTAGGAGAGAGACCAGAATGATACTAGGAGAGAGACCAGAATGATACTAGGAGAGAGACCAGAATGATACTAGGAGAGAGACCGGCATGATACTAGGAGAGAGACCAGAATGATACTAGGAGAGAGACCGGCATGATACTAGGAGAGAGACCAGAATGATACTAGGAGAGAGACCGGCATGATACTAGGAGAGAGACCAGAATGATACTAGGAGAGAGACCGGCATGATACTAGGAGAGAGACCAGAATGATACTAGGAGAGAGACCAGAATGATACTAGGAGAGAGACCGGCATGACACCAAGAGAGAAACCAGAATGACATCAGGAGAGAGACCTGCATGATACTAGGAGAGAGACCAGAATACTAGGAGAGAGACCGGCATGATACTAGGAGAGAGACCAGAATGATACTAGGAGAGAGACCGGCATGATACTAGGAGAGAGACCAGAATGATACTAGGAGAGAGACCAGAATGATACTAGGAGAGAGACCTGCATGATACTAGGAGAGAGACCAGAATGATACTAGGAGAGAGACCGGCATGACACCAAGAGAGAAACCAGAATGACATCAGGAGAGAGACCTGCATGATACTAGGAGAGAGACCAGAATGACACCAGGAGAGAGACCTGCATGATACTAGGAGAGAGACCAGAATGATACTAGGAGAGAGACCAGAATGATACTAGGAGAGAGACCAGAATGACACCAGGAGAGAGACCAGAATGACACCAGGAGAGAGACCAGCATGACACCAGGAGAGAGACCAGCATGATACTAGGAGAGAGACCGGCATGACACCAGGAGAGAGACCAGAATGACACCAGGAGAGAGACCAGCATGATACTAGGAGAGAGACCGGCATGACACCAAGAGAGACCAGAATGACACCAGGAGAGAGACCAGAATGACACCAGGAGAGAGACCAGAATGACACCAGGAGAGAGACCAGCATGACACCAGGAGAGAGACCAGCATGATACTAGGAGAGAGACCGGCATGACACCAGGAGAGAGACCAGAAAGACACCAGGAGAGAGACCAGCATGACACCAGGAGAGAGACCAGAATGACACCGGGAGAGAGACCAGAATGACACCAGGAGAAAGACCGGCATGACACCAGGAGAAAGACCGGCATGACATCAGGAGAGAGACCAGCATGATACTAGGAGAGAGACCAGCATGACACCAGGATAGAGATCAGCATGACACCAGGAGAAAGACCAGCATGACACCAGGTCATGATCATGCAGAGAGATCAGCATGACACCAGGAGAAAGACCAGCATGACATCAGGAGAGAGACCAGCATGACATCAGGAGAGAGACCAGCATGATACTAGGAGAAAGACCAGCATGACATCAGGAGAGAGACCAGCATGACATCAGGAGAGAGACCAGCATGACATCAGGAGAGAGACCAGCATGATACTAGGAGAAAGACCAGCATGACATCAGGAGAGAGACCAGCATGACATCAGGAGAGAGACCAGCATGATACTAGGAGAGAGACCAGCATGACACCAGGTCATGATCATGCAGAGAGATCAGCATGACACCAGGAGAAAGACCAGCATGACACCAGGAGAAAGACCAGCATGACATCAGGAGAGAGACCAGCATGACATCAGGAGAGAGACCAGCATGATACTAGGAGAGAGACCAGCATGACACCAGGAGAAAGACCAGCATGACACCAGGAGAAAGACCAGCATGACATCAGGAGAGAGACCAGCATGACATCAGGAGAGAGACCAGCATGACACCAGGAGAAAGACCAGCATGACATCAGGAGAGAGACCAGCATGACATCAGGAGAGAGACCAGCATGATACTAGGAGAGAGACCAGCATGACACCAGGAGAGAGATCAGCATAACACCAGGAGAAAGACCAGCATGACACTAGGAGAGAGACCAGCATGACACTAGGAGAAAGACCAGCATGACACCAGGAGAGAGACCAGCATGACACCAGGAGAGAGACCAGCATGACACTAGGGGAAAGACAGAATCGAGTGTCATGGATCATCACCACTGGCCTTAGAGCCTCCTGCATATTTAGAACTCAGCCTTTGATCCAGTCCCGGGCCAGTCCGGTTTAGTCTAGTCTAGTCTAGTCCGGTCCAGCTCTTACCAGTGGAGAAGACCACGTTCCGGGACACCAGCTTGTAGTCCACGATGGAGAACTGCGGCAGCTCGATGCGGGTCACTCCGGTCACGGCCGCTTCACCTCCTTTCCAGTAAAACTCTATGTCGTCTGTGGTGTATCCATCTGTAAGAGAAGAGACCAGCATGAGACCGGGAGAGAGACCGGCATGAGACCAGGGAGGGAGACCGGCATGACACCAGGGAGGGAGACCGGCATGACACCAGGGAGGGAGACCGGCATGACACCAGGAGAGAGACCGGCATGACACTAGGAGAGAGACCGGCATGACACCAGGAGAGAGACCAGCATGACACCAGGAGAGAGACCGGCATGAGACCGGCATGAGACCGGGAGAGAGACCGGCATGACACCAGGAGAGAGACCGGCATGAGACCGGGAGAGAGACCGGCATGAGACCGGGAGAGAGACCGGCATGACACCAGGAGAGAGACCGGCATGAGACCGGGAGAGAGACCGGCATGACACCAGGAGAGAGACCGGCATGACACCAGGAGAGAGACCAGTATGACACCAGGAGAGAGACCGGCATGACACCAGGAGAGAGACCAGTATGACACCAGGAGAGAGACCGGCATGACACCAGGAGAGAGACCGGAATGACACCAGGAGAGAGACCAGCATGACACCAGGAGAGAGATCGGCATGACACCAGGAGAGAGACCAGTATGAGACCGGGAGAGAGACTGGCATGACACCAGGAGAGAGACCAGCATGACACCAGGAGAGAGACCAGCATGACACCCAGAGAGAGAGAGAGAGGAGAGAGACCAGCATGACACCAGGAGATGCGAGGAGAGACCAGAAAAACACTAGGACAAAGACAGGAGAGGACCAGGACAACACTAGGAAAAGGACAGAATCTGTAAAGCACAAACACATACTTTCACTTTCACTTTGACACAGGAGCCATCTGTCCCTGAGAACCATAGTGTGTGATGTATGCAGAGCGAGAGAGAGGGCAGCTGGGACAGAGGGGGAGTGTGGAGGACCAGGAGGAGCACCAGGAGGAGCACCAGGAGGAGGACCAGAAGAACCAACACGAGTCAGAGCAGCGGAGAGGCCGCCCACACAGGTACGACTGATGCTCCTTTTAAACCCGGGAAAAAGTATCACTGTGTAGAAGGAAGTCTGCGATAAACGATACGCAGTACTGGGCTCACGATACGATACGATATATCTATACACGATACGATATATTTAAACATTATACGATACGATATATTTAAACATGATACGATACGATATATTTAAACATGATACGATACGATATATCTATACACGATACGATATATTTAAACATTATACGATACGATCTATTTAAACATGATACGATACGATATATTTAAACATGATACGATACGATATATTTAAACATGATACGATACGATATATTTAAACATTATACGATACGATCTATTTAAACATGATACGATACGATATATTTAAACATTATACGATACGATATATTTATAGACGATACGATGATACTCACAGCTTTCTATCTCCAAGGTACAGTTCTGTTCGTCCAGAGGATAACGACGCAGATCCATCATGCAGGCGGCGGTGGTGGTGATCCTGCAGCACACATTTACAGACAGGAGCTTTAAATGAAGTCGTTTGACCAAAGGGGAGAGGGATGAGAGAGAGGAGAGAGGGATGGGAGAGAGGAGGAGAGAGGGATAGGAGAAAGGGATGGGAGAGAGGAGGAGAGGGATGGGAGAGAGGAGGAGAGAGGGATGGGAGAGAGGAGGAGATGGGTGAGAGGGGGACGAGGAGGAGGAGAGAGGGTGAGAGGGATGGAAGAGAGGAGGAGAGAGGGATGAGAGAGAGGGGGAGAGGGATGGGAGAGAGGGGGACGAGGAGGAGAGAGGGGGACGAGGGATGGAAGAGAGGAGGAGAGAGGGATGGAAGAGAGGGGGACGAGGAGGAGGAGAGAGGGATGAGAGAGGAGGAGAGGGATGGGTGAGAGGAGAGGGATGGAAGAGGAGGAGAGGGATGTGAGAGGAGGAGAGGGATGTGAGAGAGGGGGAGAGAGATGGAGAGAGATGGAGAGAGATGTGAGAGAGGGGGAGAGAGATGGAGAGAGATGGAGAGAGATGTGAGAGAGGGGGAGAGAGATGGGAGAGGGGGAGAGGGATGGGAGAGAGGGGGAGAGAGATGGAGAGAGATGGGAGAGAGATGGGAGAGAGATGGGAGAGAGGGGGAGAGAGATGAGAAAGAGGGAAAGAGGGATGGGAGAGAGGAGAGGGATGGGTGAGAGGGGGACGAGGAGGAGGAGAGAGGGTGAGAGGGATGGAAGAGAGGATAGAAAAGAAGGAGTGAAGGAGAGAGGGGGAGAGAGATGTGACAATACTTTATACGATACAAAGAATAGAAAACAACCTTATTTTAATATATCCCAAAACTTGTGATTTGTGACATAAATGTGTGTGAGTGGACCCACACACACACACACACACACACACACACACGCCCACACACACACACACACGCCCACACACACACACACACACACACAGAAAGACGCTCCTACTTTGAATACATTTTTTTGATCTCAAACCGGAAACTAAAGTCTCGTTTCTGTGTCTGCTCAGACTTCCTCCTCCGTCCGGTCTCACGTTACACCGCTCTGCTCTAAACCACGTTACCGCGGTAACTATATCCCGGCTTTGATCTCCATCTGCTGCAAATGCATCCACTCAAACAAGAAGTAAAAGAAAAAGCAAAGTGGGACATGTGTGAGGATCTCTGGGGACCTGTGTCTGACTGTTGTTGACAGAACCTGCTCCTCAGAAGACCAAAATAATCACAAATCTGATGAGAAAAAAAACCAAAATCTTTCTCTTCTCTCTCTCCGTCCAACTCCTGTCCTCAGCGTCCTGTCCCGAAACTTTATTCTTCAAAATTCCTCTATTGTTGTGTGAAAGTCAAATTATATATATATAAAAAAAAAACATGTCACTTTTGCTTCTTCCACAAAGCCCTGAGAGATGATTGGCCGAGTGACGGGGGTCCTCTACTGTCACTTTTCTACCTATAATAATTATATCGGAAACATGACGTTGGCAAAAAATAAACCTGAATGTGAAAAGTAGTGACAGAACTAAAGCGTTTTATGGTTAGAAAGTTAGGTACCGTAGCTTTAATTGGACCATACTGTGGAGCAGCGCCTAGCAACAGCCTTTAGCAGCTATCTATAAATGTATACACAACATACACAAACATATTTACAATTATGTTAAGCCCTGTACAAAAACTACGTTCTGTTGTATTTCCAAGTACTAAGTACTTTTTTGCAGTAGTACTATAGTATTCTGCAGGAGTCAGACTGTACTTATTCACCTGAAATATATTTATATATTAATGTAGCAGGAGCAGAGCACACAGAGCTCTCTTTCATCTGTACTTCACAGACCACTGCAGCAGCAAAACAACACCTACTGTACTCTCTACTCTACTCTACTCTGTACTCTACTCTATTTTGTACTCTACTCTACTCTACTCTACTCTACTTTACTCTGTACTCTACTCTACTCTGTACTCTACTCTACTCTGTACTCTACTCTACTCTGTACTCTACTCTACTCTATACTCTACTCTACTCTACACAGTACTCTACTCTATACGCTACTCTACTCTACTCTACACGGTACTGAACTCTACACAGTACTCTACTCTGCACTTGCAGCAGCCTACCCTACCCATCTCTATTCTACCCTACTCTACACAGTATTCTACAAAGTAGTCTACTGTGCATAGTACTCTACATAGTACTCTCCAAAGTACTCTACGAAATACGCTACACAGTACTCTACTCTACACAGTACTCTACGCTAAACAGTACTCTACGCTACACAGTACTCTATGCTACACAGTACTCTATGCTACACAGTACTCTACGCTACACAGTACTCTATGCTACACAGTACTCTATGCTACACAGTACTCTACTCTACACAGTACTCTATGCTACACAGTACTCTATGCTACACAGTACTCTACGCTACACAGTACTCTATGCTACACAGTACTCTATGCTACACAGTGCTCTACTCTACACAGTACTCTACTCTACACAGTACTCTACGCTACACAGTACTCTACGCTAAATAGTACTCTACGCTACACAGTACTCTACGCTACACAGTACTCTACGCTACACAGTACTCTATGCTACACAGTACTCTACGCTACACAGTACTCTACGCTACACAGTACTCTATGCTACACAGTACTCTACGCTACACAGTACTCTATGCTACACAGTACTCTACGCTACACAGTACTCTACGCTAAATAGTACTCTACGCTACACAGTACTCTACGCTACACAGTACTCTACGCTACACAGTACTCTATGCTACACAGTACTCTACGCTACACAGTACTCTACGCTACACAGTACTCTATGCTACACAGTACTCTACGCTACACAGTACTCTATGCTACACAGTACTCTACGCTACACAGTACTCTATGCTACACAGTACTCTATGCTACACAGTACTCTACTCTACACAGTACTCTATGCTACACAGTACTCTATGCTACACAGTACTCTACGCTACACAGTACTCTATGCTACACAGTACTCTATGCTACACAGTGCTCTACTCTACACAGTACTCTACTCTACACAGTACTCTACGCTACACAGTACTCTACGCTAAATAGTACTCTACGCTACACAGTACTCTACGCTACACAGTACTCTACGCTACACAGTACTCTATGCTACACAGTACTCTACGCTACACAGTACTCTACGCTACACAGTACTCTATGCTACACAGTACTCTACGCTACACAGTACTCTATGCTACACAGTACTCTACGCTACACAGTACTCTACGCTAAATAGTACTCTACGCTACACAGTACTCTACGCTACACAGTACTCTACGCTACACAGTACTCTATGCTACACAGTACTCTACGCTACACAGTACTCTACGCTACACAGTACTCTATGCTACACAGTACTCTACGCTACACAGTACTCTATGCTACACAGTACTCTACGCTACACAGTACTCTATGCTACACAGTCTTTAGAACCACAGCACTATGAGCTCAGGGGAAAGTTAATATCCCTACATCACTGAAACGGACAAACTTAACCTTCTGTTGTGTCCGGATACTTCATAGATGCATTCAGACTGTTCCTTTGCACCATTTTAACTGGTCCTGGCCTGGTTTACTCCTCAATTATTCCTGGGTTAGAGCTACATTAGTCTCAGCAAACCCCACTCGCGAGCACCTTGTCATAATTCAAAGTCTCCATATTCATAAGTCAGTCTCCGTCTGAACCTGCCTGTCTGCCACTTCAATGGAAATTCAAATTAACGCTGCATCAAACAACAGCTGTGTGCTCAAAATTACATGAGGGGTGTGCGCCGCGTGGATGTTTAGCCTGAAAACTAAAGGGAGGAGCCCTGAAGCTTGACTCGTAATCCTTTATCCGCTAACTAGCCAAACGCATGAGGCTAACGCATGAGGCTAACGCATGAGGCTAACGCATGAGGCTAACACCCTGCTACAGGCCACAGCAACAACACATGCATCACACACAGAACCGCAAAGAAGGCTTGATACTGTACTATCCTGTTAGACCTCTGAAGCTAAGCAGGGCAGGGTCTGGTAAGTGCTGTGATGGGAGACCTCAGGGAACAGCAGGTGCCCCAGGGGGGCGGCTGTGGCTGTAAAGTGCCTAACTGTGGTTGTGTCCTTAGGCAAGACACTTTCACTTTTTAAATGCCTTTATTAATAGAACACAATTATTTACAAGACAACAACAAATGTACATTGCATGCAGTAATATCAACAGTGATAATATTTACAGTGGTTTAAAATTGTAAAATGTCCCATGGGAAGTGAGGAGAGTCGTTACGTTGCTGCTTGAGTTGTGTTATGACTTGTTTGTATATTGTGAAACTGTCAATGAAAGTTTGTGATATTGTCATTTTTGTCCGTGTTTTCCAGATTTGTACAGTCGTTATTGCAATGATGCGTTGGAAGAGTTCTTGCTGCTGTGGGGGGAGAGTTTCTTGAAGTAGTCCGTATATGATGGATCGATAAGTGATTGAAATAGTGAGTCCAAGAGTCTGTAATCGGGTCCATACTTCCTGTGAGCGGTAACAATGAATGAGTAGGTGGTCCAGAGTCTCGTCGTTATTGCAGTTCGGCATTGGGCATAATTTGGTTTTTACATAGCAGCTCCAGGACACGATGGCTCTCACCGGGAGTCTGTTTACGGCCATGAGCCACCGTGAGTCCCGGATGGTCTGCTCCTGGGGTTTGTTAAAACGTTTTATGACACTTTCAGATTCATTAACGTTACAATCTTTAAAAACAACAATATCACCGTACATTTTTTTACACATTTTAAAATACAACATTTTCGAAGGGAGCCCATTATAATCTAAAGGGTTTTTATGGGTAAAATCACCGTATAGAAGTTTATAATAAGGCCCTTTACGAGCGCGACCCACCCGCCTCCTCCACTGCGTCACCTCACCGACCCACGGGGCGCCGCGGGCAATCGCCAAAGAAACATTTTTAATGAAGGCTAAAGT